CTCAATTGCATTCAGACGCTCTTTCATCTGTTTCAACTCCTTCTCCATATATTCAAACTTTTCATCCATCCTCGCTTCTACTCTATCTCCAATGACCTTCTCCATATTTGAAGACACTTCTTTGATGCTTGTATTAACGGTGTCAAACCTTGAGTTTAATTGCTTCACCAAATCCATGACTATTTCAACAGACACATCTTCCAGAACATCATCCTCCGCACTACCAACCTGCGACACATACACAAAAACGCATAAACAAGCTACCCAAACATTACATCAAATATAAACTCACTACATACCATATCATTTACCTTTTCTTCTTTCTTCTTCTTCTTCTTTTGTACATCTCCTTCATAAGATTCACCACCCTCACGTTTTTCCACCAAATCACTTACATTTCTTTCTTTCTTCTTCTTCTTCTTTTCTGCATCTCCTTCACCAGATTCAACACCCTCACTGTTGATCACATCCTTGACATTGTGGACTTTCTGCCTCTTTGCGGGAGATTCAGAGTCACCCGCTGCATTAGAATTTACATTTTTCTTCTTCTTCTCAGTCTTCTTCACATCCCAATAACCTTTAACAAACTTATCCTCGTGTATGTCTCGGATCAAATTATCAAGTGCTGGGTCCTCTTCTTCATCTGGCCATGTATGAAATAGCTCTCTGACATTATCCTTCATAACCAATTTACTCACACGCAGCTATAACATAAGAGATTATAAAACCCATTAGTAAGTTTAAACTGAATCATCAATAATTATAACTCAGCCATCACTAACCATCACTAATATAACTCAGCCATCCATAAATCATAACTCAGTCATCAAAAACGATAACTCAGCCATCACAAAATATAACTCAGCCATTACTAAAACATAACTCAGTCAGTAACTATCATAACTCAGTCATCAAAAACGATAACTCAGCCATCACAAAATATAACTCAGCCACTGCTAAAACATAACTCAGTTAGTAACTATTATAACTCAGTCAGTAACTATCATAACACAGCCAAAACCTTACCTCACCATGCGCTTTGATATCTTCAGCAATGGTCAATTCCATTGTTTTACGTGTACGGTTTCCACCCCAACAAAGCAACGGTATCTCATCCTTGTTGACTACTCTCCCATATCGCTCTCCAAAGCATTTGACTGAATCATACGCCAAAGCCTGTAACACGTAAACCATACCACTGACGGTGTACGTCTTTCCAACAGGCCTCAACATCTTTATAGAATTAACCAGGGCTTCAAATGCTGACCGACCCCATGGATAAGTGTTCATGGCTTCTTCATCAAAAACTCTTTTCGCACTTTCAAATGGTATTCTAGAGTTATGATGCAAGCCATACAGTCCAATGGCTTGAAGAGTCAACAGCCCCAACCACTTACGCTTTTTAGGAGTCCATGTCCTGCACACTAGTAATCCTGCCCTCAGTTCATCTAACTTTGGACCTTCACCACCAGGCACATTCAATTCACTGAAGAACGCTTTGTAGTCAGCTTTAGGTTCAAAATTTTCTGTAGGGATTGAACCTGTGTATAACCCCGTGATATGACCAAATTCGTTCAAGCCAAACCTGATAGGTTGACCACCAACTAGAAACCAAATCTCCTTCTTATGTATTCTTAACTGTCTACACAGTAGAAAATGTACAGTCTTACCACACCACACAAATTGGCTTTCAGCTAGCTTAGCAATTATTCCAATAGGTGACCCCTTCAGTTCATTCCACGCATCTTGTCCTATTGATTCTATAATCACAGGGACATCTCCCATCTTGATATTGTGATTTAACAATTTATTCTCCAGAATAGACTCCCCTTCTGCGTAAAGTCTTGGAGGGTAATCCCTTGGTTGTTCTTCAGAAATAACCTTAGCCATCTGATAAACCATAAATCAACCGTAAGCATACAGTAACTCAGTCACAACATAAAATAAACTCAGCCACAGTTGAGCAGATAAACCATAACTCAGTCGTAAGCATAGAGTAACTCAGCCACAACGTAAAACAAACTCAGCCACACCATAAAACAAACTCAGCCATAGATGCATTGATAAATCATAAATCAGTCTAAAGCAAACAATAACTCAACCATGGAATCGAATAGATATAACAAATTAGCCACCATATGAAAATCAACGTTGGCGAAAATCAGCTGTAATAAGCGTCGATAAAAACCCTCAATTTCTTCGCGATAGTTTTCGGAAAACGGTTTCAATCACGGAAATCACTCGCTATTGAACTTAGATGCGGGAAAAATGTCGGAAAATCCAAAATAAAGATTCGACACATACCTTAAACAAGTTGACTTGAGACGAAATGGTCCCGACTTGAGGTGAGGCGACGAAGTAAAAGGTCCCGACTTGAGTAGAGACGAAATGCGACAGAGAGAACGAGAGAGTTAAGAGTTTCGGCCGGAATTAGGGTTTCTTAGTCTTAGTCGGAATCGCGTTTCCGTCAGAGAAAGAAAAAGTTTTTTACAATTTTTTTTTTTCGGGGATGAACACTGACAGAGAGGGAAATCGAAAGGGTTCTCTTAATGACGTTAATGACGTGGCTTTAATTTGTTTTTCTTTTAATGTCGTGGATTAACATAATTTTCGTTAATCATTTCTTAATTAAAAATGGATAAAAAAAATCTTTATAAAAAAAAACTAATCAAGGGTGTTAATTGTAATTACACAAAGACGCTAAACATATGAGTAATTTTTTAAAAATGTATGATATTCTAGTAATATTCGAACTTTTGGTTAACATCTGAGTAAATATTTCTACTTTCAATGTCTCCGCTCATATATATCAAAAGAATATAACATAAAAGTTGTCCACCGCCGCCTTTTCCTTGCCTTGATGCAGCCTCTTCTTTGCCTCACCGTCCCCATGTGTGTGAGAAGAGAGATCCAAAATTCTTTAGTAAGAGAAAGGTAACCCTAATCTAGATCAAAACCCTAAGTTTCTTAAAAGCCCTAGATCTTTAAAACCCTAGTTTTCTATTGGTCAAGATCTATAAGGAAGGATTCAATATGCGTGTTTTGGAAGTTAAGATGCCTAACCATGTTGTTGAAGAGAATGTGGACCCGCCCTCGGCTGCTGAGATTCCTGTCGTGACGTTCAATCAGGACCGGTCTTAGGATTTTTGTGGCCTAAAACACACTTAAATAATATAATTTTTATATAAAAATGTAAAAGAGGAAAAAAAAAAAGGGAAAAACATATAAAAGAGGTGTCTCGAACTCGGGTCTTGACTCTAATTTCCGGAATACATAAGGAAGTGTTTTAATAATGTAGCCTTAAAAACTTTGTTATATTTTGGGGCCTAAAGCAAATGCTTTGACTGTTTTATGGGTGGGTCGGGCCTGCGTTCAATCCAAACCATAGGTCTATGGACCTTCTACATGCTTATAGAACTAGTACGCTGCCTGTAACACCAAGACTGTGATTAGATATCTAGTTTGGTTGTTGCCTAGGTTGTTAGATGCTAAGGCATGGTTATTTGAGAATGATTGATGATTAAATGAGATTATAAAAAGTTGGATCGATGGACCATGAGTTAGTGGTAAGTGATCGACTGGTTGCTTGGTCTAAGTTGAATGTAGCACATCATGAATGATTGAGAGTAAGTATACATGATTGCTTATTTATAGGTTGTTAGATTCTCTGTTGCATGTAGTTTTCCTTATTTTGGACTTGTGTTATGGAACATTGGGACTAAATGAATGCTTATGGTCATGTGGGCAGGTAGTATCATTCTTAATGAGTAAACTCGTTTACCCACGCATCCCAAAATTGAATGCATGTACATCTTTCAAAGAGTTATATATATCAAGGTAGATGAGTGTTAGTGAGCATTTACTGAGAGAAAACACTTGAATTCACTTTGTTATCTCAGAGGAACATCTCAACTTGGTATCTCCTTTTTGGCTTCCATTGACTTCACTTTAAGACGATATACCCATAGTGATGGGGCAACTTGCAAAGACACAAAAAGATCTACATGAGATTTCCACACTTTTTTGAGAAATAGTATATATCAGCTAAAAAGCAGCCAATTGTTTTATATACCTTTTTTCTGAAACTGAGAAGTGATCTTTCTATATTACATATATTGAACTCGCATGGCTACACTTTGTGATATTATTATATCTCAAACATATTGTCTTGAACTCTGTGAAATTCTTTAAGTTGTTTACTTCCAGTGGCGGAGCCAGAATTTTTGTTTATAGGGGTCATATATATTATTATTTTTATTTAATTACATATTAATATTAAATAATATATTTATCTTGATTTATGATATTTTATAGAAATATATGTCAAAACAATTTTGTGAAAAAGGACAAAAAATAACAAGATATCCGATGATACAAAGAAAAAGAATCAATATGTAAAAAAACTATTAGAGAATTGTAATCATTTTTTAGGAAAAAACAAAAAAAACATAGAAAAAAAATTAATGTTGAATGAAAAATTAAATTGGGGTCGAAGACATAAAATTATGGCATGACATAGGGGTCAACTAGGAAATTTTGTACCAAAATATCTAAAATCATTAGATAATTTACCTTATAATTTCAAAACTTTAAAATGTTATGGGGGTCAACTGACCGCCCTCCCTCTTAATTGGCTCCGCCCCTAATTGCCTCTCTAAAAATTCAACTCTGCTTGTTCATCATGCTGCTTAACACTAATTAGCAGATATATTCACCAAGTCTTTAACAATTTTAAGCTTATGTGATTTTGTGATTTGCGGTTCAAACTTGGTGGAAATTATCTGGCCAGCCACACAGATTTTTTTGTTTTGGCAAGAGGGAGGCATGTAAAGTCTAAGTCTCTTAACCAGAAAGAGGATCTTATCATCAATAATTCAACATCTCAGGCCAACCCAAAAGAGAAGATATGGGCCTACATCAAAATCTCAAGCCCGTAGAGAAAACTTCTCCAGCTAGAGCTCTACATCAAAAACAGAGTATCATGCCAAAGTGATGACCTTGCCAGCTCAGCAAATGCATGTTGATGCACTAGAAGGTTGTGCCATCACGTGTGGCTAGACACATATCTCTCTCTAATTCGTTTGTATTCTCTTTACTAGAATACTCAAAGAAGAAATACATAACCTAATAATCCCCAAAGAAGATCGGTTCAGCTACTTAACCAAATTCCCTGCAACTATCATGGAAGCTCTTGACAAAGTTAAATCAGTGCTGCCTTGTTGATGTGTCTATAACTATACATACTATTTTCCTTACTATAGGTAGCAGTTTCTTCTACAACTACAAATCGTAAGGATTATAGACATCAGAATGTCACTCCTTATATCCATGATATTCTCTGTCTATGTAATCATACTTGTTCACTCCTTATAATGTAGTTCATCTAAAGAAGCTCGAATAAAATCCCTATAAAGTAGTTTGGTCTAGAAAACAGTTTGTTCATGTTTTAGTTTCTAATATGACATTCAATTGCCGACAAAAAAAAAGTAATAGTAATTTTTAATAATTTGATGTAAGACAGGAAATGAGATAGGCAGACAAGAGTGTAGGAAACATACTAGAAGAGTTGGACAAAAAAAGAACTATGTTGACCTAAAAAAGAGTTAAATATATATGTTATGCTAAAAAGAGAAGATTTGAATGGTTTAGTTTATTAGTTCTTTTACAATTTTTTTTTTGTTAAACTCTTTTACAATCTTGTGGGTTAAAAGTGAAAACTCATCCTCTGTATTTTCAAACTCTTATCTCTACGTGTGCACAAACCTCACCATTAGATGATAAGTAGAAGACAAAACTTACAGCCAAATAGAAAAACTTATCACTCTCCAAAACATTTGGTCCATACGATAAAGCAAGAAGAAGAAGAAGAAGTAAAGGATGAAGCATGAAATGATGAATTTCAAGTTACGATGCATAACCATCTTCTTTCTTCTCTTTGCTTTGGTTCTTGGAAATTATGTAGTTCAAGGTCTCTTTCTCCACCCATCTCCTTCCTATTCAATCTTCTTAATTACAATATCAATACGACTAACAATGATTTATTTTCCAATTCTCTCGTTTTTGTGTCTTTTTGTTTTCTTGAATCAGCCTCAAGACCTCGTTCTATCGAAAATACGGTCTCACTTCTCTCACAAGTACATCTCCAGGTAAATTCCCATTTGTCAGTAATTACTACAAGAAACCAATCGATTTATAGCTAATTTAGATATATAATAATGTAGTAGTATATATGTATGTTTAATTTGAAAATATTTCAAAGCAGAATTCAAGGAGAAGGCATATGATAGGGTCGACGGCACCAACTTGTACGTACAACGAATGCAGAGGATGCAGATACAAATGCAGAGCAGAGCAAGTTCCAGTCGAAGGAAATGACCCTATCAACAGTGCTTATCATTATAGATGTGTTTGTCATAGATAATAATAATAAATCTCTTCTTTTTGCCCTTTCATAATTTATTGCAATTTTTGTATAACTTGATTGCATTTTGTTTTTTGAATGAGATGCTTTTTTCAAGATTACTTTTATTAGTTTTTTTTTTTTAATGTTAAAATTATAAAAATACTAGTTCATTAGCCAATAGATTTTATCAAGCTTCATAATCTTGTGTGCATGTGATAATATAAGGTAAGCGCTTGTCGGTACGTGTTGGTATTGGTGTTGATGATGATGGTAACGATGATGATGGTGGAAATGATGAAGATTATTTTTTATTAGTTTTTTTCTTTTAGCGTTAAACTTATTAAAATACTAGTTCATTAGTCAATAGATTTTATCAAGCTTCATAATCTTGTATGCATGGGATAATATATGGTAGGCTCTTGTTGGTACGTGTTAGTATTGGTATTGGTATTGGTGTTGATGATGATGGTAACGATGATGATGGTGGAGATGATGATAAAATTTGGGTGGGTGGTTGTATAAACATATAAGTGTGTTTAAAATCCGCATGGAAAAATCACATGGTCCTGTGGTCCAATTTTGAGACATAAGTCAAGAAAGGATCACATGAAGGAACTAGAGTTGTTATGTTTGTAATTGTAGCCCTCCCTCTTTTGTTCTGTTACGTACACATTATGACAATATGCATTAAAGACATTTGTTCTACTAGGATATTACATTGTTCTAGAATGTTACATATGCTCCTCCCTCTCATTAATTTGTTTTGTCTACACCTCATGGGTACCCATTTTTTTTCTTTCTTCTTAGTAACAAAAAAAAAAATTCTTAATCTTATTGTAATATATTGACACTGTTTAAGAAAACGCTACATGCTAAATGGACGACAAGTCCACAACTCAAAGTTAAACCGAGCCTATACGATTGATTTTAAGTGGTTTAAGCGTTTATCGCTTATATATATATAGATTATAATATATGAACTATCATGATTCATAAATGATAAAATTGAAATAGTTTAAACATTTTAAACTCAAACTACACAAAATATTACTATAAATGAGAATTAGAAATAGATATCCATTTGAAAATACAATCAAGAATGTCAATACATAAATGAGAATTAGGAAAAAAAACCATTCATTCAATTCATATCTAATAACATATGTATGACTTTTTATAATCATGTATATAAATTCAAATACTTGTAGACTTGTAGTTAAATATCAAAAATTACACTTGTAGTTAAAATTACACTTATATAAATTCAAATACTTGTAGACTTGTATTTTAGATAATTTGGATCGGCTTTTTTTCGGATTCGGATCGGTTTGCAAATATTTTTGGAAATCCGAAGTGTAACCGAAACATAAACAAATTCGGTTTCGGTCCGGATTTGGATCGAAATATCCGATTAAACCAAAAATATCTAAATAACCCGATCCAAATTATCTAAAATATCGGAATTACCCATAATTTATCCGATAAAAACCAAAATATCTGAATTACCCGATCAGAATTAAGGATAAAACTACTAATATGTGTGTATTGTTTCAGTTTAGCGAATATCCGATCGGAGTTCAGTTATAATCTGATCCATACCGAAATCCGAATCACATTCTACATGAAATCCGATCGGGTTTTACTAAGTAACCGAAACCAGTTCGGATCTGGATTTGGATTATATGCCCAGGCCTTACTGTTAACTCTTTGGTGTTCTACTTAAACATTCCGACGAAAAAAAAGACTCCTTAGAATCGTTCAAGAGCTTCTAGAATTGCAATAACGCAGTATCACCGAATTTGTCCGCACGTAATCGGTTTAATAATAAACGGATGATTTTACGGTCTGATCAGTTTAGTAATCTTGAACCGGTGTAACCGTTAGTGAAATTAGGCCTGGTTTTGTTTAAACCCAAAGTTTGATTACAATGTCTTCACCGGTGAACGCTAAGCAAGTCTCGCCGCAAGATTACGGAGGTGCATCGGGTTATTCCGTCGATTGTGAGGCTTCTTCGTTGGGTCTCCATGAAGGTATATCCTCCATGTTCCGAAATCTTTGACGGAATTATCTGATTGTATGGAATTTGCCATTAGAAACAAAAAAATTTGGTCTTTATGTTTCAATGATCTCATTCATGTTTCGATTCATTTTCTTAAAACGATATTAGTTTAATATATTTTACATTAAGGACAATTTGTTCTACGTTGAATTCATTGTCAAATTCTTAGTCTAAACCCTGTCCCTCGCAGATGGTTTCCATCTGAATACAAAGTAGAAACTTTCAGACAAGATTACCAATTCACATGTTAGTTATGTCGAAGCAAGCATGTAACTAAGGTTTTTTTTTTTTTTCTTGCAATTTTTGTAACAACATGGCCTAAAACTCGTTGATGTTGAAGATTGAATGGTTAGGAAACAAAAAAGGCTTATGCTTTAGAGCCCATTTGACTTATAGCATCATCTAAATGACCTTACCATCCACAACCTCTAGGTGTAACCTACACGCGTTAGTAAATTTTGCGACTTTGGTCTATACTGATGGAAATTATCTGATGCGGTTTCATTTAAATGTTTGGGTATGCATATCCTAGATAGAAGCTTTCTCTGATGCCAGGCCTAGCTGATGTTGTTAGTGGAATTCAACTGTGGGGGATGGTTTACTAGCAGAGAATATGGATCAACGTTAGGATATTATTTCTTGCAACTTATGGATGTTTCACATTGACTCTCTAATCACTGAACTAGCAGAGAATATCTTGCATTTTCTTAATTAGTGGTAGAGTGTAGAGAAGCTGCTTTTTGTAACCATGTGGATGTGGTTTTAACATTCATGGTTCATGGCTTGTATGACCAATAATTGTAGTATCATGGCTCATTTTTACTGAAAGAACGGGAAATTGCTTGGTCCCCTTGTCTTATTAAAGATAACTAGATTGTTACCCGCGGTACACCGCGGGTTAATTATTTAATTTTTTTTGTCTTTTTATAAACTGATGAATTTGTTGTATATAATATTTTTTGTTGTACATTGCGAGTCACATGCGTTGTAACTAAAAATGAAAATTTTAAGTTGTATTTGTTTTGTTTTGTGTTTAAAATTGTATAATTGTATTTTGATTTGTTAATCCCAGGATTTCACCCGTGATATATTATCCCGTATTAATATAAATCCAAATCCGACCCGTCCCACCATATAATCATGTCCCGTAAAATTAAACATCATTTTGTTATTTCTTTTAATAACACTTTTATTTAAAAGACATATAATTCGAGTCAATTTAAAAGTTTGCTTTCAAATAGTTTCTATAATATATATATATATATATATATTTCAAATTAGTGTGTGTTTATAGACCAACCCGTAAAAATATTTTTAAAATGTATATTAAAATACTAAATAATTGTATTTCGATTTGTTAATTTTAAGATTTCACAGTGGTATATTGTCCCGTTTTAGATAATTGTAGAAATTAAGAAAATATCTGAATGACTCAATTCCGGGTCAGAGTAAAAAAAAAAATACGACCTGATTACGCAAATTTGTTTTTCAAAATGTTAATATAGATTGTACACATACTTTTTTCTTCATCGATTGAGTAATATATGTCCGTTTTAAAAAATTTGAATCATAGCATATGCAGAAAAAATCAAATTGTTTTATTAAGTATATATATTTTATAATATTTCAAAATAATATAAATATAAGATCATATAAAAGTGAAATGAGAATCATATATTTATGTTTTAATTAGGTAGAGAGGTTTTAGGAAATTAGTTCAAATTTGTTATATTAGCATTAAATAATCATATTTGATTTCTATATCTATAAAAATTGTAGAGAATATGCCATAAATAAAGAGTTTAGGTATAGTAATTAGTTGAGAAAATATATATTTTTAGATTTTATTGATTAATTTTCGTTTTTTAATTTTGTCAAAAATAAGGAAAGATCCGATTGAAGATTTCCGGGTCAAAATTAAACAAAATTTGACCCGATTAGGAACCCCAAAAAGTGTTGCAAAAATGTATAGTAGATAATTGTATATGTAACTTAACTAGGATATGACCCGCGGTACACCGCGGGTTAATTATTTGATATTTTTTGTTGGGCACCGCAGATCGGTTTTTTGTAACTCAAATTTTTAAATTTTAAGTTGTATTTTTTTTTTTGGTGTTTAAGATTGTATAATTGTATTTGAATGTTAATTCTAGGATTTCACTCGTGATATACCGTCCCGTATTAATATCGACCAAAACCCGTCCACCATATAACCCCGTCCCGAGAAATTAAACATCATTTTATTATTTTTATTTTCAATAATACTTTTATTTTAAAAACATATAATTTGAATCAATTTAAAAATTTGCTTTCAAATGGTAAATATAATATATATATTTCTGAATTTAATAGAGTTCATCTATATTATTAATATTATAAAATTTGCTAGAATTTAAATATTATAAATACTTAACAGTTTTATAAAGTGAAAATATTTAATAAAATTTTATTATAAAAACAAATAATTAACTCGCGGTGTACATTGGGTCAAATACGATGATTTAGTGCTAATATAACAATTTGGACTAAATTTCTAAATCATGTCTACCTAACCAACTTTAGTGGTTGGGCTTTAGACCCAATAAACATAAATTAAAAGAGTTGTATAAAACCCACAAGAGATAAGAACCCAATTTGAATCCATAATGGTCCACCAACGCTCTAAGTTTGTCTTTAACCAATAATGGCTGCAAATAGTCACCACCTGAGTTGTTTTGCTGTTTTTCGGAAGAAAAAAAAATATCTGAGAAACTGAAAAACAAAACTTTCTTTCCCCTAAATCTTCAGATTCAATTTCCGTTTTCTTAATCTTTTTTTTTTGATTGTTCGATTGTACCTTCGATTAGCAAATAAAGGAAGAGATCTTAGTAATTGACACTTAAACGAAGAGAGCCATGAATCCAACTGAACTACGAAAAGAACCGAAGTAATCGGTTCCAATCCAAATAAAAAAAAATTCGTGTTCCACTGGTAAGAGAAATTGTATGTTAATTATGTTATCTTGATCGATTATTCTCAATTAAATACTAAAATTCTTTGTTTATATGTGGGTGATACTGAAATATATGTATCTATGTCCTCTGTAACATCGATTCACTTTCTGAAGTAAAATTACATTATATTCCCTACCATGCCTTTTCACGACAGTACTCAGTTCTTAAACTCATTAATTTTTGATAATATGATTGGGAAGAACAGTGTATTCGTCTTGAGTCTTAGGATTCTGAATTCCTGTTTTGTTGTTGTTATAAGATTGGAGATGATAAGGCAAGGTAGCCGATTATCCTTAAAAGTCTAACAAATCAAGTGATGATCACAATCACAAAGATAAGCAACAGCTTATTTCTCTGAAACATTTCTGATTTTTCTGTTTTTGATATTGTTTACTAACATTTGTTTTCTTTCATAGGTGAGGAATAATTCTCGAATATTAAAGTTGTCTTTGTTGATCTGGCAAGAGTCATCTGTTTGACATAAGATGATCACAAAAAGGTCAGTATGAGACCAAAAACTTAGTCTAATTGATATTATAACAAAACAATATACTGCGGGATGAAAGCATACACATGGAATACAATTCAATGGTTAAGTGATGAATAGGATTCATGTCAGAAAGCAGCTTATCTGAAACAATGACTAACCTACAACGAAAAATAAACAACATCAAGCTCAGTATTTTGACACGAAACAATCAAGCAGTCATTCTGTTGGTATGTTGTGTTTACTTTTTGATAGAGATCGAAATGGTAATCGTGGTGTGTGTGTTTAGATCTTGGAAATGAGAGTGTATTTATAGTGTTTTGATAGGTTAGTAGTGTTTTAGGTTATAACCATATTCCAAGTATTAGATATCTTATAAAATATTCACGATCCTAAATCTAATAGAATATGCTATTGGAAATAAGAATAAAATAGTTTAGTTAGGAATCATTTCCAATTAAGTAGTTGTGATTGAATGTCGATTTATATGGCTTATTTGATGTAGGAAACAAACTTTAATGGGATCATAATTTGTAGCATTTTTTTAGGAAACAATTTGAATATAAAATATTTGTGTTGCATTAAAATAGGAAATCATTTGTTTTGCAAATATTAATTAGTTATAACTAATATATTGCCAAATCAATAATTAATTTCGTTTGGATTTTTTGTAGGAAAATCTCCAAAAAAGAAGGATCCAATTGAAGGAATTCCGAAATCCTTGCATTTTTTTTATGGCAAGTCTCATTATTTTCTGGATCCGAAATCAATATTAACGGGTCATTGAGTCGGGTCAAAAAACAAATTCCGGGTCAAAATTTTAACAATACCCGACCCGATTAGGAACCCCAAAAAGTGTTGCAAAAATGTATAGTAGATTGTTCGTATGTTTATGGTCTTCAGATTTTATCTCTGGTGACTTTGTGTTTACATTATACACTTTAGGTTTCATGGTGGTTTTATTTTGGACTCGGTTCAAGCTCTTCTGCTTCTCTGTTTCTGTTTTCGTCTGTGATCTTAATTTAGCGATAGGCTTATGAATCTACGCGAAAAAATATTTTTTTTGCGACCAAAGTTAAGTCCAAAGGAGAAGTCTACGAAGCAAAAGTGCGGTTTATAAAGTACCGTGTTACATTAGACTTACATCGATTTGGACGTCGTATAAAATACTTGTGGAAACCATCTTAGTGTAGTTTAGTTTAGGTGTTGTTCATGTTTTTTTCTTCAATATCTTTTTTTTTTTTTTTTTTTGAATGCTTTTTTCTTCAATATCACAAGGTTCATATATTAATTCGTACCCATAAAATTTATAAAAAGCCTTTATTCATCATTCCACTTATAACATACGACTTTAAAATCCATCTTAGTTCAATAAGAAGTTTGATAGTTAACTTAATAATTGATAGCTTTATCGGCATAAGACTTGAAGCTTCCACACTTTCCTCTTAGGTGACTTAGACATCAAGGCAGATGAATTGCAAACTTTTGGGAGAGCAGTCTTTCCTTTGTATGCTTTGCAGATTTGAGCCATGAGATCATCCATACTTTGTACGTTCTGCATCCCCAACCATAAAAAGAACACAATCAGTGATATACTCTTTTTGATTGATTCAAAAATGTAATGAATGAAGTCAGATTATTCATGAAAAAAGACTTTATAAGAATTTATACATCATCGAGTGGTTTGCCGTTGAGTGTGACCCATGGTACATATTCATGTGGCGGCTTCAAACTTATGGTTTGGGTTGCGTACCTAAGTATCAGCTGCAATTACAAATAACACATAAAAGAATGGTTAATTACATGTGTAATTATGAGTGTTTTTTTTTATTCATGTATACGTACCTTTCTCTAAAGATCACCATTTTAACAATCATTGATAGCTTTCTCACGTCCAGAGTTCTTAACACATGATTCCCAACCTTTTGTATCGTTTTCAACGCTGTATGAACGAGTAGTGTGATTTCTGCGTTACAAAACCATCACATTTGCCAAAATGAAATTCTAACATTCAGTTGTCCCTGAATAAAAATCTTAGCAAATAAATGCATTCGTTATATACCGGATCGGGCCATGTTCTTATAGCGCAAGCTTCAAGGGCGTTTAGTTTGCATTCCTCTTCACCATGCTTCACAAAATTCTCAAACACGATTAATTAGCGAAAGTATAACATTAACAGAAAATTTGTACTCGATCAAAAAAAACAAAAATCATACAAGTTATAGATATAAAAGATTAATTGAAGAGAGAGAGAGAAATAAAAAGAACCTGGCAAGTGATAGTCAGATTATCGGAGAGTTTGGCATTACCAAATGGAACCAGCTTGAGATGAGTGATTGTGTAGAGATCATAGTCAAAGATTTTACTTAGATCATCGACGATGAACTCCTGACAACCGGGACAAAGTGATTCATAGTAAAGATTGAGCTTCACTTTGTCGGAATCTCCAGCCACAAGGTTTTCTGAGAATGTAAGCAGGAGGACACAAGCAAATAACACAAGCTTGGTTAAAGAATCAGAAGCCATTGTTACTAAAAGAGTTTGAGTTGAGTGCTTATGACTCCTGCCTTGTGTAAACATTTATAATACTTTTTTTACCGTTAGTGTAAATGCTTTTTTTACTAGCTCGAAACATTTTTTCACGTGGGGTCTCATTTCTTCGACTTTTGTTTCCATAGTAGTAACTCAAGATGCCAATATCTTACTCATTTCCTAAGTGTAGTGAGTAATCTGGTTAACAGACTAAGTGACTAACCGTTTTTATCTACCATTCGAGTATATATATATCTTAAGTATATAGTTTACAAGATGTTCTTTATGGACTAAAATACAATTCACACAGCTGGAGGTTCTACTTTTACATGTCTGAGTAGTTCTGATGCATCTGTCAAATTGCTAAACTATAATTGTTTGTTTCGGAAAACATTTCAACGTCAATAAGCTAATTATATTGGATGTGTAGTTTAAAGCACATGTAGAGTTATAGTTTTCCCCTTTAATTAATGCCATCGAGTTTAAGTTTGAATAAACTCAATTTTCCTCTTCACACTAATTAAGAATACTGGCTAAACAAAATTAAAAAAAAAAATGAAATTTTAAACTACTTAGACAGGTAAATGTTATTATTAACCAAAAAGATGAACTAATTAATTTGAATTGTTGTTATGAGATTAATAACATTAGAGAGCAAATCATGATCAGTTAGTTTCAATTTCTTTCTGTATATATTTTTCATGCAACTTATATCTTTACAATCTATGAATTTTGTATTCAATTCAAAATGCATGTTGATAAAATTATGCATTTGTTTTAGCACACCAAACTTTTTCTGATTAATTTAAGTTGTCTGTTTTACCAAAAAAATAGTTTTTCGGAGCTGAACTAATATTTTTATGTAGTAAACTAATTCTGATATGTGAGATTTACAAAGGACGAACAATTAGTTCTTGCCCCATAAATGTTTTGAGTGAAATTGTATTACTCTTGGATTTTCATTTTGCTTCACTCAAATGTTTTGGATTTAGATGGCGAGTTCACCGCTGCAACCATATATTTCGCAGAATCGTCACCAACTTGATAGGGCAAATGATGATTTTGTACTAAGAAAACTGATTGACTGGTTTAGTGTATGCCAATTTTTCTAATTTGAACATTTTGTGAAAAAGAATTATAGTTATAATAAGAGAAAAATTTATGGAAAAAATGTAAAAATCATTTAGTTAATATTTGTATTAAGATTTATATAAATCTAATATAATTAAAGGGAAAAAAAACCTAGCCGCTCTCCTCGTCTAGCCTCTCATGCACGGTAAAGCTCTGCGTTTGATGAAGTCTCCGGCACTGCCGGCGGCGCCATTATCTTCTTCTCTACCCTCACCAAATTAGTCGTCACAGTCAGTCTCTCCTTCCCAAAAGGACTCTTGGGTCAATTTGGCGAAGGGACAAGCTATGTCCATTACAGAGTTTCAACCAGATTTTGTTGTGGAGAACGGAGTTGCGAATTTCACGATCCCAGAAGTAGTTGTTGGTGCTTCGGTACCATTGTGGAAGAGTTATGTAGTTGGTTTTTTTATGGGGGATATATGCCCCACATGTTGGAACCATTCACTCAACCGTGAATCGTATTTTGACGGTCACCGACAAGTCTTCGAAAATTAATGTTCAGTTCCTAAACAAAACGACTGTTCTGTTTAGAATTGAGAGTGATCGGATCCATGAACATGTCTTGAAGCGTAGTTACTGGCATATTGGAAATATTCCTTTAGTTATTGATGAGTGGAACCCAGCGACTGTGCAAGCTCCACCAGATCTCCCGGCTATGCCTTTGTGGGTGGATCTGAAGGATGTGCCGCCGCATCTATTCTCTAACCAAGGGCTGAGTTTTCTTTCGAGCACAACTGGAAATTTTGTGAAACTGCACCCGAATACGGAGAGATGTTTTAGGTTGGATGTAGCACAGGTTTTGGTAGAGGTGAATCTACAAACATCTTTGGTTGATAAAATTTGCTTTCCTCATGACTCGGGGAAAACTGTAACTGTGCTGGTTAGCTACCCATGGCTCCCTCCGCATTGTAGCCTCTGTTCAAAATGAGGTCATAATATGAAAGATTGTTCGAAGAAAGTCTTTATCTTATCAACAGGAGATGCTAAAGATGACCAACGACGTGTAGGTCAAGCCATTGCAGTTGGGATTGATAGAAATACGGTAGAGAAAATGGCAAAAGATCTGATCCATGATTTGGAAAATTCTCAAGCTCTACCGTTAGTTGGTGTCTCAAATTCAGCACCAACAGAGGGTAGTGAGGAAGAGCCTGACCAAACCAAAGCTGCCTTAGATAATTCAATGATAGTGTCCAAAGATGAAAGCAAGAACCAGTGGACTATAGTTTCTCGGAAAAGCCCGCACTCTTCTCCCAGCCGCATGGGAAAGCCTGAGACACAAGGAATCGCAGATACTTCTTCTAATGGATTTAGTGGTGAAGAGGAGAACCAAGCTGCTGATCCAGATTCCACTATAATTCCATCTATTCAGTAAGAAGGAGAAGTTGTGGATTATGATTCTGAGGATGAGGATGCACCACCAAAGTTAGTTGATGTTAATGAGAAAGCTACTAAAGAAGAAGTAAACCAACAAAAAATAACTGTGCTAGATCTCGTAAACACCAGAGTCGTTCACGAGGACTGGCAAAATCAATGGTGAACCGTAAGGAGTCTGGAATACCAAAACCAAATTCCTCGCGGAAGTTATGACGTCTTTCTAGAACGTTTATATCGTTCAATGTGCCGAGACATAAAAAAAAAGCATGCCAGATCCATAGATCATGAGATGCCACTACTTCAAGAATAACAGTGGTGGCTCCCTTATCGCCTCGAGTAAATTGACCTCCACGCTGTAGGACAATTTTTCCATTCCCAGTGCATGCAATCAATACTCCCAATCATCCCCAGAAACCCTCATATCTCACTAACATGCATAATTCTCTACAGGTCATCTTGAGTTGGTGCTCTGAGATACTCTTGCTCATACAGTCGTATGATTCCTTTGGAGAATCTTCGCAAGCACTCCAAAACAGTATTACCTCTAAGTTTGATGTATTCATCCACTGAGTTGGCTGCTATACCATATGTTAACATTCGCATGGCCGTAGCACATTTTGCTAGTGGAGATATACCTTCTTTCTTAGCAGCGTCAAATCGTTGGGTGAATTAGTTGTCGCTGCTTGATAGGTCTCCAACAATCCGAAGGAAAACATGTTTTCGCATACAGAATCGCCGACGAAACATTGCATCGTCATATGTAGGTTCATTGGCAAAGTAGTTGTCAATTAGTCTTTGTTTTGCTGCTGCATGATCTCTCTTGAAGTATTTTCTCTTGCTACGATGTGGATAGTCTTCTTCTATTTTGTTTCGGCGCTCTCTAAACCGGTTGATGATATACCTCTCTTCAATTTCAGACTGCTTTTGGTAAGCTTCGATATCAAAAGGATATTCTGATGGAGCCATTGAGATTTTTTTAGTAAGATGAAATTTGTGGTATTGGTACATCAATGGAAGAAAGAGTCCCTATTATAAAAAAAAAATGGTTAGAGGATTGGATTCGAATTGAGTGGTTGAAACCCAAAAGACACGGATAAGGATAAGATTCTCTTATTAAAAGCCAAAACTCACGGATTACATTATTAAAGCATAACATGCCAATACAAATTATTAAAGGAAGAAAGTGACAAACATTATTAAAGCATAACGAAACAATACAAATTATTAAAAGAGACAATGACAAACAAATATTACTAAAGGAAAAAATGACAAACACACATTATTAAAGCATGAAGTGACAAAATACAAATAGCCACTTGACAACAATTAATTTCCAAATAAATCGTGGCTCAACTTCTGTAACATCTCTTTGCCCTTGTCATCGAGATGTTCCTTTTCAGTTAGCTTAAGATACATCTTCATCTTCTTAGCCTGTGTCTTTTCCTTAATCAATTTGTTTGCCTCCTTTTGCAACATGGCTATGTTGTTCAATCGATCTAACTCTTGTGTTTTTAATTGTTTGAATTCATTCCAGTCTTCGTTGACCACTTCCAAGGCTGCGCCCTTACCTTTCTTTTTAGCCTTTTTCTTAGCAGCATCCCTCCCCATTGGACGAGTACTATATCCTACAGAGTTGGCGTCACTACCATCACTCTCGTGGGCTCTCTTAGATCCACTGCTTCCAAGCCAGTATTTTTTCCTACTTGACTACCATAACGTGGTTGATCACGGATTGCGAGTTACTCTTTTATATATTTGAAATTTCCATTACCAACACTTGAATATAGTTCATGCGCTTTCGCCAATACATCATCCTCCGACCACCCACTTCGTTGCATGTGTTTAGTGTTATCGTAAGCGCCAACCCATTTGCCCAAGCTTTTGTTCACGTAGTTGTAGTGATTTCCTGCACGAAACTCCATCGCGCAGAGTATCAATGAGCCATGCTCATTACAGTACTCAACAATTTTACCCCAATATGTATCCTCATTTTGGTTTCTGCCAACGACGCTATCTGCTCCATATTTAATCCACCCACTCAGTAGCACCAAATTTTGTTCAGTGGTAAATTTGGAGCTTCTCGGACGAGCAGGAGTTGAATCCTCTTCATTTGGAATGGCTTCATGAACACTGCTCATACCATCAAGAGCCATTTGTGTAGAAAATTTGGGGAATTCAGTTGCTCCAACACTTGTATTAGTTTGATTACTCATTGGAGCAGAAGAATAAGAGGGTGCTTGAGATAAATACGACATCATCGATCCATGATATGGACGATAGTTTAGAACAGTTGACGGCATGAAGCAATTTGGTGGATATCCATAATTTGGTATATGTTGGGGATGGTTAGGAGATTGATTTTGAAACTGAAAATTGTTGAGATTTAAGTAGTTAAAAGGGTAATTAGAAGAATTTTGAGAGCTAGCTAAAAGGATTATTATTAGGATCCATTTCAGTAAAAAGACAGGTAAAACAATAAACAAGAGTTTATGAAGGCTGATAGCAAAATTATAGTAAAAAATATGTTTTTTTTATGTGTCCAAATGAAAAGAAACAAGTCTCTATTTATAGAGTATGAAAATGATGAATCTTGGTATAAAAAATTTAAAATAAAATTTAATATTTTATGAAATAAACAATCTCAAATAATTGGGTTGGATAAGAAATATCTAAAATCTCAGTATCCAATAAAAACAGAACACATGTCATTATCCAAATATTATCATATAATTAAAAATTTTACCCATTCATTGATTGTCATGTGGCACTGTGAGACCCATATTTTTTGTTTCAACGTCGTTGAAGAGATTCAACTACGTTGTCTCCACGTCATTTTTTCTTTTTATGCAACATACCATTGTAAATGATTCAATAGTTGAATAATTATTTCAACTGTTTTAAAAAGGACCATTGTAAGTAATCTAATAGAGTAAAACTAGGACAATCGTCTTAGTCACTGTTCCAATTTCTCTCTCTTTAAGATATTAAAAAGTTTCAGATCTAGGATTGGGTTTTGGACTCCGTTCTTCACCGCAAGTCCTGAGATTGCATGATGAAGCAGGAGCGAGGCAAGCTTTCTTCCCAGTATTGGTGTGTTGTGGAGTATCAGATAAGCATGGCAGTGGCGACCCCTTCTCGGCGGGCGAGACACTTTTTTCCGATCTACTGGTAGAGAACATCGGTGATGGTTCGGTGAAGTCTCTCATGGCTCAACCGCCCAGATGGACGATGTGGCTGTGGCAGAAGGTGCTTGTGGATCGGTAGGTTCTCCGGTGCGTGTTCGATAGTTAACGGTAGATCCAATTTGGATTTGCGCTAGCTTTCTTGGGTTAATGCTTCTAACGGATTGTCTGAGCCATCACCCTTCCCTACCCGCCGTGTCTTGTCTCCAGCGAACTGGATATGAGGGTTGCTGGTATCTCGAAGAATTTTGGGTCGAAGGTCTCAAAGGTCAAGGGCTTGGAAATGTGTTAGTCATTTTGCTAGGTCGGGGACTCGACAGAGAGGGTGGCAGAGAGTAGGAAACTTGGTTTATTCCGTAAGGCTTGTTGCATGTTCGACCAATCATCGATAACAGATCAGCGGCGTGATTCATATACTCTGGCCAATGGTTTCGCTCTGGTGGTCGTGTATATGACGATTCTGTTAAATCGGTTCGCTACATCCATTTCACCGCCCAGATCCAATCTTGTATTTCCTTTTCCAGTTGCCGTAAAATTTTCTATTTTTTGTAACTGTGAATGATTGTAAATCTCGGGCCTAAGCCCAATTGGGATTGGCCATAATTTCATAAATAAGTTTTTATTAAAAAATAATACATAAATAAAATAAATCTTTTAATAATTAAAAGAGAAGTAGAAATTGAAAAATTATCAAAATTGCCACTCAATTGAGGCAGTTGGAGAGTGTTAATTGCAATTGAAAAGGGTTAATTCGTCAAAAAATCTCATTAAAGCCATATGGTCCGCGCCTTTCCTAAACGGTTGGTTAATGGTTCCAATACTAAAACGGATAAGTAATCAGGTTAGATCATTTACAAAAATATAACATTCAATCATAACCATTCATCTTTTATGGTATTTATAGAAGCATATTTGAACTAATTACAAAAAGATATCTATGAATCTCGCCTAATGGATAATCAAATATTTTAAAAATTTTATCTTCTCTTAAATCCTAACTATAACCTACTATTCTTTTTTTTTTTGGGCAAAAAACTATAACCTACTATTCAATATCCTTATTTCCCATATCAAAAATATATTTCCATTAACATTTAAGATATTTTAACTTACGCTCCAAGATTTTCGAACATACTGGAGCCAAAAACCTTACCCTCATTCTACACTATATATAAGAACATCATTCTCATTTGCCATTCATCAAGAAATTACTTCTATTCATAGCAAACGTCTTTTTCGTCTCTTTTAGACAATGTCTTAATCTTTTGCTTGGAAACTGCAAGTTAGTGTCTCGCATACCTGGAAAACATTCACGACCAATCCAATTTTGTAAGTACAAGATGGAGACAAAACCTTAAGCATCTAAACTATCTATAAATGTTTTTATACATTTTACATTCTAACTCATCTATAAATATCACTATTTCACGGTATTTGTTTAAGAATAAAATATAAAATTTATTCAAAAAATATGTTTTTACATCGAGTACAGTGTTTGTTTAAAAAATTTTACCTTACAAATTTCAAAACGGAAAACTGGGAACTAACTTCTCTCTTTATCTTGAGGCAAACCAAACCGCCATGCACTCTTCATATCTTCTATCTCCTTTCTCTCGTATGGAAGATATCCTGTTTCGAACTTGCTTGTCTAGACGTTTGACCAATTGGATTGATGGTGTTGGGTCTCACCATGTCTTCTACTGTTTTGCTCCTTTCATAGTGAGTGGATTGCAAGCTGAAATATATATCTCATAAAAACAAGTGATCCTTTCCCAAAGAGCTATCCATAAGGAGCTTTAAGTATATGTTACCAAACTGTTGAGAAACGCTGGTTTAGTAGCTTAGAAACAAGACCCGACCAAACATTAGTTGAGTATGGACACATGAAGAATAGATGGTTGCAAGGATATGTATTTCACGGTATTTAACTAACTCAAGAATATGTATTAGTTGAATTTCATTTAGTATAAAGTTAAAATAACTTATTACTAACCTTTATATCTAAAAGAAACCAGATTTTACATGGAATCAAAGAGGAAAATATGTTCTAAAAGAAGGCAAAGAACAATCAAGAGTTGAAGGACAACATTTGTTTCAAATAAGATTGGAAAATGAATCACATTTGAAACTCCTATTTTGTTTTCTAAAAAGTTCAACATGTGATGAAGATTTAAGGAATTACAAAAGTATTGTCTACGAGATATACAAGGATGCATATTCGGCAAGAGGTTTATTAGACGAATGATATGGTACTTTTTAAGGAGTATTTTTTTTTTTTTTTAGCAACATAAAACTTCATTCATTAGAAATTTGCAACAAACACGGATAGCGCAATTTTAGCGAGAGAATCAGCCTCAACATTGGCTCCTCTCGGAATGAAAGAACACGAAAATTCCTTAAAACGAGAGATACAAATAAACACATCTGAGAGGACACCATGGACCTCCACCAGAAGATTCTTGGATGAGATAGCTTTTGCTAGGATTTGGCAATCAGTCTGTAGAGACAGAGACTGAATTCCAAACTCCAAAGCAGAGAGTAAAGCTGAGCGGATGGCTAAACACTCCGCCATTAAAGGGGAAGACACATGCTCGCAGATAGCTGAGTGTCATTGAGGGAGGGTCAGAACCTGAGAAGAAAAGATCCAGCTAATCCTTGCAGTCCTGGAGTTCTGGTTTCAAGTTGCATCAGACTTCACGGATGAGCTAAATGGCACAACAGAACTGATCCCTTGAGGTGGAAAACCTCTGATTCCTCCAGAGGTGGTAGCTTCTCCTTGGGCTTCTTGCCTTTCTTTAGCGTCTAGAACTGCCTTTAGCAGAGTCTTTGCTTCAGAGAAAACTCTATTGCTAAACACCTTCTGATTCCTAGCCAGCCATAGATTCCAACATATCCAAGTATAGAGGGAACCTTTACTAAGCCCTGTGGGTGGTAAGCACTTCTTCTCCCTGAGCCAGCTCAGTCCCTTATGCACTTCATTGACCGCAAGAATCTCCTCCAAACTCACCAGAGGGGTCAACTTCCAAACCTGTTTTGCAAAAGGACAGTTGAATAGTAAGTGACAAACAGATTCTGGTTCATTACAGCGGATACACCTCGAATCCACTTGCATTCCTCTTGATACTAATTGTAAACCAGTAGGAATAGCTCCTGCCAACGCTTTCCACAAGAAGTGTTTTACTTTTGGAGAGGATTTAATTCCCCAAACCTCTTTAATCCAATCGCATCCACCAGAATCTTTGTGGTGATCCAAGCTGGACATTTCCTCTCTTGCAATAGCATACCCGGACTTTGTTGTGTATAGCCCATCAGACGAAGCTAACCAAACTCTCTTATCTGAAGCTCCCAGTCTACTGGGTTTTATAGCTAAGATTTCCAGAGCATAGTTGGGAAACAGAGACCAGACTTTATCATGATCCCAGTCCACCGTGCCATGCAGAAACAGATCCTGCACCAACAAATCCTTCTCCGGAAATGGCTCTGGCCCCATTGGTTGAGATTTCTTTGAAAGTGAGAGCCAAGGTTCACTCCAAACTTTCACAGATTTACCATTACCAATTACCCAGCCCAGCTGTTTCTTCAACAAATCTCTCCCAATAAGTATACTCCTCCAGCCGTGGGAAGCAGCACCTGAGCACTTCACGCTCAAAAGGTCAGAACTGTGACAATACTTCCCTAGGAAAACTCTAGCCAGCAGCCCCTTAGGTTCCAAAAGCAGACGCCAACTCAACTTTGCAAGCAAAGCATCATTAAAGGCAGTGATATATTTGAAGGCAAGTCCCCCATCTCGCTTTGTTTTTGTGAGTTTATCCCACGCTACCCAACACATCTTCTTTTTCTGGTCATTGGATTCCCACCAGAATCTTGTAAGAGTTGACTGAATTCTTTTACATAGAGATTTTGGTAGCTGAAAGCACGACATAGCGTAGTTTGGGAGAGTAGACAGTACACTTTTTAAAAGCACCATCTTCCTTGCACCCGAGAGGAAACGATTAGACCAACTCAACGCTCTCTGCCTTATCTTATCCACAATAGAGGTGAAAAGATCCTTCTTCTTCCTTCCAAATAACTCTGACGATCCCAAATACTTTCCAACCCCGCCTTCCTTGTCAATAAGTAACCACTGCTTCACTTTTGCTTTTAACTCTTCAGGGGCTCTCTTTGAGAAGAAAATTGAAGACTTTTGCTTGTTAATTAACTGTCCCGACGCCCTTTGATACTTCCTCAGAATATTCAGAAACTCCAAGCAGTCCTTCTCCTTAGCTCTGCAAAAGAATAACGTATCATCTGTGAACAGAAGATGATTGATTCTCGGACTTCTCCTTTCCACTCTACCCCAACCATTTTACCTTCTGCTTGTGACTTCTGGCAAAGGCCCGATAAAACTTCACTACACAGAATGAAGATGTAGGGAGAGAGGGGATCTCCCTGTCTGATTCCTCTTGAAGGAGTGACACAACCCATAGGACTGCCATTAACAAGAAAAGAATAAGTCACTGTGGTAATACATTGAAGAATCCATCCCACCCAAATCTCACTGAAGCCCATTCTGATGAGGACAGATTTGATGAAGCTCCATTCCATCCTGTCGTAGGCTTTAGTCATGTCAGTCTTTACCACCATGGAGCAGTTCTTTATTGCCTCTGAGTTCTTGAGGAAATGCAGCGTCTCATGTGTTATTAGAACATTATCTGAGATTGCCCTACCTGGAACAAACGCGGACTGATTCTCCGAAATCAAGCTGGCAATCACTGGCTTCAGTCTTCTGGTGATGACTTTCGAAATAACCTTATAGTACACATTGCAGAGTGCTATAGGCCTGTAATCTGAAGTTTTCTTTGGTCCTTGACTCTTTGGGATTAAACAGACATGAGTTTCATTGAAATATTGAGGCATAACTCCTGATTTGAAGAACTCTTGGATCTCCGAGACAACTTCCTCACCAATAGCTGGCCAATTGGACTGGAAGAAACTGGAGGAGAAACCATCTGGTCCCGGTGCTTTCTCTGGATTAATGTCAAACAATTCCTCCTTGATTTCTTGAGCTGAAGGGATAGCCTCCAACATACTGTTTAGCTCTTTAGAGATGCAGGGTCTGATTGCACCTGAAACCGTGCTCACAGTCTCTTCAATCTCTATTGGTGAAGATGTGAAAAGGTTCTGATAATACTGGGCAATTACAGAAGCGATTTGCTTTTCCTCAAAAACAGTAACTCCATCTTCAGATTCAATCACTGTCATGTTGTTCTTGCTTCTCATGCCTTTGGTAGCCGCATGGAAATACCCTGTATTTCTATCTCCCAATTGAAGCCAATGTTGCCTACTTCTTTGTTTCCAAAAAGCTTCTTCAGCAGAATAGGCTGCATTTAATTCTTCATTGATTCTTCTTAACAGAGATTCATCATGAATGGGACTAACCATTGCTTTCTCTAGCTCAATCTTCTTCTTGTTAATTTCCTTTTGGCTATTTCTTTGCTTGTCTCTGTTCCACTTAATTATAGCTCTCCGAACATTACTCAGTCTTCTGTGGATATCAAGTCTCTCATCCTCAGCCCAAGTGTCAGCCACTAAGCTTTTAACTTCTTCATCTTCTTTCAATCTTCTATCATACCTAAAGATCCCTTTCTTTCTCTTGCCTTGAGCAAAATAGGAGACGAGAGGCCTGTGATCTGAACCTTCAAACTTGAGGTATTCACAGCGTCCTTTAGGAAACAATTCTGTCCAAGCACTATTCCCCATGGCTCTATCCAGCCTACACTTCACAACGTGGGAACATCTAACTCCCCGCCAAGACAGAGGGTTACCTGAGTGTTTAAGGTCATACAAATCACATTCAGAGATAAAAGAGCGGAAATCCACAAAAGTTCCTTCAGCTCTAATAGGACCTCCATCCTTTTCAGAATTATCAACAATTTCGTTGAAGTCGCCAGTTAAAAACCAAGCATCTTCGCACAGCAGAGAAGCCTCTGTGAGCTCCATCCACACCTTCCTTCGCTTGGACTGGTCAGGATCCCCATACACAAAGGATGGATAAAAAGTCTGACCTTTAATCAAAATCTTGGTGTCCATAAAATTTGAGCAGCTTGATAAAACTTCCACTTCTAGAACTGATTTCCAGAGCAGCGCTAATCCTCCCCCTCCATATCCCTGAGGGGAGACTAGCTACTGTCAAATCAGACAGCGGTCCAACCTTCTCCCTACAGGCGGCTTAATGATGTGTTGCGTTTTTAACGGTTTCGAGTCTTGGTTTAGTCCGTGTTTTGAGTCATCTATCGTGTCAAAGTCCGTCTTTTGCGTCTTTTCGGTTGTGTCTTGAGTCCTTTGCAGGTTATAGGTGCTCGAGCTGGATTCGGAGCATCTTGTGCATGATTGAGCCTATTCGGAGCTAAAACAATGGAGAAACGGTACAAGAGATCACCAGGAGCTGGGGATCGATCGATCCAAGGCGTGGATCGATCGATCCCAATTGTGACGATGAAGCCAAAAGTTCCAGGAGCTCGAGATCGATCGATCCCAGGAGGGGATCGATCGATCCAACCCTCATCCGTCCAGACGTGTTCATTCCAGGAGCTCGGGATCGATCGATCCCAGGTGGGGATCGATCGATCCACCCTTTTTCGACGACCAGACCGGTTTTCCTTAACCGGGTTTATTTGCCTTTTTCTGTACTTGGGTATAAAAACCCAGAGAAACCTATAATTAGGCCTGGGCTAACGGTTCGAACCGATTAAACCGAACCGACCGAACCGAGAAATTAGGTTATCGGTTTCAATTCGGCAGAGAGACAAGAACCGATCGGCGGATTTCTAAATTTATTTCGGGTATCGGTTCGGTTCGGTTCGGCAAACGATAACCGAACGGTTTATTAAAAACCGTAGTATATAAGACTAGCATTTGTCACAAACCCTAAAACACGAGCCTCCTTCGTTTTCATTCACGACTTATCTCTCTCTGTCTCTCGAACCCAAGGAACTCCTTCATCTCATCTTAACCTCGTCAATTTCTTCTTCGATTTGTCATTCATCTCAAGGATCTATCAAAATCATCCGTAAATTCTCGTCGAAAGTTGTCAGTCTCGACTTCCTCTCGATCCGAAGAGATCTCGAATCAGTAAGTTCTTCTCTCTTACGAGTTGGGGGTTTATTTTATCTGTATTGGGGGGTTTGATTTTCGTTTTGTGGGTTTCATATTTGATTCTTCAAAACCCTAATTTTTCAAAACCCTAATTTTTCAAAACCCTAATTTTTATTTTCGATTTGGGGTTCATTTAGCTTGTATATTGTTCTCTGTTTTTGATTTGGGGGTTTGAATTTTGAGTTGGTGTTTGTATCTGAAAACCCTAATTTACTAATTCATAAAAACCCTAAATTTCGATTTGATGCATGTCGTTTATCTATTGTTTTCTGTTTTTGATGCATGTTTTATATGTCTATTTTGTATATGGCTTCTAAAGATGAGATTGACATCGACGTTGAACCAGAATCTGTTCCGGAATCTGTTAAGACTAGAAAAAGGTCATCTTCGTCAACTGCTATGCCACCAAAACCGAAGAAGAAATATGCTAAAAGGGCACCAGTCTGGCAACATTTTGTCCTCAAAGAAGGTGATGACTTACATAGCAGCTGTAAGTATTGTAGAGCTGAAATAGGATGTGATACGAAATTGGTAGGCACTAGTCCGATGATTAGTCATATAGAGAGGTGCAAGTCATTCAAGGAATATGATGAAAGGGATAAACAACAGAAGTTAAGTGGTGTTGATGGTGGCAATATGAAAGTGGTTAGGTATGATCCTCTTTTGTTTAGGAGAGCAGTCAATACATTGGTGGTAGTCAATGAGCTGCCTTTCTCTTTTGTTGAATCAGAGGGGTGGAAGGATTTCTGTGGCTTAATGTTGCCTATGTACAATACATTTTCAAGAAGAACATGCACAAGAGATATTGCTGCCATGTATTTGCAAGAGAAGGCTGCACTTAAGCGTCTGTTTAGTGTAGAGAAGAAGAGAGTTTCACTGACCACAGACATATGGGTGTCTCCTACAACATCCTACAACTACATGGTCGTGACTGGTCATTGGATTGATGCCAATTGGCGCATGCAGAAAAGATATCTCAGCTTTAAGGTGATCACGGACCACAAAGGAGACACAATAGCTGGACAGCTTCTTGACTGCATAGATGAGTGGGGAATTGAGAAGGTATTCACTGTGACTGTTGATAATGCAAAGGGTAATGACAAGGCTCTTAGGGTATTTACAGAAGCATTGAGGCTAAGAGGACCAGAAACTTTAGTTCAAGATGGTGATTTAATGCACATGAGATGTTGTGCTCACATCTTGAACCTTATTGTGGGGGATGGTCTTAAAAAGGCCAAGACTAGCATTGTGGCTATTAGGAATGCAGTGAAGTATGTGCGCAGTAACTTCCAGAGGTTGAAGTCTTTTGTTCTGCGGTGTGAGACAGGAAAGATAGCTAGAGAAAGCTTGCCTCTAGATGTTGTTACAAGGTGGAATTCAACTTATCTTATGTTGACTTCTGCCATTAAGTTAAGGCCAGCCTTTGAGAAGATGTCTGCTGAGGATAAGCTGTATTGTGAGTACTTTGAGGAAGAAGAAGAGAAGACTAAGACAAAGAGAATCGGACCACCAACCTCCACTCAATGGGATGAAGTAGAGAGGTTAGTGAAGTTTCTAAAGATCTTTTACAAGAGTACTTTGGTATTTTCAGCTTCAACATCAGTAGTTTCTACACTATGTTACAATGAGATTGTGAATATAGAGAAGAATTTGATCGGTAAGTGTGGTCATAGGACTAAAGAGGTTAGCGATCAAGCATTTCTGATGAGGGATAAGTTTGAGAAATATTGGGATGGGTTGCTGAATATGAATGAGCTTATGATCATTGGTTCTGTATTTGATCCAAGAAACAAGATGCAATTTGCTGACTTGTGCTTTGAACAGTTGTATGGTAAGAACACTATAGAGACTAGGCAGTTACATGCTTCTGTTACAAATGCAATGAAAGATTTATATGTGGAGTATAGCATCCGATTAAGCAAACCAGATGTTACTGATGGAGGTGGAAATCAAAGTGGTCCTCGAGATTCTGAGCAGCAAAGTACTACGTGTGATTTGTCAGATGATGAAGATGATGTGATGTATGAGGGAGCTGATGTAATTTTCCATAAGCAGGTTAGGGAAAGGAGCAATGTAGAAGGTTTTAGTGAGCTAGATATATATTTGGCAGAAAAACCAGAGTTGAAAGTGGTTAATCCTTTGGGGTTACCTTATGACGTTCTGCATTGGTGGAAGTGTAATAGCTCCAAATTCCCAATATTATCAGAAGTTGCTAAAGATGTCTTAGCACTACAAGTCTCATCAGTTGCCTCAGAATCTGCCTTTAGTACTACTGGCAGAATCTTAGATCCTTATAGGAGTTCTTTAACGCCTTACATGATAGAGGTGCTGCTGTGTACACAACAATGGCTGCGGTGTAAATTTAAATCTCAAGCACAAGTTGAAAACTTAGTGCAAATGTTAGAAGAAGTTGTGTTTTTCGAGACGCTTGGTAAGTATCAAAGTATCCTTCTTATTTGTTATTACTACTTGACTACTTGTAATGTATTGCAAACTAACAATTGATGTTTTTTTGTATAGATTCAAGGAACAATCTTGCTTCTTCTCAGCCTACTTCTTCTCAGCCTCCGTTATCAACCGATCTTGACATGGATGGAAAGGTAATATTATTGGCTCATTTGAATGTTTTCTAAATGCTATGACTTATGATTGTTTTGTTTGTCATTTGTGAATGCAGTAGCAACGATTCATGGAACTAGCTGCATCAATGAGCCAATGACTCCTATAGTGTCTTCTTTATGCTCTATTTTGCTTCCATCTTTGAATCAGACTTTTAACGTGGAAGTTTCTGTTTTGTTGATTCAGACTTTTAATGTGGACTTTTATTGCCTAGACTTTAAACTGGTTTGTAATGATTTTTGTTGTGACATTTGGTGTCAAACTGGTTTGTAACAAGTGTCAGGTTGTTTTGCATGGGTCAAATGGTCTAGTTCGGTTTAAATTAACCGAAATAGAATTTAATCGGTTTAATTTCGGAATAGATTTCAAACTTAATAACCGAACCGAAATAACCGATAACCGAACCGACCGAACCGAAGTTTTAATCGCGTAGTTTCTGAGGGTTTTTAAATCGCCGAACAACCCGAGAAACCGAATAAACCGAACCGAAAAACCCGAAAAAACCGGACGCCCAGGCCTACCTATAATTTTCTTTTTACGTTTTTTTTTCTGCAATTTTTCTGAGACTTTTCTTTGTAAGCAACCTTGGGATTCTAGAGATTCATCCTCTTTGACAATTTGGAGAAGATTTCTAAACCCTATTTCTTATTTTCATTGCAATTCAATTATGTCTTCTTCATCTATTTGTCTTGTTTCTGTTGCTATGTGTGAGTAGTTCTTTCAATTGGGTTTTAGGGTTCCAATTAGGAGATTCAATGGATTAATGGATTGATTGTGTTAGGAATTCTCATTCTCTAGGTTCTTTGATTCACATGTTCTTAATGCTAGAATAGGATTTATCACCCTGTTGTAGATTCTAGGTTTTTCTATGCATCAAAAGTGTTCGATAGAATGCCTGAAAGAATGTGGATTGAGCAATGTATTTCTAGCCAACGAAAGTTGACGTTAGGACGCATTGTGAAGTTAATGAACTTGTTTGGTAATGCGAATTTGACTAGGAAATTGCATGCGAAAGTTTAGTAATCGAATAGTCAAATTTAGTGATTAATGTCTTGAAAGAGAATTGGTTTAAATGTGTTCATGTTCGAGAACGGTTCTTAATTACTGAATTCCTGGTTTCATGTTTCTATTATTCGTTGATATCTGAAATACCCTAACGCCCAATGTCTTTAAATCTTGAAGTTAAATCGTCTATTTTAATTGCATTTTTATTTACAATTCCGAAAACCCAAAACAAAACAATCTTTCCGCTTTAGCTAAGAACGAGTCTCGGAAGTCTTTAGTGTACTATTGGTTCTTGTGGATCGACCCCGTATATACTACCTTGCGGTTAAGTGTATCAGGTAATTACTCGAGCAATCACTTAACATAGATAACCAGGAAGAAGCTGGAACAAGCAGAAGACCCTTAGAGAGAACCCCTGATACTGAGACCTTTACTCCACATAGAGGAGAAGAAACTAGAGGTAGTCTGGCAAACTCTAGAAGTGCTGCTCAGGGCAGTGTCTCAAGGCAGATGGATTTTCGGGTCCAATCAGCCCTGCCCCCGTAAAGGTACTGAGCTAGAACTGTCAAGGTTTGGGAAATCCCATGACAGTTCGCAGGCTAATGGAGATTAATAAGAAGAATCTCCCTGATATAATTTTCCTAATGGAGACAAAAAAATGTGGATGAGGTGGTTTTAAAGAAGCTGGAGGGTTTAAGGAGTATTACTTAAACAATTTTAGTGAAACATGAAAATCTTAATATGAGTTTTAGTTGAAAATTTTGTAATTTGTTTTTTTTTTCGGTTAATAATTTGCTTATCGTTGTCCTGAATTCTAAAAACTTAAGACCTAAATTTGTTGAACATAAATTTCAAATTTTAATCCAAAAACTAATAGATCTATATCTCTTACATGTAATCGAAAGTGATTACCGTCTGTATCTTGGTTAAATATCTGCAAATCTGATGTAAAAAAACAGAAACTAAATCAAATACAAATGCTAATCGGAAAGGGAAATCGATGTAATCATAATAACCTAACCGGGGTAGAATTTGATGCCCATAAAACAATTTGAGTAATCATTTATAACTCAATTCAAAAATAGGAATTGACATCTCTTTCAATCATTACAGACGAGATTGAAATCCCAGAAGATATTAAAATAAACGAAAAAACAAAACATGATTTAGACAAAGAACTAAAATATGCAGAATAGGATTACCTCATTATCGAATTCATAAGAGAGTTAACCAGTCATGTTTCGCAGGTCTTCCCTAGTCAAGTGCGCTTTTTAATTTTATTGTTCATTATTTTGAGAATCAAAAAAATGAATTCAAACAACAGGTGGGTGTGTTGACGACAAGAGATTGCTTTTTCGATAGTAACTAAGAAGAAAATATTGTGTGGCAAGCATCGATCTATCTGATTTGTTCTGAACGGAACCATCAAATCCACTGTGATATAGCCAAATCCGCTGATTTACTCATCAAAGAAGTTGATGCTCTGGTCCGAAACTGTAATGCAAGCCTTCGCTATCGGAATCCAAATTAATAGCTGCGACTTCGTTGTTTTACAGATTTAGGAACATAGTATCTTAAGAACAATAACACTTTGTGTTTTTCACATCCTCGACTACTCCACAAATTCATTTGTTCGTGTTGCGGTATGTATTTCAGCTCTCTATTCATAGTCTTTGGTGAAAACGGAATGGGAGAAGACACGTGGAGCCTCCAACACCGGTCTCCCAGTTAACAAAACTGATTGACAAGAGTATGAGAAACCGACTAAGTACCTTGGTATTGACTGAATCACCCGTTTTTGAAGGCGGGCTGCGATATTGGTTTAGTACCCATTGACGCGATTGATTCGTTCATGTTGTAATCTCTCCCTCAATTAATTTCAGATTTTCAGATTTATGTTGCATTAATGGTAAAACAGTCTTTTTTTGGTGAATAGATTTTACATTCATACAAAAAAAAAAAAAAACTTTGTGTTTTGGGCAATTAAGATTGCCCCTTTTTGGTTTTTCTATTTCTTTAAATAGGGAAAACAAAACAAGTACGAGGGAGTGAGTGACCACCACTCCTACAATTGAGAGAAAACATGGGAAAAAGGTGAACTCAAAGCAAAAACTCAAAGCAAAATAAAATGTAGAGACCAAGTCTTTAGTCGACATACTTCATATTGGGGTTGTGGGCTCATGTTGATGTCCTTCTCAAGTATTTGAGCCCATCATTAAGCCCATCAACACTTCGACATTCATCAAAATCATGCATCGGCCATGCTCCAACAATAGTTCTCTCACTAAATCGTCATTGGATCTTCCTCTATTCTCTGTCTTGCTCTCTCCTTCCTACCTCGACGATGCCGCAAACGTAAGGATAACGTTTGGGTTCTTCGTGGATTGGTACTATCCTTTAATGGGCTACTTTTAACTGATTCGATTATGGTTCATTTAAATGTGTGCTGGCCAAAACTATGCCTTATTAGCTTTATATTATTTTATTTCTCATGCTTTTTATTAGAAAATTCTTTATCAAAAAAAAAAAAAGAACAAAAGATGTCATATATGATTCTTTATATTTTGGGTTTTCTATAAATACTAATTTATTTCACCAATTATATTTATTTTATTTAAATCAACCAAGACTTATTTTAGAATAGAGTGTAAAACCAAACCCAACGTTGAGTGTTAGATTTAGTACATTTGGCCGGCCCATTTATAGTATTTGTACATATAACATATATTTGTACATATAACATAAAAATTAGTGCAACTTTTTGGAATATTCAAAACAGTCACATATAATTAACCTTGTATCCATTCTTAAAATATACTCCCTCCGTTTCGTTTTAGTTGTCGTTTAAGGTTTTTTCACACAAATTAAGAAAGCATTAAATTTTCTGTTTTACCCTTTATTAATATATTTTATAAAAAATTTCATTGGCCAAAACATTAAAACAGTATGGATAAAACTGGAATTTTTCACCAAACATTTGCATTGAAAACCTAAAACGACAACTATTATGAAACAAAATCTAAATCCTAAAACGACAACTAAACTGAAACAGAGGGAGTATAATGTTTTTTTGTCAACCACACATTAATTAATAAATAACTCTTTGACTGGTTACCCAATTGGCAATTAGAAGGAGAAGAGTCTACAAAAGTAGCTTCAGAAAATAAAAGTCTAGAAGAACGGGCTAAACAGTCCGCTTTAACATTGCATAAACGAGAGATAAGAGAAAGCGACTTAAATGTTTTTAAAGACTTAAATTCTTTATTTTTTATATTTCTTTCATACTCTTACTATAGTAAATTAACAAATAAAACATATGTTTTAACATTTTTATCTAACCACATTAGAATGCCTTCTGCTAACCAATAATTAATCTACCACAAAAAATCCTATATTCATTTTATAAAAAAAACTTACTTATACATTTTAAAAGATATGATATGAAAATCCAAACAAAAATATACACCCGCGGTATACCGCAGGTTGAATCCTAGTAAATAAATGAATTGAGTAAACCAGATTTTTGTTTTCAGAATTTGTAGAAAAGTGTGTTTTGGATACTAAAGAAATTTATAATTCTTGCTGTTTATTTATAAAAAATATATGACTAATTTATAACGAATTAGTCTTTCATGAACCTAACCCCACCGTCATAGTCCTTTTTGCCCACTGTCGTGCCTAAACTTTAAGTCGCCTAAGGCTAATTGTAAAATATGTGGGTTTTTTTTTTTACCTTCTTCAAATTTGTGTGTTTTAAAAAAACTTGTTGTTTATCATTAGAAGCAATAGGTTCTCATAACAAAAAAAAAGATTCTAAAACAGCTGGTTTGAATAACTGCGTTCATGACATCAATTTAATTTTTAAAAAAAATCTACACTATAAAGTTGAAGGTATAGGATTCTAAGGCTCCATTTAAACCTTAAAACAAACAATTGCAATTAGCCATCTCAGTAGTTAATATTTTAAAGATTTAATAGATTTATATATTAAGATACTGATAAAATAGAAGTAAAAAGCAACATAGGGAATAAGATAAATGTACTAAATTTGTTAATATTTTATCTTGAAAATTAGTCATATCATTGATTCATATTTCATCTAAATTATAGTCAACAAAAACATGACAATATAGAGAATTGTTTTTTTTTGTTATTGGACTGCTTAAAATAATATTTATTTCTTTCACTAAATTAATTTGTAAATAATTGGTTTCATAAATTTATTTCGATAAATTTGTTAATATTTGGTTTCGTAACTTTTTTTTATTGAAATGTAGTAGCTTAAACACTAGAACATTATCTCAATTTTAATTCAAACCATTTGGTTTCATAAATTTACTCACAACTATCTATTCACATAGGATTTTAAACATCCAATCACAATTAACTATCTCAATAATGAAGAATTTAAATTTTATTAATTTTCAATATTAAAATAGTTATAGAAAAAAATTAAAAATATATGCAATAGAAATATATAGAAGATAGAAAACTAAAAACAAAATTTTTATTAAAAAATATATGTGAAAGCAATAGAAATATACGAAACATCTAATCACAATTAGCTGTCTTACTAGTTAATATTCTGCTTTATTAAATTTTAATACCATATACTTAAGAAAATAAAATATGCAAATGCAAGAGAGATAAAGAAAATTTACTCGAATAAATAAAAATAATCGATCATTTATAGTTTCACTAAATTTGATAATATTCCATTTTATGTGCTTGTTGACATCTATAAGTAATCCCATTTTTTTATTATAGATAATCAAGCAAGAGGTAGGTGAGAAACTTAAATATATATATAAATATATAGAAGGTCATTAAGAAAATTTCCATATTAAGATTTCTTTATATATATATATATATATATATATTTATCCGTTTGAAGATTTTAAATAAAATATTTAAATGTCGATTGGTAATACTTATGTTTTAGATTTGACATTAGGATTATATATAAGTTTATTCAAAAAATTGGAACAGTTTTACAAAATTAAATATAGATAAATTATATATATGAAAGATGAGTGAGTTAAGTAATTGCTAAAATATGAAACAACAATAAATGGGAAACTTCATACACATTATCAATTTTTTATTTTTTTATTGTTTTAGGGCAAAAGACCATAAACTTGAAACAAATTTATTTTTACTTATTATGAATATTTTAAAGAGGATTAAGTACTAAAGTATATGCATGGAAGAATAACCACAATATATTTGGTGTTTATATAATTGACAAGGGATTATCTTTCAAAGAAATCAATGCACTTTGTTATGGTTGCAAATTATGAAAACTGTTGAGATGATACTAAACTTGACATGAGAGTAGAATATTATATAAGAGTCAAATGTGAATGTTATCGATTAATATATAGGAAAAGATTTCAAATTAACTAAATAAATACTAAGAAGATAACAAGATAATTTATGTAGGATATTTAATGATTAGATAAGGATATTATTAATTTTATCATATTAACATCTAATAAGGCTAGGTTTTTGAGAATAATACATATTCAAACGAAAATATTAATATATTTTTTCTAAAAAGCGGAAATATATGTTGATGTTATTAAACATGCTAAATGATACAATGATTCCTTATAAAGTAAAAAAAAAAAAAGGCATGTCGTTATTGATAGTTAATTTTTCTATTTGTCAGTAGTGATAATGATAGTTAAAATTGTTTGTGAAAATATATAGAGTACACTTACGCTAACATGAGTTCAATGCTAGGAATTAAAATGCCTATAAAACCCCTCAATTAGCTAGATTTTAGTAATTAGTGTTTTTTTTCGAGCGCTTGATTAACGAACCTAAGCTAAAGGCAATGAGCATACCAAATGAGTGAAATTTTTTCTTATGGTTTTAACTTTTTAATTATATATCTATCTCATAATTAAATTATATATTTTTAAAAAATTTTCTAACATAATCAATACCTGACTTTGAGCGATACAAAAACATAACTAGTAGTTTTTTCTAGTTTCAAAGATCAAAACTTGCTCTAAAAAATCCAATATATTTTCTTTCATCATAGTTAATAAATGTGAACACATATATTCAACGAATATATTTAGTTTGAAGTTATATTTGTATGTTTTAAAAATTTTATGTGTGAATGATAATTAAATTATTAAAACAACTAGATATGACAACACATATTCACTACATCTTTATGGATCACAATCTTGTTTTTTAAAATTAACGATTTTTGATTTGAGGTCATAGCCCAAGTTATACCCTTTCATAGCTATAACCACAATGATGAATTGTGAAAAAGACCCTTTGTTATTCATGATCGCGAAACAAAGAATTCCAAGAAACCCTTGTGGTATGAATATGCTATGGACATTTACGCTTGCGGCACCAATACAAAGCCGATATCCATTTTCTCTAACCATTATATATTTATATAGCATTCACTTTTTAGGTCATATGATATAGGTCTATCTATTAGATCGGACTCATCCACAAATTTGTAATACACATTTGTTGATAAGTGAGATAATTTGGAGCCCTCAGATAGAGTGGGTGACGAGAGAAGAAAGACAACGACTTTGTTGTCGTAAAAATTTGCACCATTTGTGTATAAAATATTATATATATATATATATATATTAGTCAAAAGCAAAAACCACAATGAATTGCTCTTCTATTACTCCCTTTATTAATAAACGCTAAATGAAAAAGAACAACAATATATATATATATATATATATATATATATATATATATATATATTATATATGTACAAAATAGATAACTTCCATCTTGGATTGGGTCTTCCAAAGTTATTTCCTCGTCAATAGTAATGGATTCCAATTGAAATATAGTGTGGCCTTTCGTAATATTTATTATTGTAGGATGTCCTTGTATGTTTGCACCATCGCCAAGGATTAAGTTGTGAGAGGCTCTAGGTTCCCTTATCTTACCAAGGAAAAAGATAACTTCGAGCCAAACTCCCCTATGATGGAGTAATTTCCAACCTCGAGGTCCAATATGCCCTTTCCGGTAAACCGTTGCAATACTCTTTGCATCTAAAATACACTTCAGGTACCTTTTTGAACCCACCATCAAGAGTATTTACTGTAAGCATTTCTTGCGCAAGTGTTCCTTTGATGTTGGTGTCGTCTAAATAATGTTGTTGGTAGGTTCATTTTCTCGTCAAAGTGTCAAATGTGAGATATGGATTGGGATCTTTTGATAAATATATAAATTATTTGCTGATGATGAGTTTAGATTTAACGATGATAACAAAAAAAATAGCAAATTGATGATTTTCTAGAGTTTGATAAAAGTGCTCTCGATCAACGTAGAAATTAATTGCTAACTAAAGAATTTTGCTATACCAATGATAAACAAAAAAATGAGCTAAACAAATAGTTTCCTGGAGTCTGATGAAATAGCTCATGAAAAATATAGAATTCAATTGCTCATTGAAGAATTTGGCTATAACCATTTAAACAAAAAAAAGAGGAGCAAATTTTTTGGTTTTCTGCTATGTGATGAAAGAGCTCTTAATAAACGTATAAATCATTTGCTGAGTGATGAGTTTGGCTATAACAATGATAACAAAAAAAAAAAGGAGCAAAATTGACAGTTTTCTGCAGCATAATGAAAGAGCCCATAATAAATGTAAAAACTATTTGATGATTGATGAGTTTGGTTATAACCATGATAACAAAAAGAAGAAGAACAAAATTGACGGTTTTCTCCTGGCTCATGAAAAATCTCTTGATAAACCTATAAATTATTTGTTGATGATGAATTTTGCTACAAACATGATAACAAAAAAAAAACAAAATTGACGATTTTTTATAGTTTGATGAAAGTGCTCTCGATCAACGTAGAAATTAATTGCTAATTAATTTTTTTTGCTATAACCATTATAACGGATAAATGAGCAAAATTGACGGTTTTCTATAGCCTGTTGAAAGAGCTCCTAATTAACATATAAATCATTTGCTGATTGATGAGTTTGGCTATAACTATAATAACAAAAAAAAGGCAAAATTGACGGTTTTCAAAGTCACTATCTTTTTATTATAGTTATACCAGAATATAGACTCTCATGACTTCTTAAAACCTTTAAATTAGGTGTATCCATCTAAAGTGTCGTTTGACGGGTGACCTTGTAGTCGAGTTCTACGATTTATGGAAGCGTCGTTCGGATAACACAGTGATATGTATTTTCAAGTTTGTGAAAATAGAGCTATCACCAGAACATAGGTAGAGATGTACAACCATTACCGGATGTACGAGGGTTATGTTGAATCCGGATCTCAGTATTACCGATGAGATACTTTGTTGGTAATTACTTTTTTTTTTGTCGTCCACAATCAAAACTCTAAAATTTTCAACTAAACGTTAAATGATTCTAATGTTATAAACCGGGTGTCAGAAATCCTGAAAACGACAAAGTACCTATCGTCACACGCAAAGAGAATGCTATGGAGTGATGACGTTCGTTATTTTCTTATTGTCTTGAATTTTTTTTTTTTTTTTTAATGCTTAGCATCCTATGTTCTTACTATATATAATATTTTCTTATCTTTCATAATTTTACCTTTTATACACAATAATTTCCGCGCATTTGCGCGGACAATCACCTAGTAATTTTATATATAATATGAGAACAATTCCACAAAAGACCATATAAAAAGAAGAAAAATTAAGGGATTATTGTCTAAAATGCCATTTTTTAAAAAAAACTTACGAAAATGTCATTTTTTAATAGTTTACGGATTTTGACCTTTTTTAACACTTATAAATGTACGTATTTATGATTTTTTTTTGCAAAAATACATAATTTATACCAAATACTAAACCTTAAGAACAAATGGAACAGACTAAACCCAAACATAACGAGTGAAACGCATGTTAAATCATATTTTTGGAGCTTGAAAAGGGGCAAAATCTACAAACTATTCAAAAAATGGCAAAATCCACAAATACCATTATAAAAAATGGCAAAATCCGTAATTAATTCAAAAATTAACTAAGCATAAAAAGTAGGACGGACCAGGATCTATTCTTCTATGAAAATTTACTTTCTACTAGATCTTAGATATATAGGCTTAAAAGCTAACCTTAGCTTTTATCCTCATAAATTCAAAATGCTTTCCGAAAAATGGATTATAGTACTATTCCCAATAATTGAATAATCAGTATGTTTTCTAAATAATTTAACAAACGGAAAGTTAATTCGTAGAAGTTAACGTTGAAAATTAAACTAAAACTTTTTTAATCATTTTTCTAGGAATCTTTTTCCAACAAAACATCTAAAACTTAACAAAAAGAATTCTCATACATCAGCCACGTGTCATTATTTGTTAAGCCAGTCGTCACTTTAAGTAACCGCTTGTTACTTTAATAAGCGGTCCCAAGTCAACTCACGCCACTCAATCATGTGCTTATGTAAATCAAAACTAAACGCAGACGCAATCACCATTTTTTTTATAGAAATCCTCAATATCGTGCCTTTTAAGGAAACTTTTGCTTTTCAGAATCACATAATCTATATACCAATCATAAGTTTCCAAATTTTGTTCTAAAAATATCATCTTTTTGTCCTTTTTTTACCAGAATCCCATCCTTAATTCGTGCTAAATCATTTTCCAAACATTCATACTTTTTGTTGGTTTATGACCAACTAACAAAATATCCTCAAGATTTTTTTCTGTGTTGTTCTATATAAAGCAATACCACATAGATCAATTTTTTATTCATTCTGAGTTTATATTAATAATCATAATGGTTTGGTTAATGAAAGTTTTTGTCTTTGTGACATTAGTCTCTTTACTGTTTGTAATAACAGAATCAGCTCCTGAATCTGCTCTTATTACCAAACTTCCTGGCTTCGAAGGCACTTTTCCTTCAAAACATTACTCCGGGTAAAATATTGAATTTTCTGTTCTTGAAATTTTAAATTTTCATTGTATTGAATTCTTGTTCTTGGTTTTGGATAAAAGTTATGTGACTATTGATAAGGATCATGGAAAGAATCTGTGGTATTACTTTGTTGAATCGGAGAAGGATCCATCGAAAGATCCGGTCGTACTTTGGCTCAATGGTGGTCCAGGTTGTTCAAGCATGGATGGATTCGTGTATGAGCATGGTCCTTTCAATTTTGAACTACCAAAGAAAAACAATAGCCTCCCACTCTTGCATCTTAATCCTTATAGTTGGTCCAAGGTGATTTTGAAGAAAAAATATTGGTTTTTTACTTGTTTTACTTTTTGTAATGTTTTGGTGCATAATTTGTTTACTTTTTCAGGTATCTAACATCATATACCTTGATTCTCCTGTTGGTGTGGGATTCTCTTACTCAAACAACATTTCTGATTACATAACTGGTGATACTAAAACCGCGGTTGACTCTCACGCGTTCCTTCTCAAGGTGAATCATAGCAAATGTTTTTAGATTTTGGGTTGTAATTCAAATCACTAAATGCGTTGTTCCTTAAAATGTTATTCCCCAGTGGTTCCAAATGTTTCCTGAGTTTCAATCAAATCCATTTTTCATCTCTGGAGAATCTTACGCCGGAGTTTATGTCCCAACTCTTGCTTCAGAAGTTGTCAAAGGTATCTTCTCCATTCATAATCTATGATGCATCTTGTCAAGCTTTTTTTATCTATCTTTTGGTTTATCTTGCAGGGATCAAGAATGGGGTAAAGCCGGCTCTTAACTTCAAGGTAACGAGATTTAACAAGTCAAATTCAGTTTCTTGAGTTCTCGTTTGGTTTCACACAATGATTGGATGATCTGCTCTGGTTTTGGACAGGGATATTTGGTTGGAAATGGAGTTGCCGATCAAGTATTTGATGGCAATGCTCTCGTCCCGTTTGCTCACGGGATGGGACTAATCTCTGATGAACTCTTTGAGGTTTGTTTAGTTTCTCAATGGATGCTTACTCTTCCACTTTCTTTCTTCTTATATTATCTAACGCATCGAAAAGAAAATCGCAGAACGTTACAAAAGCTTGCCATGGAAATTTCTATGAAATAGAGGGACTTGAGTGCGAGGAACAGTATACGAAAGTGTCTGATGTATGAATAATGTTTTTATGTTAATTTATAGACATTAAGAATGTTTGTAAGATGATGGTTTTAATATTATTCTTACATGTCAGGATACTGACAGGTTGAACATATACAACATTCTTGAGCCTTGTTACCACGGAACATCGCTATCTGCTTTCGACATTAGATCACTACCTTCAAGTCTCCTTGAGCTAGGAAAAACCGAACGACCGTTAGCTATAAGAAAAAGAATGTTCGGTCGAGCGTGGCCAGTTCGTGCCCCTGTTCGTCCAGGCATTGTTCCTAGCTGGTCTCAACTCCTTGCTGACGTCTCTGTTCCTTGCATTGTAAGTAAACCAAAACCACATGCCTCTCTATTTCACCACTTTGAGATTATAAGCTGAAACAAAGAACGTTTATTTACAGGATGATAGAGTTGCAACAGCGTGGCTGAACGATCCAGCGATTAGGAAAGCTATTCATACTAAAGAGGTCTCAAAATCTGTTTGATTCTATTACTATATATCATGAAAACAGATCATTGATGTGTTGGGAACATTTTACAGGAGAGTGAGATTGGAAGGTGGGAACTCTGCAGTGGGAAACTCTCATTCGATCACGATGCAGGAAGCATGATCAAATTCCATAGAAACCTCACTCTAAGTGGATATAGAGCTCTTATTTACAGGTACTTAGACGAAAATAGATAAAATGAATCTGAAGCCATAGGCTATAGTTTAGAGAATGATGAAATAAGTTTTTATTTGTAGCGGGGATCACGATATGTGTGTTCCGTTTACTGGCTCTGAAGCTTGGACAAAATCTCTTGGATACAAAGTGATTGATGAATGGAGGGCATGGATATCAAACGACCAAGTCGCGGGGTAATCTTTCTCGGCCTAGTCGAAAATATTATTTCTTTCTGGAGCTGCCAATGTTTCTACAATAATGTATTCACATATTTGCAGGTATACGCAAGGATATGCAAACAATCTCACATTTTTAACCATCAAGGCAAATATTGAATCTCAACTCAAATAACCATCTCATTTAATTTTGAAAAAAATGTTTGTTATAAGTTTTATTATTGTGGTAATTTGCAGGGTGCAGGACATACGGTTCCTGAGTACAAACCGCGGGAGGCTTTAGACTTCTATAGCCGATTTCTAGCAGGAAGCAAGATTTAAGAGACCTGTGTCATGAATTTCATGTTCTGTGTTGTATTTAAAAGTGATCATCTTATAGTATCTTGATTAATTTGAATAAGAAAGATATGTTCTTTAGCTCATTCTTTATCATAAAACTTCATGTATTAATCCTCTATACTTATAGCAGAATGCATGCTGTTTCTACTTTCTACATTTGAGCGGTGTGCCGTTCTCCACTAAAAGGCGTAAACTGTAACGCTAGTGCACACTGTTGGTGGTACCTTCATAAACATTTCATCAAACTTTTGGAGACAAATGCAAATTTACTTACTATTTTCATGAATTTGCAAGTGATAGCCAATTCAAATCAATTTTTGAATAATGAATTTGTTGTACTATAAAGATGGTTTCCATGGTATCTCTTAGAAAGCTGGTTTTGCAGTGGCAGCATAAAGATAACTCACATTGAAAGAAGTTTATAATTTGTTCATAATGCCTTTGTGGTCCATTTCCACTAAACCACACTACAAACTATGATGATTTCGATTTCTAAAACATTCCAATGGAAAAAAAACTAAACTGCTACACATTATTTCCTTGTAGAAATGGTCAGACTTAAATCTTAATATAGTTCAATTCAGGTTTTTAATAAAAAGGTCTTTATTTATTTATTCCACTAATGTAAGCTTAAATCCATCTTAGTAGTTTTACATTAACTTAGTGATTTATAGCTTCATCAACATAGGAGAATTCAAGCTTCAACATTGTCCTCTGCGACAAGACAGAGGAATAACAGAGTTGTGGGAGAGCAGCCTTTCCTTTATAAGCTTTGCAGACTAAGTCCACAAAATCACCAATATTCTGCCAAAAAATAAAACACAATCAGTATGTGATTTTTCACCAAAAACACAATTAGCCAAAGTTATAAAGAAGTTATGTATACTTCGTAGAGTGGTTCGCCGTTGAGTGTCATCCATGGTACATATTTATGCTCCGGTTTCAAACGTAATGTCTGGTTTGCATACCCAAGTATCAGCTGTGCAATAACAACCAGAACAAAAATTAGAGAACCATATTGTAAAATGTGTATAATAAGTGTGTTTTATTTATGTGTACACCTACCTCTTTAGAGAGATCACCATTGTAACAATCATTAATCGCTTTCTCGCCTCCATACTTCTTAACACATGATTCCCAAGCATTCGTGTTAGTTTCAACACACCGTATGAACTTATAGTGCAATCTCTGCGTTCCAAAACCATCACAATTTTCATACTCATTTTGTCACACAAAAAAAAAAAAAAGAGTAAATAAATGCATTAATCATTAAGTTATGTACCTGATTAGGCCAAGTTCTTATGGCACAAGCTTCAAGGGCGTTTAATTTGCATTCTTCTTCACCATGCTTAATTCACAAATTTATCAAACATAATCATTTAAAGTAAGATTATGAGATAATCATATATATAGGCCAATTAAGAATAGGGAGAAATGGAAAAGAACCTGGCAAGTAACGGTAAGATCATCGGAAACATGGGCGTTACCGAATGGAATTAGCTTGAGATCGGTGATTGTGTGGAGATCAGTGTTAAAGATTTTGCCTAGATGATGGACGATGAAATTCTGACAAGAAGGACAAAGTGATTCATAGTAAAGATTGAGCTTAACTTTGTCGGATTCTCCAGCCACGAGGTTGTGTGAAAATGTGAATAGGAGGAGGCAAGCAAAGAAACAAAATTTGGTTGATGAAGAAGAAGAAGACATGATCTTAATGAGAATTTGAGTTGAGTGCTCATGACTAGTTGCTTTGTGTGTGTATCCATTTATAGATAAGATATTTTTGATTTTTTTTGTCCCTACTCCTTATTAGCCACTACCAGTCTACCGGTGGGGGATCCAAGTCTAAAGTTTATGGGTGATAATATATTTTTCATTTAAATCAACTGAAATTTAAATTTTGTAAGAGTTAATTATGTAGATAGTCAATTTAGGCTCAAAAATGGTAAAAATGAGTGGTAAAATAATTATATTGGAAACGGTGCGAGGTCATTTTTATAAATAACGAGGATAATGTATAAATTGCATGTCATTTAGAAAGAAAAAAAATAGTGGGTTGAATTATTTTATTTTATTAAAATAGTGAAATATGAAAAAATCTCGTGCACATTTCACCTACTTAAAGATATTTTGCAAATTAACTTTTTCCTATAGTAATTTTGACAATTTGAATCAAAATTTTAGTCATTTAGTGAAAATATTAATTTTATAATGAGACTCCCAACAAATGAAATTATCTATAGAAAACATTGAATATATTTTTTATATAGAAGGATGGTAAAAAATAAAGGTGGTTATATTTTCCAAAGTTATTTTCTATTAGATTGTACACAGAAGGAAACTGGAGTTGAAGCCCTTCATTCTTCATCATTATAGAGCATACAGTCCTCTCAGAATGCTTGCCTTCTTCATCGCTGAGTAAACTGTAACATTAAGTACATGCGATTGTATGTTAAGAAGAATGTATGCTAAGTACATGCAATGCAAGTACTGAAACGCGGAATCACTTGTTTTTTAGCTGCGGTTTTACCTCACAGGTTTGGAGAGCAGTAGCCAAAAACATTTTTAAAGCAAGGTATTCGACGAGCTGGTCCTCCCAAATCAACTCTGTTTCAAAGAAGTGGAACGATCGAATCAAAAACTTCATTTTGAGATACGTATTCTAAGCCACGATCTACACTATATGGCGAGAACGAAAAGGGAGAAGACACAGTGAGAACCCGAGTACGCCAAGTCAACTAATCACATGAATAGATAAACAACTTCGGAATCAATTTTCAGCAATAAGAGCCACTGGAGATAGACGATACGACAAAGGCCTTCAACGATGGTTTGAGTCGAGACTCTAAACTAAAAACATTTTTGATTTTCTGTTTCGATTTCTGTTTTCTCATTTTAAGCCAAAAGTTACACTAGTTGTAAAAACGTATATTTTTTTTTTGAATTTAATTTAACATTACATTCAAAAAAAAAATGTATGCCTTCTTCTAATATCAGAATCCATTCCTTCTTCTTACTTAAAATTTTCAATACAATATGGCTGAGATTTTGGCACTTGCATTGATAAAGAAAAAACCACCAATGCTTCAATTCCAATCGTAACCGGAACCAAAATCGAACTAACGTTCATAAACGCGAGTCGATATCTCAAATGACGAAGATCTAACGGAGAGATCTCGATCTAGATGAGTACAACACCATAATCTCAGAACAAACTAAGAAGAAGAAGAAAAGATACAACTAAAATGATTTCTCTGGTTATTTCTGCAAATGATCTCTTGAGCCTCTTTATATTTTGATTTTGCTCTCATCTTCCTTCAACCAATTAAACTCTGCCAACGCATCATTCACATTTCTACCAATCATCTTCATCTATTCTGCCACGTCATTATGCAACACATTTGAGAAACCTTGACTTTGACTTAATCCCTTTTCCTGTATCAACTACGTGTAGCCGCAAGCTTAATTAGGATGTCACACTACCTGCATCTATGAAGGTAAAATTGTTGTTGCATCATCAAGTTTCTCATTTCTTGCTTGATTTTTTTTTTTTTAAGTAACTTGGCAGAATTTGGTATTAATAAACATTTCAACAAATTTTGGAGACAAATGCTATTAATTACTTTACTTTCTAGCTAAAGGGTATTTAACAAATTTAATTCTTTTCATTATTCTAAATTTGTCACTCGTGATATTGCCTAAATTTTTGATCCTTCAACTTGTAGTTGTAGATTGATTGTGTTTTTGGTGAATACTCACTTACTGATTGTGGACTTCCCAAAACTCTGTTATTCCTCTGCCTTGTCTCAGAGGAAAATGTCGTAGCTTGAATTCTCTCCTATGCTGATGAACCTTTCAATTATTAAGTTAATTATCAAACTACTAAGATTGATTTAAGCTTATGTTAGTGGAACAATTAAAATAAAGTTCTTTTCTAAACTTTTATGTTTTAGGCGTTGATGAACCTTGTAGTTGATTGAAAACGACTGGATTGAACTATATTAATAAGATGCCTACCAAACTTGTTGATGTCAAAGAATTGGGCCTAAACGGGTCAGCCCAATTATGTATATGTGGCCCGTTTAAACATCTCAAGGTCTGAGCAAGTGTTTTGTCGGTAAATGAGAAACGACGTCGTTCAGTTTCTCACTTGTCAACTTCGCGCCTAAGGTTTTGCCAGCGAAGCTCCAACGAATTTTTTTTTTTTTTTTTTTTTTTTGCGAAAATGCTTTCAATATAAATTGCAGGAGAAAAAAAGAAATTACAGGTCCAGCCGAGACCATATTGTTTTGTGGAACAAAGCCCACTAATCGTAACATAAAGCCTAAACAGCCCATAATTAAGGAACCTAATTGAACCACCAATTATTAGTATTTGTCGTTGGAACCACTAATTGAACACGATGAAGAAAGAAGCGAAGCTCTTCGAAGTAGAGAATAACGTAATACCCAGATTCGGACAAGATCAAGGAAAGAGATTGGATTTCGATTGAAGTTATGGATTCCGACGAATCTTGTCGTATTCAATTCTTTAATTTCTTCTCCATAGCTTATCGCATTCAACAGATTCAAGTGAGTTTGTCTTCGTGTTGTTTGTTTTTGTTTTGTTCTTGGTTTTAAGATCTTGGGTGGTTCTATTTTCGTTTCTAATTCATGGGTTTATTGGATTTGCCGCAAATTATTTGCAGATTTCATGGGGTTTTTAGATCATGTAATGTTGTTTAATTGGGTTTTGCAGTTACTGTGTTCATGACTTCATGTAATCTCGTGTAGGATACCAATTAGTTGTTATTTAGTTAGTAAAGTTTTGATAAAAGATGTGGCTATGTTTCATTTGAATGGCTATATTTCATTTGAATGCTATGTTTTATTCATCACATCACTTCTTATGATTTAAAAATCCAGTATAGTTGCACGTTTCATGTATGGTGAAATTCATATACTGAAGCTTATACTACTTTATTTGTTTAATAATTTTGCAGAATGGACTTTGAGTCTCAACATACAATAGAAATGCTCAATGCCCAGAGTGAATATATTGATATGAATGAGGAAGATGTTCATGATGAAGATATTGAGATGAATGAAAAAGAAACAGAAATCAAAGAACCAGAGCAAAGTGACACTCATCAAGCTCCACGAAAGAGATGTTTAACTTTATGGTCTATGATCTAAGAGCATGTTTATCCATAAACCCAAATGAGTATCATTAGCATTTTTTAGTATTAATTTAATTAGTTGTTTAATCTATGATACTCAATAAGATTTTTGTTAAATTTGTATGTTTAATGGTGAAACTTAATGGGTATCACTAAAATAAATTAGTATTTTTTTTTACAAAAATGAGAGAGTTTTTTTTTTTCCCCTAAATTTTTTTTTGGCCCATTCAAAACGTGACACATGGCCACTTGATACCGACTCAGAAGACTCACTTGAGTGATCCATTTCAACCCAGTCTCAACCCAAAATGAATATTTTTTAATATTTTTCATAGACTGATACTATCAAATATCATGGATAAACATGCTCTACCGTGAAACGTTGTGAACATGCTCACTGGCAACTGTGCTAAATAAATGTAAATCATTTGAAAAGTGATGTACTGTTTTGGTTCTTGATTCCGTTGACTTTAACTTTGTTAATGACTTGTTGAAAAGTCATTAATAAAGTTAAAGTCAACGGAAGAAGCCGGCAAACATGTTTCCTTCCCACAAGTAAGATGATTAGATAGGAGAACAAGTCATTTGAACTTCATTGTTCATAGGTTTCTTTGCTACAATTTTCTCTTTGATCAGATCCATCTGATTGTTAGGTTTTGTCTGGCCAAAGTTTGACACTAAAACTCCCTAGAGGGAGATGTTTCACTAATTTACCTGCCAAGAAGAAGAGCTTTCAAGTATGTAACTCTTGCTCTTTGTCAATTTTTTTCTTTCTGTTTCAGATTTATTTCACCGATTAAGCAGGTCTTCTAGGAACGAATACACTCTTTAAATAGAAACATCCCGAATTTATTTGTAGGTATGGCTATAGCCAGGGGCCAAATTCCTGAGCGATGGAGCTACGATGTGTTCTTAAGTTTCCGTGGCGAAGATGTGCGGGGGGGGGGGCTTTATAGACCATCTCTATATTAATCTCAAGAGATCTGGGATTCACACATTCAAGGACGACGAAGCACTAAAAAGAGGAGAAAACCTTTCCCCAACCCTTTTAAAGGCCATTAAAAGCTCCAAAGTTCACCTTGTCGTTTTGACAGAAAATTATTCTTCATCAATGTGGTGCCTTGATGAACTTATGCACATTATGGAATGTCGTAGAAACAACCCAGGACATGTGGTAGTCCCAATTTTCTACGACGTTGAACCAAGGGATGTGCGTAGACAAAGAGGATCATTTGGTGCATATTTTTCTAAACATGAAGCCCGCCACCCAGAGAAGGTGCAGAAGTGGAAGGATGCTTTAACAGAAGTTGCAAATCGATTGGGGCATGTCAGAGCAAACTACCGGTAAATTCGTGTTTCTCTGCTGTTGGCTTGGATTTTTTATCTTCTTTTTAACAAGTAATGATATGCATTATGCAGGAGTGAGGTAGAGTTAATATACGAAATAACTAAAGAAATTGGGAAAATGTCGACTATATCATACATGCAGTTACCAGCATACGCTGTTGGTATCAGACCACGTGTACTAGATATTTATAAGCTATTGTGCTTTGGTTCGGATGACGCACAAACTATCGGAATCTGCGGAATGGGTGGGATTGGTAAAACAACACTAGCGAAGGCAGTCTATAATCAATTCTCTGATCGTTTTGAAGGAACAAGTTTCTTAGAAAACTTTAAGGAATACTCCAAGAAACCTGAAGGGAAAATTCATCTTCAGCGAAAACTTCTTTCTGATATCACAAAAAACAATGACCAAGTGTTCAACATGGATCACGCAGTGAAATAAAAGATTTCGCAATAGAAGAGTACTTGTTGTAATTGATGATGTTGAAGACGTTGATCAGCTAGCTTCAGTCGGAATAGATTTGAGCTGCTTTGGGCCAGGAAGCAGGATAATCATTACAAGCAGGGACATGCATTTGTTAGAGTTGCTCAAGGTTGAAAATATATATTTACCAAATGCGCTCAACAGTGAAAAATCTCTTAAGCTTATAAGGTTGCATGCGTTTCGAACAAGTGAACCTTCTGAAGAGTTTATCCTGCTCTAAAAAAAGTTGGCTAAATACTGCGGAGGACTACCCTTGGCTATGGAAGTCTTGGATAGTTTTCTTTTCAAGAGAAGCATTTCCGAATGGAAAAGCACATTGAAATCGTTGAAAAGTTTACCCAATGATAACATTCAAGCCAAGCTTGAGATCAGCTTTGATGCTCTAAACGCATTCCAGAAAGATATATTTTTGGATATTTCTTGCTTCTTCATCGGTGTGGATAAAGACTATGTACGTTGCATATTGGATGGATGCGACTTATATCCCGACATAGGACTCAGTGTACTAAAGGAAAGGTGCCTCATTACATTCCATGATAACAGGTTAATGATGCACGACTTGTTACGTGATATGGGAAGACATATTGTCCGAGAACGTCTCCAAAAAAATGTGAAAGATGGAGTAGATTATGGGATCATGTTGATGTTATGAATGGATTGGCAAACTATCATGTAAGTAACAAAATCCTATGCATTCTCTTTCCCAACCAAAAATTATAAGGTAAACTTGGGATAACATTTCAATAACAAAATGCTTGTTCAATATTAGGGAACTGATGCAATTGAAGGACTCAGCTTGAAGGCCGAAGTTACGTCTGTTGAGAACTTGGAGGTTAAAGCATTTTCAAATCTGACGATGCTGAGACTGTTACAACTCAGTCATGTACATCTCAATGGAAGCTATGCAAATTTTCCAAATCGTTTACGATGGCTTTGCTGGTTAGGATTTCCTCTACACTCCATTCCAACAGACTTTCGTTTGGGAAGTTTAGTTATCCTGGACATGCAGTACAGCAACCTAAAACGACTTTGGGGTGATGGAAAGGTAAAAGTATTAGAATACATATCTTGGTATAAGCATGAGCATTATAAGCTTCCTTTGAAATTAGAAAACTTATTCTATATTGGTGTGATTATTGTTTTTCTTTTATTTTGTTCTATCTACAGCAGCCTCAGTCCCTTAAGGAGTTAAAATACCTTGACCTCAGTCATTCTATCCAATTGACAGACACTCCAGACTTTTCAAATCTCCCCAATCTTGAGAAGTTGCTCTTGATTAATTGTAAAAGTTTGGTTCGGGTTCACAAGTCGATAGGGACTCTTCACGAAAAGCTAATACTATTAAATCTAAAAGACTGCACCAAGCTTGGTGACCTCCCTTTGGAACTTTATATGTTGAAATCGCTGGAAACTCTCATTGTCTCAGGCTGCGTTAAACTTGAGAGATTGGACAATGCTTTGCGTGACATGAAATCCTTAACAACTCTTAAGGCCAATTATACCGCTATAACGCAAATTCCATATATGAGCAATCAACTGGAAGAGTTATCTCTTGATGGCTGCAAAGAGTTATGGAAAGTCAGAGACAACACTCATTCTGATGAAAGCCCTCAAGCTACTCTATCTCTTCTATTCCCATTAAATGTTATAAGCTGCCTGAAGACTTTACGTTTAGGTTCCTGCAATCTATCTGATGAATTGGTTCCCAAGAATCTTGGGAGTTTGTCTTGTCTTGAGGAGCTTGATCTACAGGGCAACAACTTTCGCAATTTGCAAATGGATTTTGCGGGTCTTTCAAGTCTACAGATTCTGAAAGTGGATAGTTGCTCAGAACTTCAATCCATGTTTAGTTTACCAAAAAGATTGAGATCCTTCTATGCGAGCAACTGTATCATGTTGGAAAGAACTCCAGACTTATCAGAATGCTCGGTGTTGCAATCGTTGCACCTCACAAATTGTTTCAACCTTGTTGAGACGCCGGGGCTGGATAAACTGAAAACAGTTGGAGTCATCCACATGGAAATGTGCAACCGCATATCAACTGATTACAGAGAAAGCATCATGCAGGTTTTATTATATATCTCTCTCTTTATTTCCTAAACTATTGAACTGATTTCTGATTTTTTGAGCAACGTTAAACACTTATTACTCTTAGTTTCTATCACTAGGAAAGTGTCATTGGTTATGATTTATATGATGGTGTTTTGTGCTACAGGGTTGGGCAGTGGGTGCTAATGGTGGAATTTTTATCCCGGGATCAAGCGTTCCAAACTGGGTTAGCTTCAAGAATGAGAGGCATTCTATCTCTTTCACTGTGCCTGAAAGTTTGAACGCTGATCTCGTCGGGTTTACCTTGTGGGTCAGCAAAACGATGTCATGTCTGGATACCCTCCAAAGATCATAGTGAACAATCACACCAAAGAAGATGTATGGATTCGCAGTCCAGCAACAGATCACATTCGTATGTACCATGAAAAACACATCTGGCAAGGACACTTTTCAAATGAAGATTTTTGTTTGGACACAGGGGATCAAGTGGAAGTTTCGGTTTTTTTTGGAGATCAAGTCACCATTCTTGGGATAGGACTAACTCTTTCTTACAAAGAAGAAGACAGTAATTCATCAGACGAAGACGTTTCAGATAGTAGGCTTCATAGACGATAAAATCATTGATGATGAACTAGTTCTGGCAGAAAGCCAAAGAAGACCTCGCAAGTAAGACATACAAAATAGAACCATCAGTAACTCTCGCTATTCATGATGTTTGTTTTTTTTTACCCCGGTCTTATCTTCTCTTGTCGTGTGAATTCTAGGAAACAAAAGACGAGACTTCTGGGGGCGTTTGTTTTGTTGTCATTCATTATTATTGTGTTGTATTACCACCGTTGGTGATCCTATCTCTACCCATTTCAAAGAAACTTGGAGTGGAAAGTAGCTATTCACTAAAGGAACTTCGCGGTGATCACAAATTTACAACTCTTCGTAAGTAAAATCTCCACTTTCTATCAGTTACTTTTAAAAAATCCGTGTCTCTGTGTGTTTTTACAATTTTGGGTTGATTTCAAATTTATATACAATGAGTAATTCTAAATTCGTTATATCTCCGTTATATTTTTTGCCCTCGTCAAAGTCGCTATTGCTGTTGCAGTCATTAGATGATCATATAGTCCTCTTCTAATAGCAGAATGCATGCCTTCTTCTTAATTAAAATTTTCAACACACTATGGCTGAGATTTTGGCACTTGCAATGATTATTTCGACTACGTGCGTGTAGCCAATCTTTTGGCTAAAAATTTCAATCTTTTTTTTTGGCAAGGAACACATATTAGGTCTTCCAATCTTTTGTAACACCTAAACTTTCATTATATGATATTATCTTTATCTATTTAATATAGTTCAGTTTAGGCTTTTTTCATTATAAGGAAAAAATAGATAAAGCAGAAGGTTCATGAACGCGTAAACATACAAGTTTAGAAGAAACGTCTTTATTTATCATTCCACTTATAGCATAAAGCTTAAATCCATCTTAGTTTAATAAGAAGTTTGTTAATTAACTCAGTGATTGATAACTTCATCTACATAGGAGACTTGAAGCTTCGACACTTTCCTCTCAAACAGGGCAGAGGAACTGCATAATTTTGGTAGAGCCTTTCCTTTGTACGCTTTGCAGATTTGCGCAACCAAATTATGGTAATTCTGCATCCCCAATAACACAAAAATACATTTGAAATTAGTTAAAAATGTAAATAATTAAACCAAAGGAAATGTTGTTAAAGGAACTAAATATACATCATAGAGTGGTTTGCCGTTGAGTGTGACCCATGGAACGTATTCATGTTTAGGCTTCAAACTCGAGGTTTGTTTTGCATACCCAATTATCAGCTGCAATTACAAAAAAAAAATGGTTATAATTATATATGTGTATATTTTTTTTTATGATTTTTGTATATAGACCTACCTTTTTAGAGAGATCACCATTGTAACAATCATTGATGGATTTCTCACGTCCAGATTTTTTAACACATGATCCCCACTCATTCGTATCCTTTTCAACGCACTGTATGAACTTGTATTGCAATTTCTGCTTTCCAAAACCATCACATTTTAAAACCAAAAAATAATATAAAAAAAACCATCACATAAAAAAACCATAAAAAAAAAATCACATTTTCTTGTTTTAAGCTTCTCACACATCCACACATACAAAATAGTATAGATATAGTAAATAAATGTATTCGTTCTATACCGGATCGGGCAAAGTTCTTATACCGCAAGCTTCGAGGGCGTTTAGTTTGCATTCCTCCTCACCATGCTTCACAAAATTTCCAAAATGGAGTCTAAGATAAACATATAAAGTGATCTAATCATATTACTAGCAAAGATTGATTAATTTATCAACAAAAAGAGAGAAAAATTGAAACTAACCTGGCAAGTAATAGTCAGATTATTGGAGACATGAGCGTTACCGAATGGAACAAGCTTGAGATCAGTGATTTTGAGGAGATCGGAGTCAAAGATTTTACCTAGATCATGGACGATGAAATTCTGACAATAGGGACAAAGTGATTCATAGTAAAGATTGAGCTTCACTTTGTCGGATTTCTCAGCCACGATGAGGTTGTTTGAGAATGTGAACAGAAAGAGGCAAGCTAAAAAAAGACATGGGAACAGAACAAACTTGGTTGAAGAAGAAGAAGCCATTCCTAAGAGTATTAGTAAAGAGTTTGTGTTGAGTGCCTATGACTACTGCCTTGTGCAAACATTTATAGATACTTTTTTTACCGTATGTAAATGCTTTTTTTTAGTAGTTGGTATTATAAGGCCTGAGATTTTTATCCGCTATCCGCAGATATCTGTATCCGTATCCGGTTTTTGATCCGAAAAAATGGATATCCGGCCAAACGGATACGGATACGGATAGTAAAATGACGGATATCCCGGATACAGATACGGATACGGATACAAATAATCCTAAAATTTGGGCCGGATAACCGTTATCCGGCCAAAAAAAAAAAAAAAAAAAAAACAATTGTAACTTAAAAGCCTTATAACTCCATTTTTCAAGTGTTAAAGCAAAAAAAAACTTGTAAGCCCAACTTTTTTAATTGTTTTTATTTTATTTTCAATGTTAATAAATAAATCAAATTACAAAAAATAAAAATAAATTCTAAGAAGAATTTAAAAAGTTGATTAATGTCTCTTTTTTTTAAGAACATCATTTGAATCTTTTAAACTTTTTGCTACTTTAATAAATTATTTGTTTTTGAAATGTTTTGTATATATAATCAACTAAGCTTTTTATATATAATATTAATGAATTTAAGATTTTAAAACACTATTTCTGAATATTCGCGGATATCTGGATTTTTAACGAATATCCGGATACGGATACTAAATTGGCGGATAATGCAGATACGGATACGGATACTGATATCTTAAAAAAAGCCAGATATTCGCTCCGTTTACAGGCCTAGTTGGTAAGTAGTATTTTTCACTTGAGTCTCTTTTTGACTTTTGTGTCCATGGTAACTCAAGATGCAAATAATCTACTCATTTCCAGAGGGAGTAGTAGTAACTAGCTAGGCTGGTAGTGGTTAACAGACTAATTGTTTTTATCTTCCATTTGAGTATATATTAACACATATATTATTATATATCTTGAATATTTAGGTATAAGATTGTTTTTATATGTTTTAAAATAGAATCACACCAGCTGTAGTTTCTACTTTTAGTTTTACCTGTCTGAGTAGGTCTTGATGCATCTTTCAAAGGACTAAACTTTAATAGTTTTTGGAATCATTTTAACGTCAATAAGCTAAAGTGTATGTCTAGTCTAAACCAATTAGAGGTATAGTTTTGCGAGATAATTAATGACATTTAATTGAATAAACACAACTTTCGTTCATCAAGAATAATAGCTAAACAAAATAGAAACAATAGTACAATGTTTCGGTTAGCAATATAATTAGAAAACTTGATACGAGAGTAAAGACGTTCGGAGAGCTAATCAATAGATTAATTTTTTTTCCCATGTATTAATTTTATGTTAGTTATGTCTTTAGAATTTGAAAAATTTATAAGCAAGTAATAACAGTGAGGCGTTCTCGGTAATGGTAGATATGAGTGTCGATTGCTTGCCTAAAAAAATAATCGACTGTTTCGGGTTCTATTGAGCGTGACATCGCATATCACCCATGAGATTTGAGCGAGTCCGAGTAGTCGCTGAGAACTGAATTATAGACCGGGCGTAGAGTTGGACCAACGAATTCTGGGCTCCATTGTAATTTTCCAAAAATAACATTATTCTTGTTTTTTCTTTGTAATAAAACTTTTTTTTCTATAGTGGGGTTCTATTGTAATAGAAAAAAAAATTCCTAAAATGGGAGAACTATTATAGTTTCATGTCCATGGATTCAAATTTGGCTTTGCCGGGACGGATGATTCAGATCTTCTGTTGCATAATCAGCAGTAAGGAAGTAGTATGGTTCAAACCCCTGTTCAAAAAATCGGGCGCCTAGCCGCCTAGGCGGCCGCCTAGTCGGTGATCGGCAGTCAACCGCCGCGATTTTAATCAAATCGGACTATTTAATCGGTAAACCGATTTTGCGGCCGTTTAATAATTAAACGGTGAAAATCGGTTAAAAGTCACCGATTTTTTATAAAATTTTATACTGAATTTTGACCAAAACTCAAAAATTGATTGGGCCTACATAAGCCCACACGAGCTATACTATGACAAATAGAAACAATTAGTAGGGTCATTTATAAGAAGTCGATTTCATGCTTTCTTCCTACTATTACCGATGTGGGACTTTGTGATTTTGAGTTTTGTAGAGATACTACTTTCACATAACGTGGCAACTGGCAAGTGATATCAATTCAGTAGTCAAATTAATAATTTGAATATATTTAAGTTCTTTATTTTTTTTCCACCAAAATCTATTTATTGGTGGTCACTATATTTAGGTTCATATATTTTTTTTTAACGTGGATGTCATTTAGTTATTATTAGTGACCGTTCAAATCTGATACTTTGTTCTTTTTCATCCATATATTTAAGTTTCAAATAAGTTTTTTAAACTAACAAACTGTTTTCATATTAATAATAGATGATATTAGTCAAATGTACATATATTATATTTGATACATATATGTATTTTGAATATATATAATTAGGATGAATGTCAATTTGATGTGAAATTAAATTCGCAAAATTGATGATAGATGTTTTAAACTTTTTTCATGGTTTTTGTTTTATAAATTTTGCAAACATGTTATCAATTACCTATTTGTATAATAAATTCATAACACTATAAAATTATTATAAAAATAACACTATATAATGATCAAAAACTAATCCTGATTAATCTTCGATTAATCTCTGATTTTCCGTCTAGGCGCTAGGCGGTGCCCGGCCGCCCAACTAGCGCCTAGCGATTTTTTGAACATGGGTTCAAACTATTGACCGCCGGAGTTAAATGGTGGAGTCACTCGTAGATTATTTCTTTTCAGATATCAATATAATACAGTTTAATAAATGCATGTCGGTGTATGTGATCGTTTTATCATAAAGGACTGTGATTGACTATTGACTAATGATTATTATTTTTTTAAACTTAAGTTACTGTTTTGCCAAAAATAATAATTTCGTGGAAGTGGAAATGAACTACTATTTTTATGATAGCAAATTAATTCTACAATCACATCTAAAACAAGAGAGAGAGAGAGAGAGTTTTGCTATAGAGAGAAATGGCGAGATCTATAGTGCTTATCGCGGCGGTTGTACTGGCTTTTCTAGTGGCGGCGCCGATGCCGGAAGTAACAGCTAAGAAATATACAGTCGGCGACAAAAAGTTCTGGAACCCCAACATTAACTATACCATATGGGCTCAAGGCAAACATTTCTACGTCGGAGACTGGCTCTGTACGTTCTCTCTATCTCTCCACTCTCAGATCTGTTATATTTAGCTTCAAATCTTGTAATAGTTTCAAAGTTGAACTTTAAGTCCAGATCTGGTTAGGACACAACTCTTAAGGTTGTCCGAAAGAAAGATCTTGGTTCTGTCTTTGGACTTATCTTGTATTTATCACTTTCTTGTCAGATTTTGTGTTTTATAGAGACCAACACAACATTCTTGAGGTAAACAAGGCTGACTATGAAAGATGTATCTCCACCCACCCAATACGCAATTATACACGTGGAGCTGGGAGAGACATTGTTCCTCTCTATGAGACTAGACGTTACTATCTACTTGATGGAAGAGGTGGTTGCTTTCACGGCATGAAGCTAGATGTTTTAGTTGAGACTCCTCCTCCTCCTCCTCCTTTTACTCCTCCTCCACCACAATAAGAAATCAATTTTATGTTATCTCTATAAGTTGTTTTGGATTTTTCCGGCAAGTTCACCAACTTGATAAGGCAAATGTTGTTTTCGTACTAAAGATAACTGATTATGTCGTTAAATTTCATAAGATGCTTTTATGTATACTTTCAATTCATTATAATAAATAAAGGTTTTGTTTGTGGCTTAAAAAAGTGTTGATTATACACTCAACCTTAGTGTTCATTATTAATAGTTCCCTACAAATACATTCACAATCTATAGTATAGCATTGCGGATAGTAATGAATATTGTACTAATATGTTTTTATTAGAAACTTTTTATGACTACTTAGTAACGGATTAATTCTTCATGAACCAACTATACGGTCATAATCCGTTTTGTCCCTCGTAGATGACTGATTTAGTTACTCAAGAAATGAACTTAGGAGCTTGAACGAATCGGAAAAAGAAGGAAACCAAGAGAGTATGTAATTATGCTCTTTTTGATTGATAACTTACATGTTGATCTTGAGTTATAAACCCTAAGCATTACCACAAGTGCATGGTTATGTGAACGAATCCACAGTGAAATTAAAGGCTTATCATCACAAAATAAACTTAATCGACCGAATCAAAAGATTGCAATGCAAAGACGAGTAAATAAAGATGCAATAGAATTAGGCTAAGTGGTTAAGACAATAAACTAAGAAAAGAAAATAAATAAACTATTGGCTCAAGGTAAAAGCTAGACGATCAACGTAAAATAATGATCAAACAACGATACAACTCAAGCTAATGGATCATTTAAGTATAAATAATTAACCCAATCCCGTGGCGCTGATCGCGACTTTGCTAATAATTCAAAAGTTCAAAAACTCTTGTTTGATGAGTCAAGTAAATTAGCAAGGCTCTATATCATGTCCAATAGCTTCACAAATCACTCTACTATACAAATTTTCTCATGATGCGTCTTTTGTCAAATCAAGATTGTTCTGATGGTATCTCTCTTATAAAGGTGGTTTTCATTAGCAAAACATTTCAAAAAAATTGATAAATTTAATTCATTTTTGTCCATTTCCTCTGAAACTACATAAACTGGTAGATACTAAGCGTGGTTCTTTGTGATCAACAAGTTTGGTAGAACCGTACAAGAAAAACAGGGGAAAACCAAAGCATAGCATGTAAATGTAAACATACAACATTTATACTTAATTTTGTTCCTTTGTTTTTTTTGTGATTGATTTTGTTTTGATGACTTGATGATGATAATGTAAGTAGTGTAGAGTGTTTCTCACATTAGTTACTTGTCCAAACGGTGCTAATATAGTTCAACTCTGGCGGTTTTAATCATAAGGTTCATCAACGCATAAACATAAATTTTTTAGAAATAAGGTCTTTATTTAATTATTTCACACTGACATAAGCTTAAATCCATCTTAGTGGTTTGATAATTAACTTAGTGATTGATAGTTTCATCGACATACGAGAATTCAAGCTTCGACATTTTCCACTCCGACAAGGCAGAGGAACTACAGATTTTTGGGAGTGGAGTCTTTCCTTTGTAAGCTTTGCAGACTTGGCCCACCAGATCATCTAGATTCTGCATCCCCAATAACACACACAAAGAACAAAAAAAAACAGAAGACATTTAAAATTGGTTGGAAAATGTAAATAAATGAAAGTAAGTGTTAATAAAGGATCTATATATATATACAGTATAGAGTGGTTTGCTGTTGAGTGTGACCCATGGTACGAATTCATGTTCCGGCTTTAGACTCGAGGTTTGTTTTGCATACCCAAGTATGAGCTGGTAAATTACAACAAAAATAATGGTTAATTATAAGGTTATATAATTATGCAATATATATGTATATTTTTATAATTATGCAACCTTTTTAGAGAGATCACTGTTGTAACAATCATTGATGGCTTTCTCATCTCCATATCCATTTAAACATGATGATTCCCAGTTTTTGGTATAGTTTTCAACGCACCGTATGAACTGGTACTGCAATTTCTGCGTTCCAAAACAATCACATTTTTTCATTTTTTTTATAATGTCATTTTTTCATATTAAAACTGTAACAATTATTTTCCCTGAATTTACCAAATATAGTAGAGATAAATGCATACCTGGTTAGGCAAAGTGTTTATGACGCAAGCTTCAAGAGCGTTTAGTTTGCATTCCTCTTCACCATGCTTCACAAATTTCCCAAACAATAATTTAATTAGAAATAGAGTTTAAAATAAACATATACAAGTGACCTTTTATCATATAAATAAGAACAAGAAGGGTAAGAAATTGGTAAGAACCTGGCAAATGACAGTCAGATTATTGGAGACTTTGGCATTACCGAATGGAACGAGCTTGACATCGGTGATTGTATCGAGATCGGAGTCAAAGATTTTGACTAGTTCATCGACGATGAATCTCTGACAACCGGGACAAAGTGATTCATAGTAAAGATTGAGCTGAACTTTGTCGGATTCTCCAGCAACGAGTTTGTCTGAGAATGTGAACAGAACAAAGCAAGTAAAGAAGACAAGCTTGGTTGAAGAAGAAGAAGAAACCATTGTTGAAAATATTTGTACTAAGAGTGAGTTAGTGAATTGAGTGCTCATTCATGACTACGGCCTTGCTGTTTATTTATAGACAAGATATTTATTTTTTACCGTTACGTGTTTTTTTTTTACTTTGGGTCCTTTTTGACATTTGTGTCCCACTCTCTCATAATATGTGGAAAGAATTTAAGGGTCATAATTTATTCATCATTTAAATCAAAGTTGATAAAATTTTATAAAGGTTTTATTACGTAGAAAGCCAAACTTTTGTTCAAAAACGGTAAAGAAAATATTGGTAGAATAGTAATTAAGAGAGAATGTTCTGTTGATTTTTTTTACAAATAGCATAGATACAGTAGTATATAAATTTTGTGTCATATTGAAGAAATATCAGATTAACAAAAAGAAAATAGTGTCATTGAAAAAAAAAACATGAATTAGAATGACAAAAAAACTTTATCAAAGAAAAAACATGAAATTACGAAGTAAAAATCTCACACACATTTTCATACACTTGAAGGTATGTTATGAATAAAGATAGCTATAATCATCAAATTTGGCAATTCGAGTAAATTATTTTATCATCTAGTGAAAATGGTCAATTTATAATGAGACTCCCAACAAAAAAAGAATTATACATACAACAAAAAAATAGAATTAAGAAAAAAATATGATAACAAATAAAAGTGGGTATATTTTCTAATAGATGTACACAAAAGACAAAAACGGAGGTAAAAAACGCTATAAAGAGTCGACTCCTTTGCTTAGTGGAGTCATAATGAACATTTTTACCGTTTTATCTAACACACACTGACTGACATAAGCTATTTGGTCTCTGGTCAGATTGTGTTTATCAGATGTTCTTTATGTTTAATTTAGTGAAGATAAGATTTTTTTTTTTTTTTTGTCAACAGCTTAAATTAAACGCTCAAAATAGCCAATCCTGCGGAATGTTGTTTACATAAGTGATGTGAAGCGGTTCGGTACGAACTTATCGAGCCAATCTATCTGCTTTTACATTTGCGCTACGAAGAATTAAAGATAAAGAAAAACTTGAAAATTCTTCCCTGTCACTCTGAAAATCCTCCAGGTACACTGAAAAAGCCGGCCATTTGGTTGGAGAAGACACCATCTTCACCAAATCTGAACAGTCTGTAAAGAAAGCTACATCTTGGTTGTCAGCACCAATCATACACTTCATCGCCCAAAAAAGAGCTTCGACTTCTGTATGTAGAGGAGATAGACTTCTACGGATGTTGGCAGCTCCCATGGTTGGCATCTCTCCATTTGATGATGTACAATACCATCCTGTTCCTGAATAAGTATCGGTTCCTTTCCATGATCCATCTATGAAACAACGATATCCTGAATAGTTAGAATCTAGTGAGATTTCCCTCACTCGATTTAGATTTTCAGTATCGAAAAAATCATGGTTATCAGTATGAAGCTCAATTTGAGCTAACTGCCACGATTGCGCCTCTTTCTCCGCAAAGCGTAAGATCTCTAGTGGATCTTTATCCACATTGTCAAAGATCTTTTCATTTATTGCTTTCCAAATGTACCAAATTATCCATGGATAAGAAGATGAATCTACTTCTGAAGGTATTCTCCAAAATATGTGATCCAAGTTCTCGTAAATAGAAGCCGTGGGAAAAATTCCCGGGACCGAAGGAATTTGAGAAAGAGCCCAAATTTGTCTCGCTGGATGGCATTCAAAAAGTGTATGGTTAATTGTTTCCTCTATGGCACCACATTTAACACATCCGGTATCATAATTTATACCTCTCTTTCGCAGATTCTCTGTAACCGGTACACAACCTGATAAAATTTGCCACAGAAAATATCGTACCTTAGGTGGACACTGCACCTTCCAAGCATATGCTTTTAAAGGTTTTATATCCGGGCCAAAAGATTTTAAACTGGCATCCAAATCCTCCATCCGAGCCGTATGGTAACCAGATTTAACTGTATATTTTCCAGATTTAGTGTAATGCCAACCAAGGGTATCCTCTTTAGTTGACGCACCCAAAGGCAAGGCACTAATCAGCGCGACATCTTCTGGATCAAAGAGCTCTCTTAAGAGATCCATGTTCCAAAAATTTGACCGGCTGTCGACAAGGCTATTAACTTTTAAAGATGGGTCAATAATTGAACCATTACTTTTTGCTGGTCTCGGGAATTGAGCTAGTATCCATGGATCCTCCCAAACTGAGATGGACGCCCCAGAACCCACTATTTTAATAAGTCCTTTAATAACCAGAGATCTAGCTGAGTGAAGATAAGATTCTACGCCTACTTCATAAAATCTGACAGTAAATCATAATTCTTATTTTAAATAATGCATGGTATAGCTAGCATGTAACAAATAAATATAAAATAAAGTGATTAGAAGTTAAGTTACTCAAGCTTCTACCTAACTAGCTAAGTAGGTCTTAATGCATCTTTCAAATTGCAATATTTAGTAACCACTTTATTAGTATTGGAAAACAATTAATGACAATATGCGCAAGTGGGTGTCTAGCTTGAACCTAATAGAGTCTAGTTTTTCCCTTTTATCTAATGTCATCAAACTAAGATTGAATAAACTCAAGTTTCCATTTCATCAAGAATTTTCCGTAAACAAAATAATTTATTTTTACTTAAGTAGTTTGATTAATAATAAGATTTGAAACCTTGTTACAAGATTTAAAACCTAAGAAGAGAGCAAATCATATATTAGTTTCATTTTTAAATATATTTCTGCATAAAAATATTTGTGTGAGTCATCTATTTAAAATTTTATAAGTTTATACGCCTTTCTAAGTGATTTACTTTTATATTTAATTTATGTGAAATGTCTATACAATTATGAGTTTGCTTTACTAATTTTAGTGCATCTGTACTTAATTTAGGTAGCAAACTAATTCTTAAAAAATGAGATCAACAAATGCCGAATGATTAGTTGTCACGAGCATATTCCAACGTTTGGATTTAGCCAACGAACTAAGAAAACATATTGACTTGTTTATTTAAAAATAAATGAAAAGCATACCGTTGGAGAAATCAGCTAGCCGTTGAAAATATGTAAGTAGCATTAAATTAGTTTTTGTAAGTTTGTGTATATGTTATGAACTATGAATGAAAATTCAATACAATTTTAATATGGTATCAGAACCAAAACATGAGATGTGTTTTAGTCCGTTAAAATATGTTGTCGCCATCACTTCCAAGGGTTTGTAGAACTAATGGACAATGAGGCTCGACAAAAAATAAACCCCAAACATACATTAATCCAACCTGAAACGAAATTGATTTTAACCGGAATTATTGTGACTGATCTGATCCGATCTAAGAATTTTTTTATATGAATATTCAAGTCTTCATTAATGGAGTGTTATTCTAATAACAACATTACCTATGAAACCATGTGTTCTCATACACCACAACAAAACGATGTTGCCAAACAAAAAACTCGTCAGACAACGCTTTCGTTTATGCTCGGTGTTTAAAAATCTTCTTACTGTTGGACGGATACGAGCACTCAGCCTTAGAATCAGGCCCGCCTCTTGGGGTGTGCTGACTGTGCCAAAGCACAGGGTCTTATTTTTTTAATTTTTTTTCTTTGTATTTTAGGGTCCAAAATATTCAAATAACTAAAAAATAGGATCTAATTTTTAAAATATTAAATATTTAAACCATCATGTAAAAAACAATTACAATATAGCATAGAGCCCAGTAATTTGTTGGGCCGCCCCTACTTAGAATATCATCCCGGGTATAAAAATTCTAATCTCTATTTCATTATCTTTGTTTACATTTCTCTTTTTTTTTTTTTTTTTTTTTTTTTTTTTTTTACATTTCTCTTTGTACTCTATTTTAATGCTCCCATCAAGAATTTGTAGATGTGTTGTGTTTGTGTCATTTTACATATTATAAGCATCATAAAACTAGGTTGGAACTATGTGTAGTTCGAAGTCTCTTTCTTGGTTAAGGGTTATAAGAGTTATGAGATCAACTCGGACATGTATACACTACGATGGATGTTACAATCACTAAAAATGGAAATGTTCTACCTAACCAACTCAATTATTTATGGGGGAGACTAGTAATGAAGATAAACTTGAGTTAGCTAAAATACGATTGGCCAACTTTTGAAAAGGAACATGAATTTGATATTAACTCAAAGATAATTACTATGCAACAAGCAAATGTGGATGTAAAAGACTTGTAACGATGAAGATATAAGAAACAAATCAGAATTATATGCTTGAAAAAAGTCAAACTCAAACCCTTGTGACCTTGAAGATGTGAGCAAAAGTTCATTAGTGGAGACCACGCTTGAAGGAAATTCAAACGCAAAACACTCATGAACATGAAGACATAACAATTACTAAAGGGGATTGAAAATGAAGTTGAGCAATACATTAGTGATTAAAAGACAATTATTTGGAAATTACTGATTCATTAACAAGATAGACAAATAATTTATTCACTGGAAATATCCAAAAAAATATAACTAATACATATATCTTGCCTCTCATGTTATCTAAAAGAAAACCATCTCGAGCCGATAATCTCCAGATATATTGCATGCCTCTACGGCATCTAGATCAAGCTAAAATATCAACTCCACATTTTGGGTGCATGCATTATTTACCAAGGTTAATGAGTAACAGCAATGGTAATGCGCCAAAAATGTTTCGAAATGCGTCTTATGGATCTCTCTGTCCTTGATTCTAGACTCATTATAAGTGTTTGTACATTTTAAGCTCAAGGTTGCAAAAAAACAAGAATTAACAAATAACAAGAATAGATGAATTGAGTGTCATTTACTCAAGGTGTTGTAAGAAAGCATCATGCATTCAATAACTAGAACAAGGCTTGGTTCGCTTATCAATTGTGAAGAGTTATATCGAACCTATCAAATGGCTACTTCGGTACTTAAAAACTACTCAAGGTTTATGAATGGTTTAAGGAAATCTAGATAATTATGATGTCTCCTTTTTACAATTTTACGTGGAAGGTTGATTGCAAAACAATTGATAGTTCAATTCTTTTGTATATAACCCGCAAATGAATATTCAGTGAAATTCAACATGCTACTATTTCGTGTCTCCATTGCTCGGCGAGTAATTATGGTTAAACTAGTGGGGTTCCCTTAATTGTGTCCGAATTAGATGATTCATAAAGTCTATTTCAAGACATATATAACTATTTTTAGCCTGAAAAATGAAAGATCCAAAAGTGTTGAATCTATCAACAGAATCCGTTAAGCTCTCTCTCTCGCTGTCTTTTCTTTTTGTAAAATTTTCTGTCTTCTCACGACGTCCTTTTTGCTTAAACTTTTTTTCTGTTACAAGATTTCATTTGCTTAAGCTTCCTTTAGAATCTATTTGTTGATCTTGATTCTTCTTCTCCATTAGTTTTTGGCTTAAAGATCATCAAGGTTTCAATAAAGAATGGATCGTGGAGAATTGAGTAGAGTGTTCCAAATGTTCGATAAGAATGGAGACGGGAAGATTGCGAAAAACGAGCTGAAAGACTTCTTTAGAAGCGTGGGAATCATGGTCCCTGAAAATGAAATCAATGAGATGATAGAAAAGATGGATGTGAATGGAGACGGGGTCATGGATATCGATGAGTTTGGATCATTGTATCAAGAAATGGTGGAAGAGAAAGAGGAAGAAGAGGATATGAGAGAAGCCTTTAGAGTATTTGATCAGAATGGTGATGGTTTCATTACAGATGAAGAGCTGAGGTCGGTGCTTGCGTCAATGGGGTTGAAGCAAGGAAGAACACTTGAAGATTGCAAGAAGATGATAAGTAAGGTTGATGTTGATGGAGATGGTATGGTTAATTTTAAGGAGTTCAAGCAAATGATGAGAGGTGGTGGATTTGCTGCTCTTAGCTCCAATTAAACATTCCTAAATTCTTACAATAAATTTTGTATAGATAACCATCGAAGCTAAGACGTTTTTAATCAGGAATGTTTTCTTTTGAAGTATGTAAGATCTTTGTTTATTTTCTTCTAGCGCGATTTAAATAATACCGAACCAAAATTTAGATTGTTTTTGGTAATCAAGAACTTGTGTGCCTTATCATCATTATCTTCTCTTGTTGAGGACAGAGCCTAGTTAATTAGTTCCTTCGTTTTCCGCTGAAATTCGAACTTGTGTGTGATCTTGAAAACATGTCATTTTATTGTCTAGCTGATGTACCAGTTTAGCTAAAACCGACCCTATATTATACTGTTTCAAGAGCTTTGAATGAATTTGTGCAGATGATATGATATGTTGATGAACGGAGGAACAAAGTCAAGAAACTCAAAATAAGCAGAGTGATCAGAAAGCAAAAATGCATGCGATGATCAATCTTCGGTTTTTTGGACAAATGCATAGATGAATCAAGCTCTTGTTTGTATTTGACATTCAAGTTTCTTAATATTCTCTACAATATCCCTCACTTTAAGTGACAATTCTCCCGTATAATGTTCAAAATTATCGATAAAACTCACCAATCGATCCCGATACGCATCGCATAATCGGTCCTGACACTCGATCTCCTCTGCAAGCTCTTTAATCTTCCTATCCTTATCAGCCTACAAAACAGTAACACAAATCTCTGTTATTCAACCATAGTGTGTAGTAGTAGCAAAGCAAAAAAGACCCAAATATGTGAAATGGAAGACATACAAAGGGATTTCAAGTGTTTGTAATATTGCAAATCAAGTATCCAACCAAGTCTTGTATCAGCAAATTAAGACCCAAAGATGCAAAAAACAGTAATATAATTTCTTCAAGCATCTAAGTCTTGTAATAGCAAATCAAGACGACCCAAAGATGAAAAAAAAACAGTAACACAGATCTCTCTACTGAAGCATCCAAATCTTCTAATAGCTAATCAAGACCTAAAGATGCAAAATTTGAAGACCCAAAGATGCAAAAAATACAGTAACACAAATCTCTCTTTCATCAACCAACCAAGTGTCTAGTAATAACAAATCAAAAAGATGCAAACTTTGAAAACGTACAAAGGAATTAGAAGAAGACCCAATGAATAGAAGTGAGTGATTGTGTTCTTTGACGAATCTAGTAACAACCCATTTCCCAGATTTCTCCATCTTCACCAAAATCGTAGCTTTGCAACCTTCACGTGAACTAGAACAACTAGATCGTGGATCAGTACGAGAAAAGCCTTGTTTGTTACAACCTAATCTTCTCGCAAGTGATCTTCCATCGATCCCTGATCGTCGTCTCTGCATCATACGTACAACGAACCCTAATATTTTGGAGTATTCTACATAGAACTCTTTAGCTTCTTCTTCTGACTCGAATTTCATACCTACGTAAGGTTCATGAAGTTTCAGATCTCCGGTCATCATCGGAATAATCAAGATCCAAGTGACAAAACCCTTTAACGATCGAGTTCGTTAAGTTTCAGAGCACGTTCTGTTAATGGTGATCAAAGAGAGAGATGTGAATAATAAATGAAGGAGAGGGAGATATTTCCGGTATAAAAGTCACCGGAGTACAAAACTACGCTTTTTTCGGTATGTTTGTTTCAGAGTCCACATTCGTCCGGTTCGATTTTCCTAAACCTAAGTCCGGTTCGATTGGCCTAAACTTTAATCGGGTAACCTATAGAAAAGGGGTTTTGCCAAGACAACAAAACCATTAAACTCCCCGATTTTTGCAAACTTTACTTTCACCTCATAAAATATATAATAATTTAAATAAAAAAAAACATAATATAACAATTTTTCACCATCATCAAATTCTTAAAATTTTGGTAAACAATATATTAAATCGAAATCTTCGAAACGAGAAGTTCAACTTTATTTTCTAAAATTTTAAAAATCAAATATATGTGATCGTAAAAATATTTACAATATATGCATAATAGCTATTATTTTTTAATTTATATGATTATTCTGTACTTTTAAAAATAATATAGAGAAAAATTACAAATTTCGAAGATTTTTTTTCACAAAATCTTAAAGAAAATGAAGAAAAAATATTTGTTATTCACCTTAATTTTCCTAAATTGAAAAAATCGAAGCAAAGCTGGTCACATGGACATCGCATCACAGTGACGCAGTATATACGTTACTTATATAACAAACAATACACGTGCGACCTTTAATGACATTTGGTCACTCATTTTAAGCCATAAATCTTGATTTTCGGCGATGCCTACACGCAAATTTCGATTTTAGTAAAACTATTACAGTAATTGCTTTCATACCCAATTTTTTTCTTTTTCTATTCGAAGCTAACTTTAAGGAAGTAAAGTGGCACTTACAATTTGTAAAATAACCAATTTTGACGGAAAGCAATTAAATTTTCTGACAAAAATATGGTATTATAACGCTAGACTAACACTTTACCTATTTGATTTATAAGAAATATATTAGACCACTGTTCTTGAAAGATGAACAAGAAACCCAAGATTTTGAGCTCTGTAAGCTTTTTGTTCTTGCTCTTCGTTCTTTTCTTCTTGCCTTGTTTGGTTCTTTTTGTCTGTTGTTCCCATTTTGGTCATTTCTGGGTTTTTCAAGGGTTTTCACTTTTCAAAATAAATGAAAAAGTTGTGAAATTTCATTAGTTCAACAATCCAATTGAAGTTTTTCAATCATGAAATTTCAAGTCTTTTATCTTCTTTCTGTGTTGGTGTTCTACTTATATGCCTATTTTCTACGAAAGTGTGGATCTTTATGAGTTTAACATTTATACTCTTTCACAATCTTGAATCTTTATTGTGGCAATGAGATCATACTAGTGATTGCAGATTGAGGTACTTGTGATTTGAGTTTGATGTGTTATGGATCTTCTTATTCATTGCTTTTTCAGGGATCATTAAGTATGAATCAAAAACGAAAGGGCTCGTCTCTTCGTCGCTTGTTCTCTTTAGTGTTTTTTCTTGCAATGATCTTCCTTATAGGGAATGCTTTTATTACAGTAGACTATAAAGAGGTATGAATTCTTAAACTGCAATTTTTAAGCATATCTTTACTCTGAATATTGAACTCTAAAAACAGTTTTGAGTATAATAATTGACAGGGCATTGCGGGATGGAGTTCGATAATTAGACTAAATCTTGCAAAACTGAAGATGTGTAAGGTCTGTTGATTAAGCTGCTAAGTTTCTATGCTCAAAACTAAGTACCAGTGTCTATCTGAATATTGACATTTTTTCATGTTGCTTTGCTTTATTAGGCACAACTTAGGCCTCCTGGTAGTGAGACGTTACCGAGAGGTATTGTTGCAAGTACATCTGACTTGGAAATGCGACCGTTATGGGGCGCAAAGCGCTATAAGGTATTTACCTGTTGCTGACCATTCTTAAGTTTCTCTGTAGTCATTCCTTAACACTACATTTTCTGTTTTGGTTTGCTTAGAAACCGAAACCAAACTTACTAGCTTTGGCAGCCGGAATAAAACAGAAGGAAAGTGTCAACAAGATTGTCAAGAAGGTAAATCTCAGACAACGCCTTCTCGCCTCTCGGTAATGAAATAGTTTTTGATGTGATATCTCCGTTTTTCCACCTTCCTACATGGCAGTTTCGGTCAAGTGAGTTCGTTGTGATGCTGTTTCATTATGATGGTTCCGTGGATGAATGGAAGGAGTTTGAGTGGAGTGAAACTGCTATTCATATTTCTGTAGTAAACCAAACCAAATGGTAACTGTTTTTGTAAGATAGTAAACCGGAAGCGGATATATAGCATTTGGCTTGTACAGTTTCAATATCTTTATGATTCTTTTAGGTGGTTTGCAAAGCGTTTTCTACACCCGGATATTGTCTCAGCATATGCATACATATTTCTTTGGGATGAAGATCTCTGTGTTGACCATTTTGACGCTACAAGGTAAAAATGTCATAGAAAAAGCATATTACTTGTCATTTGATAAAGATGTGAAACTGGTATTTATGTTATCTATGCAATGCACATTTCAGATATGTTTCAATAATTAAAGAAGAAGGGCTTGAAATATCACAGCCTGCTCTTGATCCTAATTTCTCTGAAGTGCACCATCAACTTACCTCACGAGACAACAAATCAAGAGTACATAGGTACTTCTCTCATGTTCCAATAGAAAAATTTTAGCAAAGAGAGGAAAAAAGATTGGAGGAATGACAATTAATGAATTCTTATTGTAATGTTTTGATGTTCACCAGGAGAACATACAAAGTCATTGGTCGGGCTAGGTGCAACGAGAGTAGCACTGGACCTCCTTGCACAGGGTAAAAGAACTGAATCTCCATTTTCTTCTTTTCAGTGAAACTATAACTTATTCTTAAACTCTTTAAAAATATTCTCTACCTACAGATTTGTCGAAATGATGGCTCCTGTGTTTTCCAGAGCAGCTTGGAAGTGTACATGGCATATGATTCAGGTATTGCACAAGTTTGAACTAATTATGTCACAGACTAATGAAGATCATCAACTTCTAGATACTTGACTTTGTTTTATTCTACAGAATGACTTAAACCACGGATGGGGTATAGATTTTCAGCTTGGATATTGTGCACAGGTAAATTGTGACTGAGTCAACCCCAATACACACTTTTATTTGTTGGTTTTGTTTTTTCTCAGTACTGTGTTGTTGCTTTAAATAGGGTGATCGAACCAAAAATATCGGCATTGTTGATTCCGAATATATACTTCATATGGGTCTTCCTACATTAGGAGGTTCAGCTGAAAACAAGGTTTGAAACTGGTTCTCTTACCATTTATTCATCTTAGCCTTCATGGCTTTTATTTAGGAAGTAACTATAGTTACTGCGTATAAACAGACGGATTCAGGACAACTCAATAAGACCAAGACTCAGCATGATTCAGCATCCCAAATATCATCTGGTAGATCTGAGGTAAGCTTCTAACCAGTTTGGTATTTGAAAAGTTGATATCAGTTTTCCTTTTTATAATGTCCATACAGTGCTTTGTATGGCTAAACTCTCTATTCACAAAGATTAGCATTACGTAGGTTCGGAAGCAGACTTACGCCGAATTAGAGACTTTTAAACATCGATGGAAAAATGCAGTGAAGAACGATGAGTGCTGGATAGACCGATTCCAAACATGAAAGATTGCTTGCTGTGGACAAAATTATACATATATAGAAAAGCACAAGAATACCCTGAAGACCCCAAGGAAGCAAAAGAGAAGGAAAGATGATTATGGTAAGATGACAGCATTATGAGGATCTTCATATCAATGATGTACTGAATTTAACCAATTACTGAAGGTATACATGTAGATCAAGTTAGATTCTTTTTAGGATGTTACACATTTGTACTAGAATACCGGAGCTTCTTGTTCTTCTATCTCTTATTTTATAGAGCCTCAAAGTTTAGCACAAAAGTCTTACTGGTGACTTATATGTACCTCTGGAACTACAGAAGGTTTTGAATAAAGCTGAGTTTTTACAAATGGTTGGTTCATTTAGTTCTTACTGGTGACTCTTTATGTTTTTTTAATCTTCTTGCGGAGTAGCTCTAGTTAGAATAGAGCAGATTTGCTTATGATTCTTGAGATTATTCCTCCAAGTTCCTCTCCACAATCTTCTTGTACATGATGGCCAGCCTGAAAAGGGAAAAATGGGTTCAAGTTAGCTTTGTTAGTTACCAATGCCTTGCGGATATAAAGAAATAGCCGGTTACATTTGGCAGTTCGACGAGGTTGTGTCCCGAACTCTTGCAGAACTCTTCAACTCCTTCAAAGCTCAGCCACCTGTCTCGTTGTCCCCAGCATACGGTAATTGGGATTTTCCAGTTTTTATCCATTAGTGATGTCCTCATCTCTTCTGCATATTTCTGTCAGGTAAAAGTTATAATGAAATGGCAATCTTTCTCTAGATATCAACTTGAAATCTTGATTTTTACAGGATATGTTATAAGATGAATGAAGAAAGGAGATCCTTTATGAACCTTAAGTTCCTTCTTCATGGACCTGCTGATGGCGTTAAGGGCAAAACCAGAAGAACCTGAGGTGAGATAAGGTCTTCGGTAAACCATTGCATCGTCTTCTTTCATTTTGTAAGGACCGCAGCTTGTCAAAGGCTTGTCGCTTGCTCTTAGAGGATCCTATTGTTTAATATATCAGGATTTTATTGTAGGAGCAAACAAAAAGAAGCAACTTTGATGAAACCGACCTGAGAGAAGATCTCCCCAAGCAAAAAGTTGCTGAATACAGACAATGTTGATGGAAGTTTAGCATGTTCCGGTGTGAGCTGAAACCGCAGATACAAGTTCTAAGTTAGTTTTTAACAGAAAGAAGAAAGTGGTACGCTTTGTTTTAGGTTCCTTTCTTACAGGAGGATTCAAGAGTATAAGATTCTTGATCTTGTCAGGTCGGTTTCTTGCATATTTTACGACAGCAGTTGAGAAGTAGCCCTGAGAAAAACACCAAAGCAGAGAATTTAACACTGAACAATTTCTGAAATATTGCTTCTTCAGTGAGAAATGCAATGATGCTACCTACCTGCACCACAAGTGACACCTTACTGGAAGTTACTTCATCAATGAATGACTCAAGCGACGCTACAAACTCTGCAAGGCGACAGATTATTCAGTGTTAAATCTAACTCTGGTCAAGGTCTGTTGATAAGCGGGGTTTATTAAGATCATGTTACCGTCCATTGTATAGTTAAATCCATATCCGGCCTGAGGCTTGTCAGAAAATCCAAATCCTGCCATATAAAAACAATCAGCAAGTGGGTTCTTTACCAAAGAAAAACTTCAAGAAAACGAGTTACCTAGCCAATCGAAAGCAATGGCGCGGTAGTTCTTTGAAAGCACGGGAAGAATTTTCCGGTAAGAGTAAGCCTATTCAAAAACAAATGCTCAAAATATGTAAGTTATTCGCGGTAACAAGATGTTTTTGAAGGAATATATGTTACCTGAGATGGGAATCCATGGATGAGTATAACAGGAGGACTATCTACACTCCCGGATTCTACACAAAACCATCTATGGAAACAAAATCATACACCCTAGCTAAAGCCATTACTACAAAGATAAGACAATAAGTTTTAACTCAAAGTGTGTTTTACCGGAAAAGATCTTTAGAAGCTTGAGAGCTAGCTCCCATTGTTAGCCCGAAAATCGGATCTTTTGCTTCTACACCAGAGCCACCAACTCTATGAGCTTTAACCTGAAAGTTGCAGACTCAAAATGTTCAATCAAAAGTATCATAGCAAAACAGAGGAATCTTTTTCCTACCCATTTCCCTTGCTTCAACCACTCATCTGATGGACTCGGTTGATCCGAATACTTCCCTGCGAAAAGAAACAAGATTTAGTCTTCACAATCATACACAAAAAAAGGGTAATCTTTTGATTACCTCCACTAAAAGAGAATCCATCTCCAACAGAAACAGGAGCATCAATGAGATAGTCCTGTTAGTAGAAGAAGAAACGATTCTATTAGCTCTCAAGTTTTTTTATTAACTGATTTGATTTAGGAGTTGTATAAAGAAAGGATACATCTTTGTCACTGGATTTGCAGATGAAGCTGTGATATTTTGAAGCAGAGTGTCTATGAAAGAGATATGAGGAAGGTGGTGCAGAAGCAGAAGTAAGAGATGATCGGAGACGATGAGTGTGGAAAAAGTTAGGGTTGTGAATATGAACCGCCATTTTTTTTTCTTTGGTACGGATGAGAGAATTGGTGGTTTAAACGGTTGTTTCGCGGCAGGAGATAGGCTTTAGACTTTATGTGGTTTTGCCTTGACGGAGGAATCAAGATTTTTCTCTAGCTTATGTCATTGCATGAGACAATGACGTAAGTTAGTAATAAAACGCTGCGTTTAAATGCTTATCCATTAGAGACAAATGAGTTGTTATTTTTTTAAAAAGAGTTATAACAGCCTCACAAACCACAATCACAATGATGATTAACATAAATCATCTTATATGTTGGGTTTAATTTAAACATTGTGTCACGTCTAATATAAAATCCAAAATCTTGTAAAGTGATATCTATTTAGTAACGAAAAGAAGAAATGAAAGATCAAATTTTTTGTTTTTTAAGGTTAAGAAATCAAATCCTTGTTAATATGAGAGAAATCAGACGGAAATATCATTCTTTAATGAAGAGGAAGAGATGAGATGGGTCATCCATCTCAGTTTGGGAGGACCCCTGGATTCCAGCTCAATTCCCGAGACCAGCAAAAAGTAATGGGTCCATTGTTGATCCATCTTTAAAAGTTATCAATCTTATAGATAGTCGGTCAAACTTTTGGAATATTGATCTCTTACAGGCGACCTTTGCTCCAGAAGATGTCGAGATAATAAGTGCCCTACCTGTGGGTGCGCCAACTAAGGAAGATACTATGGGTTGGCATTTTACAAAATCAGGAAAGTATACTGTTAAATCGGGATATCATACTTCACGGATAGAAAAAACGGAGAACAACATATTTTCTATAGGACCAGACATCAAACCGCTAAAAGCACATACTTGGCAACTGCAGTGTCCACCTAAGATACGCCATTTTTTGTGGCAAATTTTAACGGGTTGTATACCGGTTACAGAAAATTTGCGGAAACGAGGAATTGACTGTGATACAGGTTGTGCCAGATGTGGTGCACTAGAGGAAACGATTAATCACGCACTCTTCCAGTGCCACCCGGCACGGCAGATTTGGGCGCTTTCACAGATTCCCACAGGTATGGGGTTTTTTCCCACAGAATCTATTTTTGCGAACTTGGATCATTTATTTTGGAGAATACCTTCGGAATTTGATGCTCAGTTTTCCATGGATAATCTGGTATATCTGGAAAGCAAGGAATGAGAAAATATTTGAAAATATAGACATTGATCCACTAGAGGTATTTCGGTTAGCGGAAAAAGAGGCACAATTGTGGCATGCAGCTCAAATCGAGCTTATTAACGAAAATCAGGGTTCTGTGGATTTGGTAACTCGATCTCGAGTGAGGGATGCTTCACTTGATTCGACTTATTCGGGGTACCGTTGTTTTGTGGATGGATCATGGAAAGGAAGTGATAAGTTCTCCGGTACAGGATGGTTCTGTACATCATCAAATGGAGAACCGCCAACCATGGGAGCTGCCAACCTCCGTAGAAGTCTATCTCCCCTACATACAGAAGCCGAGGCCCTTCTCTGGGCGATGAAGTGCATGATTGGTGCAGATAATCAAGAGGTAGCGTTTTTTACAGACTGTTCTGACCTGGTGAAGATGGTGTCTTCTCCAACCGAATGGCCGGCGTTTTCAGTGTATTTGGAGGAATTTCAGAGTGACAAGGAAGAATTCTCTACTTTTTCTTTATCTTTAATTTCTCGTAGCGCTAATGTAAAAGCGGATAATCTGGCACGAAAAGTTCGTACAGAACCGCAACATATCACATATGTAAACAACATTCCTCAGGAATGGCTCTTTTGAATTTTAATTAATTTCGGATGACAAAAAAAAAGAAGAGATGAGTAGTTATTAAATTTTGAGCATGGATAAAATCGAACACTTTATTGAATCAGGTTAATAACCTTGACATGATTAACATTATCAAATATAATTTTTAGAATTATAATAGATTATGTTATAACTATTTGAAACTTTAATTACAACTAGGAAACGGTATACCACAAGCCGCTAAGATCTGTTTGGCAGCTGTAATATAGTGACTAACCCTTGGATCTTTTAAGTAATCACAAAAACACGTTTGTTTTTCTTTCAGTTTATCGCAACATTCTGTCGAAGGTGGTCTTCCGGTTGTTACCGCTGTTTTGCATATTTGAAGATCTTCCACAACGCATGATGGGTTCTCCTCTTCCCCTTTGGTCAGAACCAGAGACGATAGAAAGAGAGCGATGAATACTAATGTGATGGACTTCATATCTAGTAACCTTAGTGACTTTGTATATAAAATTATATTTCAATTGCTTGACAATGTTTGAGATTTTGATTATGAAATGTTCAAAGGATGGTGAAGCTATATATAGAAGGTATGGTCTATGGAGATATGGAGTAATGTTTTGCAATAGCCAAGGGTGCTTTACTTTTCTTTTCTTTTTATAAAAGCTAGTGTCTTTTGTCATTTTTATTTATTTATTTAACTTTAGTGCCTTTTCTATCTATGTGACATAATTATTAATGAAAATGTGTAAAAGCATCAAACCAAAAAAACAATGGCATTTATATTAATAGTAAATATTTAATTTTTTATTTTGGATTTGTAAAATACTAATCTATACAGAAATTTTATATTAAAAAGTGTTTTAAAAATCTTCAAACATTAATTGTAAATTTGTAAATAAAGAAACAAAAAGAAAAAGTTTATGTCAAAGATGTTGGTGTATATGTTAACCGGGTTATGGATTTACATTGAATAAACCGGAATTAAAAATCTAGGTCATCATGACAAGAACCAGCAACTAGTGATGTTTCTTTTCCAAGTCGAAAATTCACATTTGGGCAGTGAGATGTAAAAATGGCGCCTCTCAAGCATCTGGAGAAGAAGAATATAATCATCGATGCTGGTTTCCAAAACTTATGCACCTCTCATGTGATTCTAATATGTTCTGTTCTACACCATTCTCTTCTTCTAGCTACCTAGTTTTCTAATTAATAAAAAGATATTTGATTTTGTGCTTACCATAGTTCTTCGAATACTCTTTTTTGCATGAGCACTATACACATGACATTTTTGTTATCTTATATTACATCATTACTTTTAGATTTCTTCTCTGTTCATTGGTTTAGATTTTAGCTAGCGTCTTTTTCTTATCATGAGTATTTAGTATCCTCAAATGATGAGACTGTAACTTTTCATGACATCGATTATCTTCTAGCATCATCACTCATATATGCACTAAATGCATGACACAGTCTAATTTCAAGATCTTTTAGCACTATAACTCATATACTAGATCATAATCCGTGCTGGAACAGCACAGATGAAATTTTAATTTTTAAATATTTATATAAAGTTGGATTATTGTTTGTTTTATAGTACAATTTTAATAATTCTTTATATAATACAATGACATATAAGGATTTTTTATTTTATTTTATTTTGTTTGATGAGAAAATATTAGGGGTGGGGTACGGTTTTTCGGTTTAGTATCGTTTTTTTCGTTTTGTAGAAAGTGAAACCATATAAAAACCGTATGTAATTCGGTTTAGTTACAGTTCGATTTTTACGGTTTTTTACGTTTTTTTGGTTAAAAATAAACGTATGTATTTGATATATGGTAGTAGTAAGTGAAAAAAAATTGTGTATATAATAAACATATTTTGGTATATAATAAGATTAAATTAAACCCGTGCGTACCTATATTTTTATTTTAGAATCCCAATGAAAAAATTGTGTTCACAATCCATCATTCATTATTTTCATATATACTTATAGAATCAAAATTTTAAATATTTAGAGGTGTCAAACCTTATTTAACTCATCTCATCATATAATCTTAACATGGTTTCGGTTATAAAGATCATAACTCTTTTTATCATATAATACATTACATTTAACCTGCTGCTTGCTAAATATTTCAAATATTTATGCTTTGAAAAATGAAATTAGAGTATTTATAACTTTTATCTTTTGATTTATTAAATATTTATGATATTCTTTAAAATATTATATTTAACTATTTTAAAATTTTTCCAAATTAAAATATTTTTTTATTTTTTATTGTAGAATATAAAATTAAGAATTTTTTAAAAATAATTGTATGAACTTAAATATAAATATTCAAATAGTGATAAGGATCATAACTCATTCCATCATTTAATACATTATATTTAACCCACCGTCTATTATAAATATTTTTAAAATATATTTGTTTTAAGAAAACCAAATTAGTATATGTATAATTTTTAATTTTTTTATTTATTAAGTATTGATGATATTTGTTTTTAAATATCAAGTAAAAATATTTTTAAATACTCCAAATTAAAATATTTAAAATTTTATCGTAGTATATAAATTTATATATTTTTTAAAAATATATGAAATTGAATATAATTACTCAAATTCTGACCCGTTATTCAGGCTAAATTTTTGTTGAATTTAGTTTTGCTTAAAAGAAATATATTATCCAAGTCTAAATTTTGACTCGTTAAATTTTATTGGACACTGAGCCGCAAACTTTAGTGTTGAAGTTATTAATATGCTCATAGATTCTACTGTTCGTTTCACGACTGCAAACGTCAATGGGATGTATGAGACTAACACAACTGATCATGCGCATGATCCAGATCTATATTTTCATGAGTTAAGGTCATAAATTCTAGTTTGATATGGTTACATTTTCTGTCTAGGGAGAGAACTTAGACAGAAAAATCATATTTTACTAAAGAGCAAAAGACGAGTATTTATTGAATTTAGAACATCGATAATAACGATATATCTATATAAGGAAACACATGTATTTTTATTAATATCAGTTTAATAACCTTGACTTGATAAACATTATCAAATATGATTTTGATAATTATAACATTTATAGATCATGTTATTAATGTTTGAAGCTTCAACAACTAGGAAAAGGTATACCACAAGATGCTAAGATTATTTTGGCAACTGTAATATATGGAGCAACCAATGGATCTTTCAAGTACGCACACAAACACGACTGTTGTTCTTTCAGTTTTTCGCAACATTCCTTTGAACGTGGGTTTCCGGTTGTTACCTCCGACTTGCATATTTGAAGATCTGTCACAACGCATGTCGTGTTTTCCTCTTCCCCCAAAATCATTGTTTTAGTCAGAATCAAAGATAGCATAGTGAAACCGATGAATACTAATGTAATAAATTTCATGTCTTGTAAGCCTAGTGACTCCCGTCTATAGAATTATATTTCAATTACTTGATAATGTTTGAGATTTTGATTATGAATTGTTCAAGGGGAAACTATATATAGAGGGTATGGTCATAAATGGAGTAATGTTTTGCAATTGGCAAGGGTGCTTTTTTTTTAGGTAAAGCTAGTGTCTTTGTCATTTTATTTAACTTTAGTGCATTATTAATGAAAAACTGTAAAACTATAAAAAAATTTAAAACGCCAGTTATAATAATTGTAAATATTTAATTACATATGATTTGTACAATACTAATCTAATATGTAGAAATTTTATATGAAAAAGTGTTTTCAAAATCTTCAAACATTAATTGTAAATAATAAAATAATTTGTAAAGTAAATAAGCAAAAAGAAAAAAAATCTGTCAAAGATGTTGGTTTATGTTAACTGGGTTACATATTTAGATTGAATAAACAGAAATTAAGAATCTGGGTCATGACAATGAACCAGAAGGCAGAAACTAGTGGTGTTTCGTTTCCAAGTCTAAAATTCAAGCATTGGAGAAGAAGAATCTAATTATCAATGCCGGTTTCCAAGATTTATGCACCTCTCATGTAATTCTAACAGGTTATGTTCTACACCATTCTCTTCTTCTAGCTATACTTAGTTTTCTAATTAATAAAAAGATATTTGATTTTGTGCTTCTCATAGAATTCTTCAAATACTTTTTTTGCATGAGCACTATACATATGACATTTTTGTTTTACCTTATACTATTTTCATATACTTTTTCTGGTCTTTGGTTTAGATTTTAGTGTCTTTTAATTTTTCTTAGCATGAGTCCTTAAATGATGAGACTGAAACTTTTCATACACCGATTATCTTTTCGCATCATAACTCATATATTTTATATTATAAAGTACAAGTCATTTGGCCAGTTATGTTATGACATGTGGCAAATTTATCAAAAAACTAATAAATCATAAATTAGTATATCGATAAAATAAAAGTTTACTGGAATAAATTTTAGGGAAAATTACTAGATTAACTCAAATTATGAGTTTAATTAATAGAGTGTCTTAAAAAATTTAGGGGTTAAATGAGTTATCTTCGTGACCATAATACCCTTTCTCTCTTTGTTAGAAATAAAAAAAAGTCAAAATTACCCTTAAATAAACTATAAAAACGTGGGCAAAAAATATTAGGAAAAAAAAATTATTTGAAAAGTCTGTAGGAAAAGTTGTGACAGATTTAATTTCCATGACAAACTTATTTGTCGACGATAGATTTTTTGCGACAGATTTTTTTTTCCCACCTACTTACTTGAAATAGGTTACGACAGATATTTTATTTGTAACAGATTTTTCCTTCACGACAGACTTATTTTATGATGACACCACAGACTTTTGTAATTTTGACAGATTTATTGTTTCAGTGGCGTCAGACTTATATTTTTTTAAATAAAAATTTGTCATAATGTAGCAGATTTGTTAATGAAAAAATAATTACTAGTTTCACTCATTAGTGATAGCACATTTATTTTATGTTATGACAGTTATTTTTTAAATAACAAAAATCTGGAGTGTGATAGCAGATTTATTATTTAAAAATATAAATTGCTAGAATGATATATACTCGCAACCGAAATGTTATATATTATGACAGATTTTTTTTTATTACAATAGATTTCAGATAGGTTATAAAAAAATCTTTTGTATGATGATAGTTTTATTGATGAAAATAGAATTTTAATCTCCATAATAAGATAATGACAGACGTATTCTTAATGCGACAGACTTATTTATATACAATGGCTCATGTGTGCCTGTCTCTTCGTTAATATATGATTAAGTTTTTATTTATTTAGATATATAAACGAAAAAAAAAATAGAAATTGAATAAATAAATAAATAAATAAATAAATAAATATATATATATATATATATAGTTTTTTATTTCGTTTTATATTTTTTTCAATTTTTTATTTCGTTTTATATTTTTATTTTCGTTATATATATATATATATATATATATATATATATATATATATAGGGAAATTGTTAAAAGTACCTCTTTTGGTGTGCCCCTTTTCAAAAATGCCCCTTTTAGATGTCCATTTTCAAAAATGCCCCTTTTTAAATCTGAATTTTTTTATAAAGTTTTATTAGGTTTATAAGGTACTTATGGATTGTAACTACTACTTGAAGACTCGATCCAAGTATTTATAAGGTTTTATAAGGTGTTTTTAAAGGTTTTACAAGTTATTTTAAAGGATTTTTAAGGTTTTTCAAAGGTTTTACAAGATATTTTAAAGGTTTTTAAAGGTATTTAAAATATATTTATAATGTATTTATAAAGTATTTATAAGATTTTAGATACATAGAAATGTAGTTTGTGTATGTTTTAATAATATTACATACATATTTGGGTAAATCTTATATTTTTAAGAGCATTTTTTATAAAGTTTTAAAAAAGGGGTATTTTTGAAAAGTGGCATTGAAAAAGTGGCATTTTTGCAAAAGCCCCTATATATATTATAATTGTTTTAATTTATACTTTTTTTTTTTATTTTGTATTTTTTTCGTTTTCTTTTTTTTCAGTTTTTTTTTTTCATTTTGTATTTTTTTCTAATTTTCTAATTTATTTAATTATTATATGTTAATTAGTTTATTTTAATAAAATTGAAAATAAAATGTGTATTTGGTCTTTTAACACAAAAATTGTATTGTTCTAGTAAACCTCAATATTTGGGTGTTAATCTAGTATTTTTCCCAAGATTTGGGTCAAACGATGTAAATTTCAGTAAAGTTTAAAGGCAGTTTACAAAAAGTTAAACTTTCCACGATCACTTTACACTCTTTAAGAAAATCAAAATCAAAATTAGAGCAGAAGTTATTCCTTCCTCCATAATCCCACAATCTAGACAGCCATGACAATCGCCAAAACTATATATACGTTTCATTGATCCTTTCTTTTCTTTACATGGATCATCTTTTGTTGATGTTGGTTTTTTCAAACCAAGTTAATAATTAAATCATTGGGTGCGAGACATGTTTTGGAACATGAGTGATGTACTAAACACTGAATTCCAAAGATTTCTTTGTTGGAGCCAACAATCTCCGACGAGTTTATATGAGGCATATGACCACTCTCTGGTATACTATATTTCTTTTAGTCTATTTATTGCTATGTAATATTTTAATTGTTTTGAAATTTCTATATTTCTTACACAGCGTGTACGTATGTTTTTAAATTATAATATCTTTTTGTTTTATAGATAGCACCACTCAGAAACAAGCAACCTTGATGGATAGATGAGAAAGCAACAAAGTAGAAGACGTGAGCAAAGAAAGCACCAGAGGTAAAACGTTAAATTAAAGAGACTGAAAATACTGAAAAAATTGGAATTTAGTAGAAGACGAAATAATAGAACATGGAGACACATTGAGTCTATGTTGAATCAACTTCACTGTGGTAAAACTTTTGTGGCTAAGACCTTGAATATTAACCTTTTTTTTAATAGTCTTTGAATACATGTAGTATTTTTATTTTCTTACAGCCTTAGCCTCTGTATATATATTCTCTGAAATGATATTGAAGTCTACGCTTGATTCTATCAAGTCTAGGCTTGATTATAAATTTTTGGAAGACTATTAATTTTGTGTTCATTCAAATACAGTTCTCTCACTATATCAAATGACAATACTAAATCAGCAAATAATACATGAAACATGGTTAATCTATGTTTACATAAATATAGATATTGTAATATAATGTTGTTTTCCGGTGCTGGCACCAGGTGTAATACTAGTATGACACAATCCAATTTCAAAATAATTAATTGTAATACAAATAAAAATAAAAATATTTCATTATCTAATCTATAGAAAAAAAATCAGTTAAAATTAAATATAAAAATAAACAATCTCAGCTATATATCAATTATGATCAGAGATGTTTTTAGTATCAAAATCATGAACTCAATAGAGCATTTTCAAGGCAAATATAAAATTAATGTCAATAAAGTAAAGAAAGAGATTCAAGATTCTTGATCAAGACGTGACGAGTAAAATAATGATGCAAAAGAGTTGAAGGAATACGAATTGAAAAAAATATGTTTTTATAAGTGTAATTCATTCTCATAGTTTTAAAAGAAAAATCAAATAATTAGTAAATTCAATAGTGTTGTAAACCACATGGACTCCATAACCGTGGCCCATGTCCATGTTCTAGAAGGCCTATGTCTAGCTTCTAAAAGACTCGCCCAACCGACCAAGGCCAAAGACGGTTTATGTTAATTTTAGTGGGCTTAATGTTTCCTAGTCCAATTGGGATTTGTCTCCCCTATTGTGTATATATTTAAGTTGTAACCTCATTCATTAATAAATAAGAATACACGAGATTGATAACACGTTATCAGCACGACTTGCTCTTAACGATCCCTAACCCTAATTCAAAAAATCCTTCACACAAAACCTAAGTCTGCCTCGCTCATAAGCTTACGATCGGATCAATAGGTGCTCGCGATTCCTCCAAGCTCCCAACGTTCGTGATCAAGTTCGAAAACCGAGGTCTTTAGCTCCCGGTTCATATCCGTATAACCCCATAAGGTGAAAGGTAAAATCCGAAACCCTAAAACCTAAAAACCAACATCGAACTTGAACCTAAAGAAATCGCAACCCTAAAAATCGGATATTGTTTGAATCAAAGTGTTTGCTATTGCTTGCTTTGCTCGCTTGTTCTTAGGAGAGTTATTGATTCAAAACCTAAATCGTATTGTTGAAAGAAACTTAAATCGAATCGAAACCCTAAAATTCGAAGTTAATAAATCCGATTGATTGAGGTTGCTTAGATTGTTTAGATTGATTGTTTCTATGATTGGTTGCATGCATAAATTGTTAGAAATAAAACCCTCATATCGCATGAACCCTAGAAACCCAAACCCTAGAGAAAGCTCAATCCTAAATAAAACAGAAAAACCTAAATAAAAAAGAAAAATCCTAAATCCTATTGAAAATAGGAAATTCTAAAAAAACCCTAAATCCTAATTAAATTAGGAAATTCCTAAAACCTATTCAAGATAGGAAAACCTTAAGAAATAGAAAAATTTCTAAATCCTAATCAAAAAGGAAATCTTAAAAATCTTAAACCCTAAGTGAAATAGGAAAACCCTAATCCTAAGCAAAAGAGGAAATTTAATCCAAAAAAAAAAAAGGAAAAGTCAAATCCCTAAGTAAAATCGATTCATGGTTCGGTCTTAAATACCGCATGACATTAAAGATTACATGATTTTTACTTAAACCTCTTTGCTTGTAGATGTCGAATTACAACTTGTATTTTACTGCCCTAAATCTCTTAGGAGATAATTATTTGAAATGGGCAATGGATACTAAGATTATCCTAAAGTCAAAAGGACTTGGTGAATGTATCACATATGGCAATAATGCCAAGAGAGAAAGATAGATACAAGGCAATTTTAGCCACCATCTTATTGAGAGTCTCAGAATCTAGGACTATAAGTCTGTGGATGAGTCTATTGCTAGTTGAACAAAATAATGACTTACTGAAGGGAAAAAGTAAATTAAGACCTCATAGATTAACCCCATTACTTGATGCCAATAAGGCCGTAGAGGATAAGAAAAAAATTCCAAAGAATCTAACCACGTCCAGAATGATAGACCACACGGCCGTGGCCGTGGTGGATGGAAAGGACGTGGCCGTTGCCACTATAATTCATCCGGCCGTGGGAACCACTATAACCATGGTTGTGAGCCCAATTTTGGCCGTGGTCGAAGGCGAGGACGCTGTGGTATTTCCAAACCACAACACTCGACCAAATAAGTGTGTCATAGATATGGAATGGGGAACCATTGGGCTAAGATATGTAGGACTTCCAAACATCATTGTAACCTCTATCAAGAGAGTGTGAAAGGAAGAATCCTAAAGCCCATTTGGTATATATAAAGATGGTGAAAATAATTTTGAACATGATCAAGATGATCTAATGGAGTATAAAACTTCTGATTGCCTAAAAGAATCAAGTTGGTAAATCTGATTTCGACATCAAAACCTTTGTGTGTTCTTTGCCGTTTTATGTGTTCATTAATTGTTATTTCCTTGAATTTATTTTATATTACTTTATGTTTAAAACATGATTCTTGTCCATATAAGAAATGACTAAGGACAAGAAGATACTTGTGGTTGATAGTGGATCAAGCCACATGATCTTAAAAGATAAGAGATATTTTCTAAATCTCATTTTGAAAAATGCCAATATTAGCACTATAGCGGGTATAGCAAGTCTTATTGAGGGCTATGGCCAAGCCCATGTTCTATTACCAAATGGCACACATCTTGAACTAAGCGATGCCTTGTATTCACCCATCTCAAAAAGGAGCTTATTGAGTTTTAAAGATATAAGATTGAATGGTTTCCATATTGAAACAAAAGGTGAAGGGAACAAAGAATTCCTAAATATAATTGAGATCACCAAAGGACATAAGGAAGTCCTAGAGACTTTACCCGCATTATCCACTAGTCTCTACTATGCTAAAATCGATATGATCGAAGCTAATATGGCAATGAACAAAGATTTCATCGAGAAATTCACTTTATGACATGACCGGCTTGGCCATCCGGGTCATAGTATGATGCGTAAACTAATAACTAATTCAAAGGGGCACACCCTAAGAGAGAAAAGAGTTATCCCTAAGAATCTCACGTGTGAAGCATGTTCACAAGGGAAACTCATTATAAGGCCATCACCGGCAAAAGTTAATAAAGAAACCTTAAACTTTCTGGAAAGGATACAAGGGGATATATGTGGACCAATACACCCACCATGTGGGACATTTAGATATTTCATGGTCCTCATTGATGCATCGACAAGATGGTCGCATGTGTGCTTATTATCCTCTAGAAACCAAGCGTTTGCTAGGTTGTTGGACCAGATTATAAGACTGAGAGCCCATTTTTCAGATTTTCCGCTTAAGACTATATGTCTAGATAATGCCAGTGAATTCACGTCCCAAGCGTTTAATGACTACTGTATGTCCATGGGGTAAGTGTGGAACATCCCGTGGCACATGTACATACACAGAATGGATTAGCGGAATCCTTCATTAAATGAATTCAATTGATAGCTCGACCATTACTCATGAGGTCGGAGCTTCCAGTAGCCGCTTGGGGATACGCTGTTTTACATGCATCAGAGCTTATACGCATAAGGCCATCTAGTGAACATAAATATTCACCATCCCAATTACTCACGGGTCATGAGCCAGACATATCCCATCTAAAGATTTTCGGGTGTGCCGTACATGTACCGATTGCTCCACCACATAGAACAAAGATGGGACCTCAAAGGAGGATGGGAATATATGTTGGATTTGATTCTCCCACCATTACTAAGTATCTAGAGCCAACTACGGGTGATCTATTTAAGGCTAGATATGCGGATTGTCATTTTAATGAATCCGAATTTCCTACTTTAGGTGGAGAGACGAACAAGCTGGTCGAAGAAATATCATGGAATCAAACGTCCTTAAATTGGCAAGATCCTCGGACTCTGGCATGTGAATCAGAGGTCCATAAGATAATAAATTTGCAAAAGCTAGCTAATGAATTGCCGGATTCCTTTGTTGACCCAAAGAAAGTTACAAAATCGTACATACCAGCTTGTAATGCACCAATACGTATTGATGTCCAAAAGGGAATCAATGAAGTTGCTACCGAGTCTAACGCACGTAAGAAACGTGGTAGACCAATAGGTTCCAAAGATAAAAATCCTCACAAATCAAAGAAAGGTGCAATAGGAAACGAGGTTAAGGAAACCATGGCCGCGGCAGACCCTAAGGAACCGAATAGAGAGATTTGGGACGCCAATCCTCATGGTCCTGAAGGGATAGATAATAATGAGATCTCAATAAAATATTTGCATATCATGTCAATATAATAATGAGATAATAATGAGATCTCAATGAGATAAAACTAGTAGGACACAAGTGGGTCTTTGTGAGAAAGAGAAATGAGAATAATGAAATCGTGAGACATAAGGCACGGCTTGTAGCACAAGGATTCTCACAAAGACCGGGGATAGATTATGAAGAAACATACTCCCATGTGGTGGATGCAACGACTTTTAGATTCTTAATAAGTCTGGCAATAAGAGAAAATCTTGATTTGCGGTTAGTGGATGTTGTGACCGCTTATCTATATGGTCCACTGGATAATGAAATATATATGAGATTACCAGAGGGTATTGAGCTCAAAGATAAAGATAAGAAAGGGTCTCGAGACCAATATTGCATAAGGCTGAACAAATCGCTTTATGGACTGAAACAAAGTGGGCGCATGTGGTACAATAGATTAAGTGAGTACCTAGTCAAAGAAGGCTATAAGAATGATCCCATCAGTCCATGTATCTTCATAAAGAAGTTTGCAAACAAAGGATTTGTGATAATAGCAGTATATTTGGATGATTTGAACATCCTTGGAACCTCTGAGGAAATCACCCAAACAGTCGAATATCTAAAGAAAGAATTCGAGATAAAAGACCTAGGCAAGACAAAATTTTGTTTGGGATTGCAACTTGAGTACGTGAATAATGGAATCCTTGTGCATCAAAAGGCATATACCGAAAAAGTACTCAAGAGATTCAATATGGACCAGGCCCACCCATTGAGCAGCCCAATGGTGGTGAGAAGCCTCAGATTGGATAGTGATCTATTCGGTCTAAAGAAGGACGAGAAAGAAGTTCTCGGTCCTGAAGTGCCATACCTCATCAGTGCCATAGGAGCTTTAATGTACTTGGCTAGCCACACTAGACCAGACATTTGTTTTGCCGTGAACCTCCTATCGAGAGTTAGCTCATGTCTGACCCAAAGGCACTGGAACGGAATTAAACATCTTTTACGTTATTTACAAGGAACTGTTGATTTGGGTCTATTCTATACTAACCATAACAAAAAAGGTTTAGTTGGTTTTGCTGATGCAGGTTATCAATCAGATCCGCATAATGGTAAGTCACAAACAGGTTATGTGTTTACACACGGTGGAACCGCGATTTTGTGGCGTTCAATGAAGCAAACCATCTCAGCCACTTCATCCAATCACGCGGAGATCTTGGCAATACATGAGGCCAGCCGTGAGTGTGTGTGGTTGAGGTCGATGACTCAACACATACGATCTAATTGTGGCATGGACGATGAGAAGGGACCAACGGTCATGTACGAGGACAATGCGACCAGCATCGCTCAGCTCAAAGAAGGTTACATCAAGGGAGATCGGACGAAGCACATCCTACCTAAGTTCTTCTTCACACATGATCTACAAAAGGATGGAGAAGTTCAAGTGGTGCAGGTCCGATCCAGTGACAATTCAGCCGACCTATTCACTAAGGCATTACCAACATCGACATTGAGGAAGCTAACGCATCAAATTGGAATGCGGAGACTTAAGGACTTTCAAGGATGACCAAAACAGGGGGAGTAATACGTGTTGTACTCTTTTTCCTTCACCATGGTTTTGTCCCAATGGGTTTTCCTGGTAAGGTTTTGATAGAGAGCAGAAGCTAAATAACGGACGAGAACACAAGATCTCTAAGAGAAGTCGGATTCACGAACGGATCTTGCTTAGAACGTCAAAACTTGACGAAGAAGCAATAGAGATAAGGTCGAGATCGATTCCAGGGAACGATATCGACGGGGTTTTGCAAGTCCTCCTTGCAGGGCTTGAACACTAGCTCTTAGGGTTGAGAGTCCTCCTCTCTAGGCTTTACACAAAGCTCTCTTAAAACTAGTTTATTCAATAATCAAAAGCTAATTTACAAGTGAGTCTCACGGCTCTTTAAATAAGAAACATAAAACGAAAACCCTAATCTAATATAAAACGATGTCGATATAATATGGGTTTAAAACCCATGAACCTAAGGCCCATTTACATTATTTAAACAAAGTCGCTGAATTGGTGATCAATGATGTGAAGATACGCTGTATCAGGTCTCTCCGGGTCAGAAAGATTCGACCCCGAATCTGAAATCTGTAAAGAAATCCTTTGGCTACCAATTCATAATACTTTCGTTTAAGAATTTCATGTAGTCTCTTTTTACACCTCACGGGCAACTTGTTAGAAATTTCTTCATAAAGATCCTTCGTTAAAACAATCGTGGCTTCCAAGCTTCCCTGAACACGTGTGACCAAGAGATCTTCTTGTTCCATGGATATTCTCATCGCCTCATAGGTCTTTTCTTTCAACCCAATTGTTGCAGACGTCAAATGAAAAGGAATAGTTGTATCCTTTAAAGATAAGTTCCATACGTCACCATGACTTATCCCAGAAGCTCCGTGTCGAATTAATTTTGTTGAAGACGCCGATGCTTGTCGATATTCATCATGAGGAAGAAAACAATCTTTTGAGAACATAATCCATGAAAAGTCACCTGGTTCAAACACCAAGTCACGTCTCCTAACGTGTAATGCTTTGTACGTTGAGGTCCAAGTCAAACGCAACTGAGCCAAACATGACAATATATTCATGAACGCTTTGTGTGTCATCTTCGTATGAGCATTACATGCTGACTTCATATCCAAGCTGATCTTATGTAGTGGAATACGAACAGCTCCGGCTTGTTTGAAAACCTCACCATGTAACTCAACTGAGGACGAAAATATGATCGTAGTGATCAATACGCTAGAACAAACTGGAAAGAGAAACAAAATAATCACCCAAGCTGGTGTGGACGTCACAACTACGAAGTTCTGGCGGAGTAAAATTAGTATCTCCGATACACCATCTATAATAAGCCGAACACCGAAAGAACCCACTAAAAGAAGAATGTGACCATTTTTACTTTTAGTATAATCCTCAAACAGTTCGTCAATGTCGATCTTAGTGTGATTCAACATGTAATTCTCCCACCTAAAACATGTAGTGATTTTGTAGGATAACCCCAATGATGTGATACGCATATCTCCATTTCTCCATAGAGCAGCTCCACATAGAAACAAAATGGAAGGGTAAAGCAACGTCAGCACTGGTGTAAATAAGTGTAGAAGAAACACACAAATTTTTTGAACCCACAACGGCCACAAAATAATATAGTTCTGATTGCCCACTAAGACACATGTCATGAAAACTGGAGAGGGAGACACCAAACGCCCAAAAACTGGGAAAAACCAAGTAGAATATTGCGCATTGAGAAATTCCAATGAGAACCCAGCGCAAGAGACGACACTACTCATGATGGCATCCCACTTGATTTCTATCATGTTCTTCCTTCTGTCCACAAAAAGGTTGTCACGAGGAAAAATATCAATTAATTGGTGGTTTTTCGAATGCGAGACCACCTGTATTGCACCAAAAATTAGCACATCGTCGAGGAAACTCTTGACAGTATGCCGATTAAAAAGAACCAAATGCAATTGCCTTGTCTGACTATTAATCCTTTCTTGGCATGAATTGTCACAAAACCAGTTCCAAATCCTCCTCAGAACCATTGACTCTTCACTTCGTAAAGAATTATCTCTAGCATGCGATTGGAGACAAGAATGCAAAAATTTCTCTTGACTAGCTGCCATGGCGTTCACCATTTTGTCAAAGCTAGTGACACACTCAACATAACAACGTAGAATAGAGCTTAGTTGTCCTTTTTCCCCCACATTGTTATAACCAGAAAATGACTTCTCTAACATACACTCTCGTGACAAGAGCATCATAAATATGTTATTTTCAAAAAATAGATTCACCATATTCCTCTTGATTGTATCCAAGGCTCCAATGGTAAAGAAAAAATCAACATGGTTTATGATATTTACGTCTTCGCCGGAGACGTCGCGTTGAGGACAAGATGGAGTTTGCCGTATGTTTTCTTGTTCAAAACCCCAATCCAAAAACTCTGTTGTTGACTTGCACATGTTGATTTCATCTTCTTTATGATTTCTCTCGTAACTCACCTGGAAATCTTCTCTTATCAATCCCCAATGACCAAAAGATACAAGAATTTTTGATTTCTCAAGCACTTTAACTTCAATTAACACTCTGTCTTCTCCGTGAGAATCATCATCACAAAGATTAATATTCTCAGTATAAATATAAGAAACTAGAGAATCACCGATCTTGTTGTGGAGATCTACCTCAGTGTGAACAAACAAAATCTTGCTTCGACCATGATCTGGAGGTCCCCTATTAGTTGTCCGATGACGATTTGTAAGAGAATAGAGTAATCGTGCTTTCCCTTATTCATGTATGAATCTTCGTCCTTCTCGCAAAAGTTGAAGACTTGAGTTTGTTAGTGCGGATGAGGTAAGATAAATTGCGGAAAGTAAACGAGACAAGAAATTTGTTAACGAGGTTCGGTTTTTCCTACTCCTCGGGACCAAGTCCAGATTTCGATTTCACTAGAACAAGAAAGCAAATTACAACCAATTCGCAAACGCGTAAACCAAGCCCAACCCTCTTGATTTACCGCTCCCTTCTATAACGTGAAACCTTAAGGATAATCTCTACCCTTAACTAAACTTTCCTTGAGTCTAGATTTAATCAGGATAACCTAACCCTAAGCTAAACTCCTCTTGAGCCTAGACTTCAAAACAAACCACTTGATCACACAAGCACAAACCCGCAAAACTAAGTTGCACACAATCTCACCGAAAGCTCTCAAAGATTTCTTCTTTACGCCTCAGCTCTCTTGCCTCTCCAAGACGTCCTCAGCTCCTCCTTATATTGCCAAAATAATTTCCTAATCACCATAGGAGAAGATTTCCAATTTCTATAAGAAAAAGTAAATTTTCTTTTATACTTTTCCTTTTTCTCATCAAACTCCACTTTCATCAAGTCTTCCAAATCTCTTTAAGTCCTTTTTCCTTTGTGATTCATCCTCCAAACACGCTCTAAGCATATCTTCTCAAACCTTCTAGAAACCGACACTCACACAAAAACAGTCGCATCTTGACTTACTTCTTCAATCATTCAACAACTCCATCAGACAAAATCTTGTATTACTTCTTGACTCATTCAACAACTTCATTAGACTGCAGCTACATCTTCATTCTCCCCCTTTTTGACTATGTTTGTGAACTCAACAGTTCTAACTGCAAAACAACATCACAAAACATATCATCATTCTCCCCCTGAATGAGTCACAACATGGTCAAAACTACTTGGAAAATTCTCCCCGCTTTGCAATACGAGGTTGATAGCCTAGTACACCACCTCCATAGAAATCATCTTTCCTAACCCAAATCTTCCTGCGCCTTAAGCCTTCATGACTGGATTCTCGAATGAATCTGAAACAATTCCTCTTAATGTGCCCTTGAACTCCACAATGATAACATGTAGGACCATGAAATCTCACATCATAAGCATTCTCCATTCGATTTCTCTCCCTCAACAATCTGAAACACCTTGGCCTAATATGTCCAACAACACCACAATGATGGCAAACAGGTCGAAAAACTTGTCGAGGTGCACTCCGCAGTTCCTTAACTTTTGCTGAATCAGACTCTGTATCAGTTCTCGTATCAGATACAGCCTTTGCATTAATTGCAGTCCCTACTGCAGAATCTGTGTCAGTGCCTGAAGCAGACGTGATTTTACCACCATAAACGTACACCGGATCCGATTTGGAAAGACTTCCTTTAAATCCAAGGCCACACTTATCTGTCTTGCCTATATTCAGAATATGATCCAACTTCTTTGTGCCATTACTAAGCATCCTTAAATTCTTTTGAGTTTCTTCAAGTAGTACTTTAGCTTGTGATGCTTCTTCTTCTTTCTCTACCGCATATTTTTGTGCTTAAATGACTTTAGCCTCTAACTTGAGTTTCTCCTTAGTTAACATTGAATTCTCTTTAACTATTTTAAGCCAATGCTCATATAAGGCTTTGTAATTCTCATGAAACTCTTCATCACTGATACTTTCATCGTCATCACTTTGATCATTGACACTTCCAATTGCAGATCCTGTTGCAGATGCTGATGCAGACCCTGATGCAGATGCTGATGTAGACCTTGATCCAGACTTTGCTGCAGAACTAGACTCAAAAGTTGTAAACGCCACAAAATTCTTCAATTCTTCACCATCATCTGAGTCAATTTCAGAATCACTCATGATAAATCTCTTCTTCTTTTGCTTCAGCAAATTCGCACATCCTAAACGCACATGTCCAAAACCTTTGCACTCAAAACATTGTTTGCCCTTTGACGAATTGTCCAACTCTTCTCTTTTTCCATTAGCCCTAAAACCATGAAGAGATCTGTTTCCCTCATTCCATGAGAACCGCTTCTTGAATGGCAAACTCAATATCTCCATCAATCTTGATATCAAACTCTGTTTTACTTCCTGAACGATCTCCTGAACGATTTCCTCACCCTTGATCTACCCGAAACAAGACTAAATCTCTATCGAGAACCCGCTCTAATACCAATTGTTAGTGCGGATGAGGTAAGATAAATTGCGGAAGTAAACGAGATAAGAAATTTGTTAACGAGGTTCGGTTTTTCCTACTCCCCGGGACCAAGTCCAGATTTCGATTTCACTAGAATAAGAAAGCAAATTACAACCAATTCGCAAACGTGTAAACCAAACCCAACCCTCTTGATTTACCGCTCCCTTCTATAACGTGAAACCTTAAGGATAATCTCTACCCTTGTAGTTTTAATGTCTTCTACCGAGTAGTCAAATTTTGGTACAACAAAGCTGGTGTTTTTATCTTGAAGCTGATCATCATGCTCGTCACGATCTGCAACATCACCTTCATCGTCCATGTCGTTGGTGTTGATTAGATCATCGTCACAATCTGTGACGTTCATGATGCGAAGTCACCTCTGACATCAAATTTTGAATCGCCATAGAAGAGGGGTTGTGAAGTAGATAATTTATCACCATAAATATCATCGACTGCCACCTCAACAAATTGGTTTACGAACTCACCCTCGTCAATTCCATGGACGGACTTAGCGACGAAGTCGTTGACTTGTACATGACAATCTCAATCTGCAAATCTCGCACCATGTTTTAATTTGTGGAAGTGACTATATAGAGTACGATCATAATTACGAGGTAAATAGGTTGTGCATAGCTTCTGCTTCAATTTATCCCATGATTTAATAGGACTCTTGCCAGTTTGCTTGCGTGTTGTCTTCACTTGATGCCACCATGATGCTGCTTGTCCTTGAAATTTCTTAACCACTAGCGAAACCAATTGATCCTCTGTAACGCTTTGAAACTCCAAAATTTCTTCAACATCCACGAGCCAATCTAAGAACAAATCACTAGAAATTCCACCGTGGAACTTGGGAATATCCACCTTAAAATTGGCCTCCCATGTTGTGTTTTTAGGAGCCATCGTTGCAAGGGAATCAAACCACCAGGAACGAGATGAATCTGATACCAACTAATAGAGAGCAGAAGCTAAATAATGGACGAGAACACAAGATCTCTAAGAGAAGTCGGATTCACGAACGGATCTTGCTTAGAACGTCAAAACTTGACGAAGAAGCAATAGAGATAGGGTCGAGATCGGTTTCAGGGAACGATATCGACGGGGTTTTGCAAGTCCTCCTTGCAGGGCTTGAACACAAGCTCTTAGGGTTGAGAGTCCTCCTCTCTAGGCTTTACACAAAGCTCTCTTAAAACTAGTTTATTCAATAATCAAAAGCTAATTTACAAGTGAGTCTCACGGCTCTTTAAATAAGAAACATAAAACGAAAACCCTAATCTAATATAAAACGATATCGATATAATATGGGTTTAAAACCCATGAACCTAAGGCCCATTTACATGATTTAAACAAAGTCGCTGAATTGGTGATCAATGATTTGAAGATATGCTGCATCAGGTTTTAATGAGGCATCAGAGAAAGAACAGTCTACTCTTCCTCTAGGGCAGGTGAATGAGGGAGACGAAGATGCCACAGAGAAGGGTATCGATCTTATAAATGGAAAGAAAGGAGACTCTGAGGAAAAGGAAAAGGAAGAGGGTTGGATAACACCAAAATCTGGTCGTAGTCCAGGGAAAAAAACAGAGGAACTGAAATATGGAGAAGTCTCTATCCTATCAAACCCATACTCAGTGCTGGAAGTAGATGATGAAATGGAAGGTGAAAAACAGGTAGAGGAGACGATCATGGTTAACGAAGTCACTAAGGTGGGAGATGTGACTATGGTGAACACTCTAGACCTGGCTACAAAAGAAGATAAGACAGTGGACCTAGCAGGAAAATCAGAAACATTGGTTAAGGATCGAGCTTCAAGAGCGGAGCTGACCCTGCGACCATCCTTACCTCGAGGATCAAAAACAGCCCACAAAACGATACCAAATCTTTCTACTCAATCAGTTAGGGACCCCCCTAGAGATCAGAGCAGGAAGGTTACCCACAAAAAAAATTAAATGTCAAGTTTCTTTTGGAATGTGCGCGGCCTAAATCGATCAACAAAACATTCCGTTATAAAGAAGTGGGTAGAGGAAGGAAAATTTCAGTATGGTTGTTTATTGGAAACAAGAGTAAAGGAAGGGAAGGTTCCAAGGGTGGGAGAGAACATATTCAAAGATTGGTCGTTGTTGACGAACTATGAGCATCATCGTTTAGGCCGTATATGGGTTGTATGGAGAGGAAATGTTATGTTAACCCCTTTCTACAAAAGCAGTCAAATGATTATGTGTTCTGTCAAACTAGAAGAACAAGAGGAGGAATTTTTTTGCTCATTTATCTATGCATCGAATTTTATGGAAGAGAGGAAGGAGCTATGGGCTGATTTAGAAAACCATCATGACTCACCGATAGTTCATACTAGACCGTGGATCATTATGGGAGATTTTAATGAAACTTTGGAGATGGTGGAGCATTCACGGGCATAACCAATACTATCAAAAGGGATGCGCGATTTCAGAGCAATGGTGAACCATTGTCAGCTCACGGATTTGACCTACCATGGTCCACTTTTCACATGGTGTAACAGGTGAGAAAACGATCTGATCATGAAGAAACTGGATAGGGTTTTAGTGAATGACAAATGGATGCAATCTTTCTCACAGTCCTATAGCATTTTTGAAGCTGGTGGCTGCTCGGACCACCTACGGTGCAGAATCAGACTGAATACTGATACTACTACAGGAATCTCTAGACGACCATTCAAGTTTGTTAATGCTATAGCTGAGATGGATGAGTTTAAACCGTTGGTTAAAAACTATTGGGAGGAAACAGATATGATCTTCTTATCTACATCATCTCTGTATCGTTTTTCTAAGAAACTTAAATTGCTGAAATCGGCAATCAGAAGATTATCCAAAGAAAAGATGGGCAACTTAACAAAGAGGACTAAAGAGGCGTTGGAGGATTTATGTAAGAAGCAGGAGAAAAATTTACATAGTCCATCTACTCAAACAATGGAAGAGGAGAAAGAAGCATATTTTAAATGGGATAAAGTGGCCATTCTAGAGGAAAAATTCCTAAAACAGAGATCGAAGCTGCATTGGCTGGATGTAGGAGACAAAAATAATAAGACGTTTCACAGAGCAGCAGCTACAAGAGAGGCATTGAATTCAATAAGAGAGGTCATTACACAGGATGGGAGAGTTATCAATAGCAGAGAGGGAATAAAAACAGAGGCGGAATCTTTTTTTAAAGATTTTTTACAAACCATTCCAGCAGGTTATGAGGGGATGTCAGTGGAAAATCTAGAAGAACTACTTCTGTTTCGTTGTTCAGAAGATGATAGCCGGCTGCTCACAAGGGCTGTAACAGGGGAAGAGATAAAGAAAGTTCTGTTCTCTATGCCAAATGATAAATCACCGGGACCGGATGGGTACACAACGGAATTTTATAAGGCAGCATGGGAAACTATTGGAGGCGAGTTCACGATAGCGATTCAGTCTTTCTTTGCCAAAGGTTTTTTACCAAAAGGGATCAATACAACCATTTTAGCTCTCATTCCAAAGAAGAGGGATGCAAAAGAGATGAGAGACTATAGGCCTATTTCATGTTGCAACGTCCTATATAAAGTAATATCGAAGATAATCGCAAATAGGCTGAAGAGGATATTACCTAAATTTATATCGGGGAACCAATCGGCGTTTGTGAAAGACAGACTCCTCATTAAAAATATTCTTTTGGCAACAGAACTGGTTAAAGATTACCACAAGAGCAACGTCACAACTCGTTGTGCAATGAAGATAAATATTTTGAAAGCTTTCGACTCTCTCCAATGGTCATTTCTCATCAACGTCTTAACTGCTATGAACTTCCCATGTGAATTCATTCTCTGGATTTCAAAATGCATAACTACAGCGTCTTTCACGATCCAGGTTAATGGAGAGTTAGCATGGTTTTTTAGAAGCGCAAGAGGGCTTCGACAGGGATGCGCGCTTTCTCCATACTTGTTTGTCATTAGTATGGAGGTGCTCTCGAAGATGCTTGATAAGGCTGCTGGTGCACAACAGTTTGGTTTTCATCCGAGATGTAAAAATCTTGGCTTAACGCACCTCTGTTTCGCTGATGATCTTATGATTCTCACAGACGGCAAAGTTCGCTCGGTTGATGGTATAGTTGAGATTATGAATCAGTTTGCAAGACGATCAGGGTTGACAATCAACATGGAAAAAACGACTCTCTACACTGCAGGTGTTTCAGACCAAAACCGACAAATGATGGTCAGTCGCTACCCGTTTGGATTGGGCCAACTCCAAGTTAGGTATCTTGGTCTCCCACTAGTCACAAAACGGCTCACAACAAGTGACCTCTCTCCATTACTTGACCAGATTCGTAAGCGTATAGGTACGTGGACCGCCTTATTTCTCTCCTTTGCGGGACGACTAAATCTAATTAGCTCTGTTCTATGGAGCACGACAAGTTTCTGGATGAGTGCTTTTCGACTACTAAGTGCATGCCTCAAAGAAATAAACAACATCTGCTCTGCGTTTCTATGGTTAAGGCCTGACTTAAATTCGAAAAAAGCAAAGGTATCGTGGGATGAAGTTTGTAAACCGAAGCAGGAGGGAGGACTTGGGCTGCGGTCTTTGAAAGAAGCGAATGAGGTCAGTCTTTTAAAACTGATATGGAGGATTGCCTCCAATGGTGATTCTCTGTGGGTTAAATGGTCAAGAATGAATCTGCTCAAGCAAGAGTCGTTCTGGTCTCTGAAGCTTAACTCAAGTTTGGGTTCTTGGATGTGGAAGAAATTGCTGAAATATAGAGATAAAGAAAAGCCATTCTGTAAGGTAGAAGCAAAGAATGGAGCTCGGACGTCGTTCTGGTTTGATAACTGGTCGGGAATGGGCACTTTGATGGAAAAAACGGGTCAGAGAGGGATGATAGACTTGGGTATAAGGCGGACAATCACAGTTGCAGAGGCTTGGAGCCAAAGAAGAAGAAGAAACCATCGTGTAGAAATGTTGAATGACATTGAGGTGGTATTACTTCAGAAATATCAAAGCCGGAATCTAGAACAAGAAGATACAGTCTTATGGCGAGGTAAAGGAGATGTCTTTAAGGCAAGCTTTAGCACTAAAGACACCTGGAATCATATCCGCACAAACTCAAATCAGGTGGCATGGTATAAAGGAGTATGGTTCAGTCATTCAACACCTAAAAATTCGTTTTGCGCTTGGCTTGCTATGCGTAATCGCCTCTCAACTGGTGATAGAATGCAGAAGTGGAACAATGGCTCAGCAGTGAAGTGCACATTCTGCTCCGTACCTATAGAGACTCGGGATCATCTTTTTTTCTCGTGTAGCTATGGCTCTGAAGTTTGGACTGCAATTGCTAAGAACGTTTTTCAAACTCGTTTCTCAACAGATTGGACAACAATAGTGGACTGCATATCAGAGAATCAAACTGATCACATCAAGAGCTTCTTGACTAAATACGTCTTTCAGCTCACGTTGTACACGATATGGAAAGAAAGAAATGCTCGACGCCATGGAGAGGCTCGACGTACGACGTCCAATCTCATCTGTTGGATAGACAAGCAGGTCCGTAATCAGCTCTCAGTCATTCGCTCAACCGGAGACCGCCGGTACGAGAAAGGTTTACAAGTCTGGTTTGCTTCCCGGCAATAGGAAACCTCCTCAACCATAATTCAGATTAATAGCTTACTCTTGATCTTTGTTTTCATTTTTCAGACTTAATCAACAAAAGCTGATGTAAAACGTTATTTTTTCTTTTGAATATAATTTAACATTTTATTCAAAAAAAAAATAGATAATTGTTGATTATGAATAGACAAAAGGGAAGCGTTAGGCCTGGGCAAAATACCCGGAACCGAATACCCGAACCGAAAAACCCGAACAATACCCGAACCGAACCCGAACCCGATTTTTAAAAATACCCGAATGGGTCCTAACCGCCTACCCGAAAAAAACCCGAACCGAATCCAATACCCGAATGTACCCGAATACAAATATACACCTCAAAATATTAGTTATTTTTATATTTATAATACCCGAAATACCTAAAATTACAATCATAAATCCGAATATATTAGGTATTTTAGATATTTTTGGTTATATTTAGGTAAAGAGTAACCAATGTATTTTCGAGAAATCAGGTATTTTTCGGTTAGATTTGGGTATATATGAGTTAAAAACCCAAACCCGAAAATATTCCGGGTATTTTTGGTTATTTTCGGGTATTTTACTTTTTTATTAAAATACCCGAACCGACCCGAACCCGAACCGAACCCGAACCGAATTTTTAGAATACCCGAATGGGTCTTGACCCCCTACCCGAATAGACCCGATACCCGAAAAAAAAGAACCGAACCCGAACGGGTACCCGAATGCCCAAGCCTAGGAAGCGTCCTTTAAGTAGGGGTTTTTTTTTTTTTTTAATAATTAACTAGGGTTTTGACTTGGCCGTGATACAGAAGAAACAAAAGAAGGAGATGAGCGATTCCAACGAAGAGACATGCAACGACGATTCAAAGCAGCCGGTACTTATCGTGGACATGCTTAGATCGATCTTGGAGCGCTTAAGCTTTGTTGATTTTCATCGAGCCAGATGCATTTCTTCAGAATGGTATTCAGCTTCGGAATCATGCATCAGAGTAAAAAATCCAACAACTCCATGGATCATCCTTTTTCCAAGCGAACATGTGGAAAACAAGAATGATTCATGTAAGTTGTACAATCCTCGTGACCATAGTTCCTACATAGTAAGAGATCTCGGGTTTGATTTAGCTAGGAGTCGTTGTTTGGCGAGTTCTTGTAGTTGGTTCCTTATGTTAGACCGTAGTAGAATCGATTTTCATCTTTTGAATCCGTTTACTCGACTGAGGATTCCTCTTCCGTCTCTAGAATCAATCGGTGACGGAAATATTTTCAGAAGGGTTTCTGATGGCAGGGTATTAATTATATAGACAAAGCGGTTTTGTGGGTAGATGAAAAAAGCAGAGATTACTTGGTTGTTTGGAATTTTGGTAGCATTTTTGGATATCGCAAGAAAGGAGATGACAACAATAACTGGAAGGTGTTTCTACCTTTTAAGCATGTAGTCTACATCGATATGGTCTTTAAAGAAAACAAGCTTTACGTGCTTAGTTTAACTCGAAAGGTCAGTGTTTATGATTTCTCCGGTGAATTGTGCAAATTTCCCATATTTGCCGTTGCGGAATGATATTATTTATATTCCTCCAGGGTCTCATTACAAAGTTGCTGTCACTTTGTCTGGAGAGGTTTTGATCATTTTAGCTAGAGTGGAACCATATCCGAGGATGAGATGCTTCTTCGACGTCTACAAGATGGATCCTAAATCATCAGAATGGAAAATGATTAAGTCTATTGGAGGCGAAGCATTGCTTTTAGATCTAGGAATAAGGGTTGAGGCGAAAGTTATGAAAAATTGCATATATTTTAGTAGTGATCAGTTTCGTAGATACAATGGGAATAGTCTATGCAATGATTATAACAATAACGATATTCACGTCTACCATATTCGAACCGATCAAGTAGTCCAAGTGTTTGAAGATCTTACTGCGTCCCCGACGATACTTTTCAAGGATGCTCGTTGGTTTTTCCCCACTTTTGGTGGAAACTGGTTGCTTTAAAACTATCAAGTTTTGTATTTTGTTAAGGGTGAATTAGTTTCTTTTATATTGTGGAACAAGAGTGTTGCTAGTTCTAATAATAAGTATGATATTTCATTATCTAACGTTATTATCTCAACGTTTGATTGATGAGAACTTTTTTTCTTCAGTTCAAAAAAAGTGTCATCCAGCTTTATATATATAAGATTTACAACTATGGATCTACATGTTTGTTAGAGATGTTTTAGTATCAACATCATGAACTCAATTTGGAGCATTGCAAAGCAAAGCAAATATATATTAATGTCAATAAGATGAAGAAAGAGTAATATACATTAACAATCCTGAGTTTCAAGATTCTTGATCAAGACAAGAGTAAAAACAATGATGCAAGAGAGTTGAAAGTACACTCATATTTTTGATCTACATTTACTTGACGTAGTAAGGAAGGTCAAGAACGTAGAGAAGGAAGTAAGCCCAAGTCACCCCAGAGATCCCTCCAAAGAAGAACCCTCCTGTGAACTTAGCCCATCCCTCAGCCGTTTGAAGCTGGTCAGGCTGCTTCTTCCGCCCGGTCAAAGTCAAACTCGGTGCAATGGATGGCTCGCCTTCCTTGAATGAAGAGATACCATAGATGGTGAGGCACATGCTGAGGATGACTACGAGCCCAGCCGCGGCTAAAGACCCGGCTGACCCGGCGTAAGCAGTGTTCCTTAACGGACCAGCCTTGACGAATGGGCCCACTAAGAAGAAACCATGGGCCAGGCCAACTTCGACACCACGGAGGAGAGGGTTGACAGCGGTACGGTAGCCAGGGAGGTTGGAAAGGTACCACGCGATCAAGGGGCTTGATGTCACGGGAGTTTCCAAACTTCCAATGAATGGATCGCCGTTGATTGGTTGAATCACTTGGAATGTTGGCTGCCAATTTGCATATTAATTGTTAGAGCACACTAACATAACTTTCCATTGCATATATCAAGAACCCAAATATTCATTCTTTTCACTCCTATAAGTTCCATAAAGGACGTTCTATAGAATCATTAAAAACTTTGTATGTAATAACAGAACATAAACTATGAAACTAGTGGTACTTATTGTTGGTTTTTTTTTATCAATTACATATCATTTTCCTAACTGTCCTAAAATATTAAACCACATGACTGTGCTTGAGTATATTCAGATTAGGCACATAAATTACTTTGTGTCCGATGGTTAAGAAAAAAGATACCTTGTCGGATTTAACAGCTCGGACCGTGAAGGAAGAAACTCTTTTGGTCGAAGAAACACCGAAAGGAGCGCCGGAGATGCCCTTCGGGACAGCGAGACGCCGGGAAAGAGAAGCGGAGGAGAAGCTGCTCCTTAGCTGGCTCGCCATTGGAGATGCACTCGTTGCCATTGCTCTTTTTGTCTTATTTGTTCTCTTATGAAATTAAAATAAAATCGAGTTTGAAGTGTGTGATGAAGAAATAAGCAATCTATGAAACTTGAGATTGCATTTGCTGATGTGGCAAGACAGAGGATCTGGTTCTTAAGATTGTTGTGGCTCTTAGAGATTTATGTGTTTGATGTATCTGATTCTCATTGGATGTTATCTTATCCACTTTGCCCCAACATTTTGTTTTTTAAATATTGGTGAATATATGTCTTTACCAGGGTTTTAAGAGTTAATTAGATTATACATACATATCTTTTTCTTGTATTAATTTTTCATGTCCCTCTAAGATTATTTTAAAATGAACTTTAATAGATTATACATATATTAAGATGATTTTAACATGATATTTAAAAATATGTAACCTATGTTTTAACTAAAAAATTTCTAAGCCTTTGGCTGGTAACAAAATTTAAGGCGGTTAGAAATTTAACCCCTCATTTGGCTATCATTTGTACAAAAAATGAAAAATATGCGGTTAAAATAGATGGTTAAAGGTGCTCAAAACTTATAAATACAACCGCTTTAATTTATCAAAAAACAGTTCAATTTTCCTAATTGTCTTTTTTTATATAAAATTAAATTTTTTATTTATATATATTGTTTTTGAAATTGTCGGTAGAAATTTTATTTTTCCTCGTTTATAGTTGAAAGTTGAAACATTTTGCTAGGCTACGAGAAAAAGAATAACACCAAGGTTTGATAGACATGACTACAAACTAAGAACTGTATTGGTTCAAAAGATGTGGCACTAAAATATCATGTTCCAAATACTTAAGGAGGGGTTATTGGTTCATGGATTTTGAAAATGCGGACTTCTGAGACAGTATACTGATGAAGATCAAACAGCTGGTTGTTTATCATGGAGCTAGTATAAGAAGTCTTAAAGGACACAGTTGGCGTTACAAAAACTTGGATGGAAAGTGGAGCAACTCGACATGAAGAATTTAGGAAAGTAGAAACTGTGGAAATATGTTACATATTCTCAGCAGTGATTAAGGAAAGTGTTATGACCTTGACAAGAAAGGTTAATATTCTCTCGGGTTTCTGACTTTTAGGTTTTGGGGGTGTGAAAATTTGATATATAAGGGATTGGTGAGTGAGGCTTGGGGGTTATCACTCACGGGAAAAATACGGGTTAGAAATCTTCAAGGCAAAGAGAAAAACTGCTAAGAAGGTAACAGTGTGACAAACTCTCATATCTTTCAAGTAAGTAGAGAAAGTTAGAGAGTGAGAGGCTTGGGTTTTGTTCTTGGGATAGAAAGTCTATTAGGGTAGAATAGCACAAGTTTCATCTAGATAGCTACAAGCTGTTGTAAAAGATTGAACTATCAATAAGAACACATACAAGTGTTTGATTTGGCGTTTTCCGGATCGAGTTAATTAAGTATTGTGTACCCCTCTATATCTATTAATTGGTATCAGAGTAGGCATCTGATTAAAAGAGCGTGATCGTCTTTTATACAGGTGAGATCCTGAAATGAGGTATGGAGAGGGTACAACATTTAAGTGAACAACCTAGAGATGTGAAATTGGATGGGGAACAGTTTGAGTACTGAAAAGTCTCTGTAAGACAGTTGATACAAAGCATTGATATGAATGCTTGGGTTGCTGTAGAAGAAGGTTGGGTTCAACCGACGACAAAAAATACAGCAGGTAAGACAGTGTTGAAACCAAGAAATGAGTGGACGTCAGAGGACAAGACATAAGCTAAGCATAACTCACAAGCGTTATCAGTGATCTTCAGATCTCTGCCAATGAATCTGTTTGCTAGGGTTCATGAATATACATCTTCTAAGGAAGCCTGGGACATACTTCAAGTATCATTCAAAGATACGGCTCATACCAGAGGCTCCAGTTTGAGTAACCTTGTAGTTGAATTAGAGAATTTAACAGTAAGAAACAGTAATTCAGTGAAAAGGATTGGCAGTTAAATGAACTCTACTTCTCAAGATGCAGAAATTCAAGAAAAGATTCAGACCCCTGGTCCAAGGTGTGGACAGATGATATTGGAAGATCAGCCAAGTGTTACTAAGGAAAAGGTGGGGTTAATCATTGAAAGGTTTCTCAAAAATAAAGATAGAAGACTTCGAAAACTTGAAGTACAGAACAGAGTTAAGAAGGGGACGGCCAAAGAAGATATGTCAGGCCAAAGTCAACTTAGTGTTTCAGAAATGATAGTAAATGATCTACACATTCAAGAAGAAGATGACAAGTGTCATGTGGCATATACTACAGAGGAAACTAAGTCACTACAATAACAGTGGTAATTTCACAGTGGCTGTTCAAGACACATGACTGGTGAACCAACCAATCTAACATCATTTGAAGATTCATGAGCTCAAAGAGTAACATTTGGTGATGGAGGTAAAGGGAAGATCAAAGGTAAAGGTAGAACAACGGGAGAATCTCAGCCAAGCTTGGACAATGTGTATCTGGTTGAAGGACTCAAGGCCAATTTAATCAGTATTAGTCAGCTGTGTGACAATGGATTGGATGTAACTTTCACTCAAAGCGGGTGCATGGCACTTGACAAACGAGGAACTATTAAACTAAAAGGAAAAAGATCTGACAACAAGTGTTACATGTGGAAATCAGGGAAGAGGCGCTTAACAGCTACTGCTAATATCACGCCAACTGAAGCAGAATTGTGGCATCAAAAGTTAGGGCACATGAACATGCGTACCATGCTTAAACTGGCTCATCATGAGATTGTTAGAGGGCTACCAAAACTGAAACTCATACCTAAATTTGTATGTGGTCCTTGTGCCAAGGGAAAACAAGTAAGAGTACATCACAAGTGTATCCAGGAGGTACGGTCAAAGCGTCCTCTGGAGCTGCTTCATATGGATCTAATGGGACCAATTTAAATTTAGAGCATCCTAGGTAAGAAATACATCATGGTAATAGTTGATGACTACACTCGCTACACATGGGTCAGATTTTTGAGAGAAAAATCCGAGACTCTGGAAAGCTTCAGAACGTTGGTCTTGCAACTAAAGAATGAAATAGGAGGTATAAAAACTATAAGGAGTGATCATGGAAGAGAGTTCCAGAATGAATTGTTTGATAAGTTTTGCAGTGAACATGGGATTTTCCATCAATATTCAGCACTTAGGACACCGAAATAAAATGGGGTAGTAGAAAGAAAAAACAGAACTCTGTAGGAAATGAGCAGGGCTATGATGCACGGGAGTCAGGTTCCCAAACTCTTCTGGGATGAAGCTGTAAGCACATCGTGCTAGATCATAAATAGAGTGTATGTTCGTAAGGGAACTGACAAGACTCCTTACGAATTATGGAAGAGGAAGTCACCAGCTGTTGGTTATTTTCATGTCTTTGGATGTGTCTGTTACATATTTAATGATAAGGACAATCTTGGGAAGTTCGATGCTAAGAGTAAGGAAGAGCTGTTTCTAGGTTACTCAGGTCACATCACAGCTTTTAGAGTATACAACAAACAAGCTCGAGTAGTACAAGAGTCCATGAATGTAGTTTTTTGTGAAGCATCTGTTCACATGTCGACTCTAATACCTCTTCAGGAGTCTTCCAAACCCATTCCTAATGTATCAAAATCAGTTGAAACAGATACTGAATTTGAGTTATCTGAAAAAGAAAAAGATCAGAGAAGTGAAGAAATAACCTCCAACATCCAGGTGCACAAGAACCATTC